TTCTCAAATTTACCCGGTGAAACGTCTGATTTAATTACTTCTAAAATTATTGACGTTCTTACTAAATTCGGATTAAAGCAAAAAATTGTCATACTATCGGCTGATAATACAAACACTAATTTTGGTGGATTAAATAGAAAAGGAAAAGATAACGTGCACACAAAACTTCAGACAGACAAATACCTATGTAATTATATACTTACTAGATAATTACCTATTTTTTATGAATTTTGGTGTCCCGGATTTCTAAAAATTAAATCTGGCCACCCTAAGGTAGGTAGGTACTCAGTAACAATACATAAAAATATAAACATACATATTCAAATTAGGTAGGTACATTTAAGCATCTGTAACTTAATAAACTACAACAACATTAATTAGGTATTAAATTATGATTAGATAAGTTTGTTGAATTCTTTATTTAAATTAATTTTTGTTTAACATGTACACAAGATGATCCAATCAAATTCTGAATAATGTATTTCTAAATTTAGAAAAAAAAAATGTTTATATTTTTATCTCATTGTTAATAAGGATGCAAATATAGAGTCTATGGTAGAGTTTCTACTATAGTACGTTTCACGAAACTAGCGACTCCGTTTAGGAAACCTTCACGAAAATCTGTTATTGAAGCGCCACTGCAAAGTCGCTAATTTCATGAAACGTACTGTAGTTTGTTATTCTCTAACAATATATATATATATATATATATATACATATATAAATATATATATTGTTTTAACTATCATTGTATATCAAATGTTAAATTTTATTCAGTTTATACAAACTACTTAGTAGGTAGGTATTTTAATTTGATAGTTTTGTTCAAGACCTTTTATCAAAAATTCCTACTTCAGTGGTAATAATAATAAATGTTAGTCATTAAATCTATTATTATCCATTAATATATTACCGATAATAAATAATTGTTTAGTTAATTCAACTAATTAATATTGTCAAATTTTATTTTACTTACATTCAGATTTGAAATTACACAAACACACAATATTACAATTACAAGTTAAACAATAATAACATTTTAAGCAAAATATTATTATATTTTGGTATATTTATTATTAGTATTTGATGGTATTTCAAACCACATAACATTAAAAATATTCATAACATTATGAATTTTTAAATTAGTTATTCCTAATTTGTTTGTGGTTAACTAAAACTCTAACTCTAAAACTTATTAAACAATTTTACACAAATTTGTTTAACACAAAATATCAAAACAAAAACCTAGTTACAATATTGTATTCTTTTTGATGAATGATAAAATAACAATGTTTGCATTAAAATTTAGTGACCATTGTTTGATGAGCACTTACTTTCAGTACAATCTTTGTCATGTTTTTTATTTCCTGTGCATTAAAAGAGTTGTACAACAATAAAATAATTGTTCAATGTGTCGTCAGGCAGTACCTCATAATCTTTATAAAAAACCAATATTTCCTGAATACCCGGGACACGATCAGGAAAACGATTTTCACCATGATGGTCACCAATGGTTTTATGAATATAGAAGAGGTGGTATGCATATTTTGGTTTTCATATAATACTACATCAACTCGTATAATACTGTGTTATGTTCTTTATTTCAAACTGGTAACAATTTGAAAAATGAACTTCAGAATAAATTGAACAAAACTACCAACTTAACTACAAAAAATTTAATTAGCTTATTTGTGGCACTTTATACACAATTGGTTTCGATCTTAATATGCAGTACAATGTCGATAACCCAGCCAAGAGACGAAAATTAAAACGAAAAAATGGCAGTAACCTTTTAGTAAAAGGAATGCTTTTATTCATTAACTACTATAAATAAATTATAATCTATACTCTTAATATTTCTAAGGAATAATAATAATTTTAATTTGATTGAGTTTAATCAATTATTTGATGACTTTATTTTTTTTGCCTAATTGTTCCATATTAATAGAATAAGTTTCCTTATTAATATAGGCCATTGAGCCCACACAACCTAAAATCCGGACCTGCAACTATAACATTGACGATTTGTCAATAACAAGGTTGATTATTATTAATCGAAACAGACCACGACCTACCTATCCAAAGTAGTTTATGAAAATAAATATTTTCGAATGTTATCCAAATACGATTTTCCCAGCAATTTTAGGTGTATAAAAATAAATATAGACTTCCTAGGATAGTGAGGACTGGTGCAGCCACTGTTATAGATAATTTAATGTATACCTGTAAGCAACGATAAACCATTGCTTACGAAAAAACGATTCTGAGCACAGTTCAGTAGATAGTGTTGCTTTGTCAAGAATATATATGTCACATTATAGTAAAATAATTAATTACGATTTAAATATTTTCTTTAATAATATTTTTTTAATGCTATACCGATTTTCCCAGTTTTTCTTAATTTTTTCCAATATATTGAGATGACCTCCAGATAAAAACAAAACATGACTTCTCTAAAGTACCGTCCTAGTGAAATTTCCTTTTAGAAACATTACTATCATTATAAGTTGGAACAAAATTGTTGGTAGAAAAATTGCTTACAGATAAAATAAAAAAATAATAAACATCTTTGTAAAACCATAATTCAGAATCTAAAATTATTTAAATAATTAACTATACCTCCTAAATAATCAATATCAAGTAATAATAATATTTGGAACTTTTTGAAACATTGATTATAGAATAGACTATTCTATAATCAATGGTTTGAAGCCAATGAGTGTAGTTGGATGATGCGAGTTCCAATATGGCAGTGTTGTATCAACACTGATATTATAGTAAATAACATCATTATATTGATATCATGATGATTGGTCATATAACACATTTGAAAGTTGCTTATATGCCATCACTTTATACCTACTATTTCAAAATACCAAAATGAAATATATACTTATAATTATACACTATTAGAACTTCGTCATGACTTAAATTTGTTCATTTAAAAATTAAAAATTTACCTATAACATTTTATAACTGAAAGTGTAAGCAACACTTACGCTGTTATATACATGCCACGCCACTATAAAACAGTGTTGTATACTTATATGTTATATGTATAAAAATATGATGAAAAAGTGAAGACAGTTTTTTATCATTATACTACAGTTATCAGCATCATTATAATGTAGCAAACATTTTAAAATGGTTATCATTGGATCAAAAAATAATATAAAATCAGTACTTCAAAAAGCTATAATTTAGATTAAATTTATTAATTAACTTAGACAGCGGTCTTTTTTTTTTTATTTTTACTACAAATTAAGACTCTAAATTAATCTCCTGTTCAATTTTTAAGCATTTCTGTTAAGTCTAATTTTACAATTTTACCACAGAGTACTTATCGAATAAAAATTACATGTAAAACTCTCAAAATTTAAATGTCTATAAATAGCTCCAATATGGCTTAAATTTTTTAAATATTTACCATGTCCAGAAAAGGCAAATATAAGTTTTCTGTCTAAATGTAAAGTTTCTACGCATATTTCTAACAGAATTACAACAAATAACAAAATTGTGAAAATAATGCTTTCATTATTTTCATAAATATCCTGTTTTCCCACTTTTTCTTTTTTATTGAGAAAATTACCGGTAAAATCAAAAAATGACATCTTTAAAATACCACCTCAAGAAAATTGCCTTTCAGAAAAGAGTTTATAATGTATACATCTAAGCAAGATTTCTAATAGAATTTTTGTACATCAAATAAAATAAAAAACATCTTAGTATAACCAATACATTCTTTGTTATACTCAGAATTTAAAACTTCACAAAAAATCCTGGTATATATAAATTTAAATATAACTGTAATAAATTTTATATTGGTAAGACAAATAGAAATTTTAAAATAAGATATAAATACATATTTCTGAAAAAAAATTAAACATTGTCCTAATTTAAATTTCGCTAAACATGTTTTAGAAAAAACCATAATATAAATTTTAATATTAATACAAACGTAAAAATATTAAATACCCAAAATATAATTAAGTATAAAGTATAATTTTTTTTGCAATATATGTATTACAAATTTTACATTCTGACTGTGATATATCTTGTGATGAATTTTTAATTTGAAACAGGTCGTATTTATTTATTATATTTTTATTTATATAATTATCTAATATAAATATAATTACATTATTAAAATATATTTTAATATAGTTTAGAATTATTTTTTGTTTTTTATATTTTCTAGAGCAAAAATCATTCTAATATTTAAATAAATTTCTATAATGTATTTCGTAAGTTCTTATTCATGATCCAGTCAACTTTAGACCCAATGCTCAAATTTAAAGAATGCCTTCAAAAATTATTAACAATTATATATCAAAAATGGAAAAATAATACACATATTTATGATAGATATGTATAGAAAAAAAAGCATTATTAAAATAATTAAGTACTAAATATATTCTAAAATATTTATATTTATTTTATTATTATTTAGAATATTTATTATGGCTGTTTCTAAGCTACAAACAAGTTTCATTAGTGTATTTGTCAAACATTAGTCAATAGTTATAATAATAATTTATTATGAATAATAAATCAAATTGTTTTAACCTAGTTTTTGTGGAACTAAAATATTCATCATTATTATTAAATTTGTGCTCTTTTTCAAAGTTTTGAGTATAATTTCTGAAATCATTTTTTTTTTTTTGTCTAAAATATTTTCAAAGGATTTTTCATCAATTTCAGTTTATTTTGATAACAATAATAATATTCTTAAAAAATTCTAATAATATATTATTTGAATAATACAGAGGCTTATGTATAGTAATTATATTATAACAATCATTTGTAGATACACATAACGTATACATAAACAATGGAAAATTAATAATTAGAACAAATAATATAATACATCAGTATATTATAAACATAATATGATTGTTTCCAATATAAAAAGTAATAATATATTTTCAAATAATAGCAAATATAAAAAATAATAATATAATACTTTAAAAGTATAATAGTTAAACTATAATATAATAATACTCGTGAACAATAAATAAAAAAATTAACATTTTATCATATTCAATTTGCATAAAAGGTAAATCATATTTAAATTTATAATAATTGTTGCAATTACTTTAACATAAATAATAATAGTAATAAAACAAATCACAATATTTGCCAATAAAAAATATAAGTTTTTATACACAGAGTATTTAATTTAAGTATAATCTTATGATAATAATAATACACACTGATAAACAGTTTTGTAATAGTTGAAAGTATACATAAAAATAATATTACATATTATAATAGAAAAAAATACCCAAGAATAATTAGTAAACAAATTAAGTATTTGTAAGTGGGTAACATGGTAAATAGATACAAAATACCACAATAAAAATTGTTAAGGAATACATGATAATAATAATAATAATAATAAAATTATTGTTACAATATAACATTACACAATAATAGTAAATAGTTAACTTTATAATATAATAAACTGATACACTCATGATTTCTGCTACCACAAAAATCATGTATAATAATTAAGTATACTTTATATTATATTATAATAGTAGGTATATTAGGATATCCATTTGAGTACATTCATTATCTTAGGAAATGTTAACTTTTTCTGAAATTTGTTTTATAGAATATTTAAAAAAACAAACTTCTCTAAAATTTTATATTTATGTTTTTTTTTCGGTACCTTTTTGGGGGAGTAAATTACTATCTTCTTTTGATTTTCAAAAAGCAACCTACATTAAAAATCAAAAGTAGATAGTGATTTTACTCTCAAAAATAGGGTGACAAAAAATAACATAAATATAAAATTGTAGAGCAGCTTAAATGTATTAGAAAACAAATTCAGAAAAAAAGTTAATACTTTCCGATATAATGAGTGTACCCAATTAAATGGATCACTTGATATATATTATGTATAAACTGATTAAGTACATACAAGATAATGACTGCCACTATGAGTATAGAGAATGGATACAAATAATAAGGTGGTAGTTTGCTAGTGATTAAAAATAATAATAATTTAACAAAATTATGTACAATATTGCCGCAGCAGATCATTATTAGGATTCATACATGTGTATAATAAACATATAAATATAAATTATCTATAATATATTATTATTGATATATATATATAATATAAATATATAAACATTTGCAATATAAAAAATATGTTTTATTGTCTTTTTTTTTTATACAAATTATAAAGTCTACCTATTAAAGGTTATTTGTATGAGATTTAAGTGAATCATATATTTAAAAAAAAATTTATTTCACTTCTGCCACACCACTGCCTTTTTTTCTATTACTCCTCTTTCGCTTACTTTTGCTATGATTATTTTTTTTAGAAACACAGTTATCCAACTGGTTGGGTACTTCTACTAACTGGTTGGGTTTATCATCCAATTGATTAGGTATTACTTCTAACTTACTGTGTGCAATATCCAGTTGACTGTGTGCTTCATCCAACTCCCTACGCGTTATATCCAGTTGTCTATACACTTCAGTCAACTGAAGGTGTGTATTCTCCAGTTTTCGGTGAAGGTCAGCCAAATTTAAAGTCCATTTCATTTCTTCTTTTTCCACATTCTCACATAAACATCTCAAGATTTCTTCCTACACAAAAAATAACATTAAATCAGTAAAATATTGTAAACATAATACTTTTTCAAAATGGAAAAGCATATTCTTTCAATATTAAGTGAATCATTATATTTTTAATAACTTAATAACATCAATTTTAAGAACACCCCCTTCAAGTGCCGGTTTTACAGAGCAAAAGAAGCACTTGAATCTTCAAATAATACTTTAATGAGTATAATAAGCAGCACTCAGATTTTACATCATTTGCTAATTATTACACAGTTAATTATAGCAGAGTGAACTTTACATTTGTTTTGAGCACTAAGGACTCCCAATATGAAATTTTATACGGTTTTTCGCTAATATACATAATATAATAATTTATTTTGTATATTTCATAAATAACTGAAAAAAACTGTCATTTTTGTGAATCCATAAGAAAATTACCTATATTTTCGTTCATATAATAGTCTATGTTCAAGTAGAAATGTGTATTGTTCCATCTGGCAGTTTATATTTATGACTCTTAAATATTTGCGCTTATATATTTAAAAAAAAAAAAAATGGATATACTTTGCATGTGGGTGCAGCTACTAATGTAGGTAGGAAGTTCGAAAGAAACAGGATACAGACGGGAATTTAATGTATATCTGTAAGCAACGATAAACCATTGCTACTGAATTCTGAGCAGAATTCAGTTGATAATGTTACTTTGTCAACAATACATATGTCATACTATGTTAAAATGATTACAATAATGTGCATTTCCATGACAACAATAATTGTTTAAAAAAGATTAAAATAATAAAAACAGTTGCTAATGACAACCTTATTTTTAATCTTTTAATTTTTTTTAACCTAAAGACCGAGGTTTTCCTCATTATCTCGAATATTATTGAAAATTTCAAAAAATTACCATCCAGAGAAAATTTCCTTTCAGGAAAGGTACTATAACTGATAATCGAAGTAAGCTTTCTGGTAGAAAAAGTGTTCACACAAAAAAAATAATAATAAACATCATTGTAAAACTAAAACATTTTTTACACTGCTCAGAATTTAAAAATTAAAAACAAATAAATTATCTTATTGCTATTTTTTTTTATGTTTTTATGGTATGCCATAACATATTTTATGATTTTAGGTCATATTATAGTACTTATTTTAAGATTTGTTAGGTCATACTATAGCAATTTCTGTTATTTTTAGTGTTATAAATTCCAAGCCCTGATAATGTTTAAGGAAATTAACATTTAATATTATTTTTGAAAAGTTGAAAATCAAAAAAAAAAAAGACTGACATAATTCACATAATGGGTGGACCACTGTTGTAGATGAGAAGTTGGGAATGTGGGGAATTTAATGTATATCTGTAAACAAAGATTAGCTCAAATGTTTTTACAGCTTAACCATGATTAGAAAAAGCAAATTTTCTGTACAAATTTTACGTCACTATGATATTTTCATAAATTGTCCTAATTTTTCCCGACATTTTATCCTGGTTTTTCCCCAAAGTTATGAAAATCAAAAAAATTACCTCCTTAAGTACCATACAGATAAAATTTTCTTTCAGAAAAGGTGCTACACTTGATACATCAGAGCAATTTCTGGTAAAATAGTTTACACCATAAATCGAGGAGTATTTCTTGGTTAAAATAGTCCAAGCGAGTAATGGCTTGGATCTCTATGTACACCCAAATGTAAAAATAGTTTTCAGAATTTGTGACTTCTAGCTGACAACAGGAACTTACCATCATTAGACTATGAAACTAACAATATTGAGTAATTTAAACATAGCATTTAATATCACAACTTAAAAAAGCTATATTTTTTAAACCAACTCAATTCTGACTTCACCATTATTCTTAAATTAGTAATGTACATATGAAGGGTACAGGGAATAAACCAGAAGTCACTTTTTTTCCAAAATGACAAAAAACCAGATTAATCTAAAGTAATGATTAATGAATATCAGAAGTTTAGGCCCACAGGGAAAAAAAAAGATGAATCATTTTAACCAAGTGTTGAGTTAATACACAACTATAGCCTTAGTTAATAATATAATATGACATAATAATGTTGTGGTCACTACATTTAAAAGTTTAACATTAAACTTAATCCAAACTTTTGAAAAAAAAAAATTATAATGTTCTCAGTTTGAAAGTGATTTTTTTGGTTTTCCACTGCACCCTTCTTCATAACTACAAAAAATTGAAAAACTATATTTGTTCTACATAATTTTTTACTCAAGATTTTTGTGAAAATTTAAACAAATAACTTTAAAATTTTTCAAACCAAGTAGAAATACTAATGAAATAAATATATTCTACAATATTCTTAAGTCTCAAATATGTCACTGCCCCCTTTCTTATACAAGGTATTACACATAATACACACATACATACCATATCAATAATAACTTGTTTGTAATATGCCATATTATGGTGCAGATTTTGATTTTGTGTTTTAAGTGTGTTTATTTCTGTAGTGAGGGTGTTTTGAACCTGAGTTGTCTGCTGGCCCTAAAAATACAAGGAATATCAAATTTTAGTAATTTTATTTTTAATAATATAGAATACTAGAATGTAACAACTAGTTTATAGTCCTTAAGTTACTTAAATAAAGTATAATATTATCACTATACCAGACAGTATTTTACGAAATCCCCAAAAAATCTCACCTTTGTTTTAGTGGTTGAAACATGCTGTAACTCGATTATCTGTTGTTCAAGTTGCTCAATATCGATTTTCTGCTGTTTAATAACTTTCGCATTACGGTCAGCAAGTTGTTGTGCTTTTTCTTCCACCGACTTTTGCTTTTGCCACAAATTATCTAGCTCAATCTCGTGCTTAGCACGCAGTTCATCCATACAACTCTCATATTCCATATGCAAATTTTGTTTTTCCACTAAATGATTAGCAAGTGTGGACTCAAGTTCAGCACGTAAGGATTCTTTTTCTGCGCGTAAAAGTTGTACTAATGAGTCATGCTCCATTTGCAATACACCGACAGCAGCATCATGGTTTGTCTGTAAACTTTTGATGGTAGCCCGGTGTTTATTATCAGTTTCTTCGCGCAGTTGTAAAATTGACATTTCATGAACAGCGCGAAGATTTTCATTTTCAACATGGAGGCCTCTGTTTGCAGCTTCTACTTCTTTGAACTCTTTTCGTATACCATCATTATCAATCCGGACTTTTTCATTTTCTACACGCAATGCTCTTACTGCCATTTCGTGGTCATTTTTCAATTTCTTGATTTCTTCACGCAGTCCTTGCACTTCAGTTTCATGTTCTGTATTTATATTTTCTTTTTCTTTAATTATATTAAGTACAGTGGTTTCTTGCTCAGTCCTTAACTTATCGGTCTCTTTGTGCAGGCCAACCAATGTGGCCTCATGCTCTGCGATCAGATTTTTATTTTTCTCAATTAAACTTTGAACCGCAGTCTCATGTTCAACCTGTTTATCCTTAATTTCCTGCAGTAAAAGATTGGCAGTCTCGAGCTCTTTCTGTAGATTCTTGTTTTCTTCGCGTAATCCTTGAATAATAATTTCTTGCTCAGTTAACATATCCTTAGCATCATTTTCAATAACCTGCTTGTCTTGAATCACAATCTGCCGAAGATTTTTAAGTTCCACACACAAATTATCGATCTCTGCCTTATGCTTGGCTTGTAAATCCGCCAACTTGACACCATATTCTGCATGCAATGTCTTAATTTTAGTATCAAGTTCAGCACGCAGTTGTTTAGCTGATGTGTTATCTCCCTCTAAAATGCGCAACTTTTCAGTCGCCGTGTTGTAATTTGTACGCCAATTGTCGGTTTCCTCACGCAATTGTTTGACATTCACTTCGTGCTCGATTTGCAATGCCTTTAGCTCCTTGTCATGCTCAGCCTGCAAGGATTTCACAGACAAATCATTTTCAGTCCGTACATCTTCTTCCGTTTTAGACAGTGTTTCTGTCATCATAGTCACGACTGAATCATATTCCGCACACTGCACAGTCTTGACATTGTTTTCCCGCGAGTTCTGTGAACTGGAAATTTGCACAACCGAGGTATTTGGGGTAGTAACTACAATCGTTGGAACCACAGTCACAGATGGAATAACAACTTGATGTTGCTGAGATCTTAATGACTGTTGTTGAGGCTGTTGCTGCTGTTGTGAAGGCAACTGCTTGTCATTTCGACGTTGTGGTGGCTGGGACTGTTTATTTTCTTTCTCGCGCTTTAGCTGTTGCTGTAGTTGTTGTTGCTGTAGTTGTTGTTGTTGTTGCTGTAGTTGTTGTTGTAGTTGTTGTTGCTGTAGTTGTTGTTGTAGTTGTTGTTGCTGTAGTTGTTGTTGTTGTAGTTGTTGTTGGTGTAGTTGTTGTTGGTGTAGTTGTTGTTGTTGTAGCTGTTCTTTTTCTTGCTGAATTCGACGGCGTTCAGCCTTCGTAGTGACAGTTACACTATCGTCACCCCGTTGATTCTTCTTTCGGTTTGATTCGCTTCCACTATTGTTGATGATTGTAGAAGTATTAGTTGGTGAACTACTGCTACCGCTGGTCTGAAATAAATAAAAATGTTACTATTACATATTAAACAATTAGGTACATATCATATGCTCAACACTATTATAACCAATACATTACCTAGTTTTATTTGTAAATATAGCTAATAAATAACTAATATTAGTAAAAATATATTTTCTGATGTTAAGTGTTATTAATATCAACTCAAAAGTATGTACCAAAAACTATACCTACACTCCGGCCTCTCTTCCAGAAAAAAGTAAACTGTTTCGCGCATGTAGACTGATGACAGTGACTATTTCACCCCATTTTGTTCTATTGTTATTCAATGTATACATGTGCGTAATTGGATGTGTTTTAATAGCAAAACGGTTTACGTGAGCCGGAGTATAGTTAAAAACTTTTTTATTTTAAGTAAACAAAAAGATTGTTATTTTACAAGTTGCGCTTGACACATACTGTACATCCTTCTATATTCAATTTAATTTCTATAAATATGTTGATTTTTGGTATACTACCTAAACATTTTATTACTATAAACACCATTAACTTTATATTTCCCAAATATTTTCTTTTAAAATTTTAAATAGTTAAAAATATTTAATTAAATTGAAAACATATTAACTTTAAAAATGTCTAAATTTTTTTTAGACAACTTTAAATGTTATGGTATCCAGTAACTATAATATATTATATTTGTATTATTTTATTTTTTTAAGTAAATATTATTTTATTATTATTATGCAGCATCACAATAGCCAACTGGATATCAGAAATACAATATTAAAAAACAAAGATATTACTAATGAATACAAACATTTTTTTACAAAAATACTATAAAATAATAAAATGAAACCAAATTAATTGTATTTTAATGTAATATATAATAATAAATTGTACTACAAAGTATGCAATACAATAAATGGTTGCGGTCATCAAAGGTAGTTCTTGTTAAGTAGGAATGATACAGAACTGGGTGCTAAAAGAGAAAGTTAAGAATGTCGAACCATTAAGAAGACATTAATAGGCCATCAATTAAGGCTCAGAAGTTATAGGTAATGTACACAAAATACCTAGGTATGCCTACAAATATACACAAAAAAAATATCTAAAATTCAAACAATTTTTGATTCTAAATCTAAACGGCAAACTTCACCTATTAAGACCCTTACTCAGGTCTACCATCAATATTCAAAATAAACTTCTCATCAATAAAAGTCTCCTTCGTCCCATATAGACCTACGGCATCATACTCTGGGGCTTAGCTAAAAAATCAAATCGCCAAACAATTCAATCTTTTCATTCAATTTATATGTCTGTGTATCATCACAAAAGCTCCATTGTACATAATGAACAAATTACTCCATGACGACCTCTCAATCAAAATCATCCACGATATAGCAATCATCTTCTACAAAAGGTTACACGGGAAACTCATTACGAACCCCAACCACCTTATTTCACAATTGGCCTCAATGACACTTCCTGACAACCCCATAAGACGTCTCAAACAAAATTGGTGAAAAAACTTCTAACCTTATAACCTATAAGGCATAATTATACAGCCAATGCATCCTATTTTGTAATATAATTTTAGATAGGTATAACTATTTAATTTCATTTAATCTATGCAAATAAGTATAATATAATTGTTTATATTACCATAGTAATCCATTCGCCTTGGTCTAGATCATCGTCTACAGATGACAATTGATCCATGCTGTCCATTGCAACCAGATGATCCTCGTCAACTTGGCTATGCGACGAACAAGACGACGAACGACGCTGGTTTCTTTTTTCCTTGTCACCGTTTTTGCTGTTAGAACCGCTGGGATTTGAGAAACTGTTACTTCCCGTATTGGCAGAGTATGATGCTGGCCGTACATTTTCTTTCTGATTAGCCGAGGTGCCTGATCTCTTGTTTCTTCGTCCGTCCACGGTCCCTCCACGTTGGGAACGTGCAGTCAGACGAGCCGCCGGACGAGTCGCAGGACGAGACGCCGGACGAGCCGCCGGACGGGCCGCCTGACGGGCCGCCGGACGAGCCGCCGGACGAGCCAACCGCATCAAGAAAAAAAACACGCCACTGAACACGATGGTGATTAACAGTGCCAAAACCACTGTACTGCTTTTACCCTGCTCCATTCCGGATGCATTGGCAGTTTCATCGAGAGAATTCATAATATTAATATAACGGATGTTTTTCGCGTTGACAATGCACGAGGCCGCGATGATGGTGACGTGGACACTGCCGTCTGCCGGCGGCGATGGTGCTGATCGAAAACTGTTATAATGGTGGCGAACTGCCGGCGGTTGTACTTGTGTTTTGTGTCGAAACTGTGGTGATGGCAACGGCTATGGCGCTGACGACGTCGTGCGTGCAGCAAAAGATTTAAAGATACCGCAGTAGCACACAACTGACGGCTCGAACAACCAATCGCATGTAGCGTCGTTCTCGACAGATAGCAGCGGTAAAACAGTGGTCTGTGGTAGCAGCGGTAAAACAGTGGTCTGTGGTAGTAGCGCCGCGTTGTAGTCGGTCGGTGTATAACACATACGCACGCGCATTAAATTCGTTTGCGGCGGGACGCAACGGTTGAATTCCAAACATTCCAGTCACGGAAAAATGGATGACGCCAACCACAAAGCCAAACAGTTTACGTGGACGCATATAACTGGTTCAAAACTATTCTGACCATGGACATTACAAACTAATACATATATTTATGGTCCCAGTTGTCCGAAATCAAAGACGTAGGTATTCCAAGACAGTGGTCGGAGCCGTTAAGGGAAGAATTTTGAGGTTGCCTCCACTGCCATCAGCCAAAAAAACGAACTCTTCTTTTTTCTCGCTTTTTCAACTATCTCTCTTTGTGTAGACCAGTGCAGACCTTACGAACTGACTTAACCTAAGTTACCTACCACCTGTCAAACATTATTTTTTTCCTTTCCAAATTTAACATAAGAGTGCGATTTTTATAAAACTGATTTTATTCAGTTTTTTTTTTTTAAAAATATTAAAATAATGATAGCTTTTGCACCCTGTAGTTAATTTTTCAAATTATTGCCAAAAGAAATTATACATTTTAAAGATTATAGCTAAGTAATATGGTTTTAAAAAATTGTTTAATATTTGCGTTGAATGTTTATGAATTAAATAATAATTTAAGCTTTAACAAAGAATTAGTATTCGAATGGACGTGAACGTCTACAAGAACGTAGAGCATGGACGTTTTTGAACATAAAAACCTCATTGTATCGAAAAAAGTTTTAATATTAATTCAAATCATTACTTGTGATTTAGCATAAAATATTATTTGTGATGAAAATTAACACAACTTTATCTCTAAAGAATGGCAAATCAATTTTTTATAGGTAACAAATTATTGTATAAAATAAATAATGGCTTATGTACAACTATGTACACTTTTAAATTTTAAATATCTACCGCATTTCATTTAGGTAAATTTTTAGATTAAATCTGAAAATACTTTCGATTACATAATTAATAGGTACTCTTTTGATAATGAAACGGGATCATTTTTAAATGTATTTAAAACTGAACCCCAATACCTATAGAGTTATGTTAGTATAGGATATTATTAAGAGTCGATTAATTTTCATTTTTAAAAATTGCCTACACGGCCCCTTAAATTATCGCATAATTTTACATTACGTCTTGATACCTACTAGATACTAAATACACTGGAGCCGAACTAATTTTTTATATGTTTGGCAATAAACATTAATTTATACCCACCTACCTCTACTGTATTACACTTGTCATAGCCCTCAACCCCATACCAACTACCAATTTCTTAAACTATTAATTATTATTTTCAAAAATTATACTCGTATTATTAATTGAATAATGTTAATGTTTCAATGTATAAATAGGTATTTTAATTTTCAATTAGAATAGAAATGATTTATAATATAATCATTAGAAACCTATGTTGACATGGACAGGAATATATTGGTTTTACTATGGTGTGTATTTTTGTATTATTTTATTAAAAATGTAAACAACTTTTCTACCAGTAATCTTGCTCCGATGTATAGAGTGTAACACTTTCTAAAAGGTAATTTTGTCTAGTTAGTGCATTAAAGACATCAATATTTGATTATCTTAAGAATTTTTAAAATAATTGGGAAAAACCCAAAAGAAAATTATAGATAAAACGGCAAATATGTACAATACGCTACGACGTAACCGGTTTAATAATTTTTAATTCGTATACACGATATTTTCTACCAAAAATATTGCTCTAATAGGAAAAAAACCAGTGATTTTTTTATTGAATTTTTAATTTGGTTAGGTAGTTAGAAAATCGGTTTTTGATTTTCCATGTAGTTTTTAAATAACAGAGCAAAATCGAAAATAAAATCGTAGAAAGAATAGACAAATTTACGAAAATAATGTTATATAAAATTATAAGTTGTACTTAATTGCCAACAAGAAAAATTTGAGTTTAATATAGTATTTTTTTTATCGTGTATGTTTTCACTCTGTATAGTCTGCGTACAACTTCGTGAACTAGTTGTAGCCGTTATTGTAGATTTAGACATTTATTAGGTACTATTGGTTATTTATCGTAAAACTATTAATTAAGTAGTTATAGTTAAATAGTTAAATCTGTTTTTTACTAATGTAATCTAAACACGCTACGGCAGTCTAGGAATTGACTAGTTCGTGTCGTTATTTGCTATTACAAATTATGTCTATTGTTCCATTCTATTAATTGTAAAATGTACAATGCTTTATACTAAACAACCAATTCTAGGGGGTATACTCACCCCTTAAATTAGGTGTGGCAGCCCCCACAACTAATATATAAGTTCAGTGCCACAAATATACTACCTACTTGGGTATAGGAGTTTTTCGTCTTGTTTGATTTGTTGATTTAGCAGTGTTAAATAATTTAATATTTGTATTTTAACATTTATTCACACGTTGCTGTCTGAGAATTATGTATGTAGAAACATCTAAAGATGATTTTTTTTAAAAATTATTAATTAATATTAATAATAGGATTAGATACCTTATAATTTTATGTATGTAAAAATGTTTAAAAAAAACACAAATACTTACCTAGACATATTTAACTAAATTACTGTTACTATGAATAACCGCAATAATTTTTGTTTTATAATTCTTTTATTTAATGTGCAGTAGAAATTGGCTAAAATTCCTTTTACCTTGTACAATCTACTATTAGGTTTAGGTATGTTCGGATTTTAATATTTATTCGGATATTTCTTAGTCTTTTAAATTATATACCTATTATATAGCTGTGTTTTAAGTCTGACTGCGGGATGTTCATCTAAAACCATAAGTTACCTACCTATGTAGTGGCTAATTTTTTATATTAAATTCGATGACGGTGTAATATACATATAGGTACCTAATATTTACTTGTTCTAACAACCACTTATACCAATGTGAATTTTTTTAAAACTTCGAATACGTGAAATCATTGAAATAGGAAAAACATGGGATAGTTAAACTATGCATGATGTCTGTCTAGTGTCTATAAATTATAGTATTGAATAATTTGTGGAAACAAAACAACTTATTTTAAATTTCATAAGCGATAGATTGATAAAGTTATCTTCTGTCCCTTAGTACATTGTGTACTCGGCCGACCAATCAACGGAGGTTTAAACGTCTGTGACGTCATAGTGTTTGAAAACTCACTCCTCTTAGAACACTACCACCCACTGACCTACAACAGATTGAAATATAACTAAGGTGTATTGATCGACATTCGACGTACGTTGAATATACCTCCTCATAGATTCTAACATTTTTATGTAGTTATTATCATTCATTTTTTTGGTTCAAATCAAACGGTTCTTAATATCAAAAATGTATGAAGTATGTTTAGAAACAATTTGTATGTTTATAATCTATTTTGTTTTGCCGTACTAAATCGTTACGATAAAAATGATTGCTGAATGTGTAGAATATAATTTTATATAAATAGTTCAAGTTTTTTGGAACTATGACCAATCTTCATAACACAACAGCATTGACGGAATTTACTCCTCTAAGTCCTGATCGTGAACAATCGGCTGTTGGTTCATTCATTTCCAAAGTATTTAACTTTAAAACAAGACCAATAAATGTTGACGATGATAGTACCAAAGTCAAGACTCAACTGCTTGTAAATGATGTAAATATATTTTTATTAAAATAAAATCTTAATTTTAATTTCTAAATTGCATACTTATTAAAAACTTTAAATTTAAAATATAACAATTAATGTCACTTATCTTCTTAATTGTATGTATTGTATAAAAGTAATTATTGATGAATAGTATTTTGCATAATCTAACATATATTATGATTTATATAATTTGGAGGACCAAACAAAAAAAGGTACTTTGGATTCTTCGCAAACTCTCGAGACCATTGACTCAAGAAATTTACCAAATATTTTAAAAAGAATCTCTAGTTTAATACCAATTCGATCAGTAGTAAGTTTAATTCATTGAAACAACTATATTTACTTATCTTATAATAATTGACATTTTTATTTGAAAGGATTATTCAACTTGCAAAAATAATGATTTAAAACAGTATTGGATGCCTGATTCTGTGAGCAAAGAATGTTATGAGTGTTGCGAAAAATTTACAACTTTTCGAAGGCGTCACCATTGTAGACTATGTGGACAAATTTTTTGTTCAAAATGTTGTAATCAAGAAATACCAGGGAAAATAATGGGTTGTTCTGGTGAGATAATTTTGTATTTAATTTAAATTTTTATTTTTAAGTACTTTAAATATTATTGTAATTTTTAAATCAACTGCATTACATATACCTATATATTTTTTATATTTAATGTAATATTATGTATAATTGTATCTCTATAAGTATTATTCTTCGCGCTGTTTTATGTTAAAATTGAAATGCTTTCTTGACATTAAAATAAAATAATAATAATATATATATTTATATAATCAGAAGTCGTTAAGTTGTAGTGGTAAAAATATTACTTTTAAAAATGCCTAAGTAGTGTCAGACTTCAAAGGCCCCTAAATTAATTACCTTTTGTTTTTAGTACAATTAAATAAAATTGTTTATCACTATGACACTATTTACAGGTGGCAAACCGATAAGAAATTTATTAATATAATTAAATAGCCCACGGGTAAAGTGTATATGAGTTTTTGTATAATTTATACATTGTTTTAATTTCATATTACAAAATTAGATCAATGAATATTTAAGGAGGTTAAAAATGTATGAATTATGAATGCAAATCTTGTTAGCATAGAAAAATAAAATATAAATTGAACTAAATTGTCATTTGAATAAATTAATTGGTACTTTCCATGACTTCTCCATTTCTATGATTATTTGTTCATTGTGAATTCCTAATTTAACAAAAAATTAAAATTAAATTAATTTTATAATGTAAGACAACAAAAAAATAGCTTTGGTTTTTCTATAAAAAATAACTAGATTATAATATAATTTAAATTATTTGAAAATGTATATTCCTGATGGTCATTTAGCAAGGAAACTTTTATTTAAATTTGACTTTTGTCATTTAATCAAGTTCTAAATATTTATAAAAATACTAAATTTTGAATTATAAATATGCAAACCAGCATTAAAAATTCTGTTACTAAAATTAAAATATAATTGCTACTAAGTGCTATTCAACTTTACAATTTATGTTTTAATAGGAGGCCTTCGGGTTTGCACATACTGTTGCAAAGTTGTATTGTCCTACTTACAGTCAACTGCAAAAAATACGGTATTATCTCCAGATTTATTACATCTTAAAAATGAACTATTAAGTAATGTATCTACCAAACATTTGGAAACTAAAGTTGAAATAATAAACTCTCCTAGTAGAAAGATTTCTATCGGTTACCAAGAAGAGAATTTTGCATTACCTGGGTAAAATTATAATTATATAACTATTACCTAAACTGATTATTTTTGATTTTTTAACTAAACTTTAAAATATAAAAATAATTATTAATTCTTATTTTTACTAGGTCAAGTACATTAAGTAGACTATCGCCAAATGCAATTGATTCAAATGTGTCTGAAAATCTCAATAACTTATTCAAAGAAATTACTCAAGTTAATGGTGGAATAAGTTTGAAAACACACCGGTATCATTTAAGAAGTTACCATTCATGTTTTCTTGGATTGAATTTAATTGATTGGCTTATAAATCATGGAAAAGTATCTAGCAGGTAATATGCATCAATTTGTATATTTTGAGAAAAAATGTCCTAATTATTTTTAACTTGATATCACTTGTGCAGAGTTAATATTTATCTCAGACAAACTTGAATGCATTTATAAAACCAGTGGTGGACTGGAACATTTAGGGCTCCAGGATGCGCTTTATGTTAGGAAACTATAAGTAGAAGAACTCCTTAAAAGTATTATGCTCCAAATTTTTATTTTATTCTTTTCATTTTTATATTTATAAATACATTATTCTCATGTTATAAAAAAAATTGACTGAGATTATGGATCTGGAAAGTAACATCGAAGGATTTTTCTGAGAGAACAAAAAAGTAAAATTATCTATAAATGTTGAAGAAAAGCTGAAACACTTAGTTTACCTGTTTTTTTCTAAATTGCCTAAAAGCATTTTTTTTATTTTAAACGATAATATAATATTAATAAATATAAATCAATAGAATTAATTATTCATACAATGCAATATATATATACACAAAACTTGTGTGGGGTTTTACTTCCAGTGAAGCAGCCCCATTCTTAATATAAATCAAATGGCTTCAGTCGTTTGATGTCCTGCGAGTTGCTGAGGAGTTATATAGTAACCGTATTTGTGTGAAGCTCCAGATTTTTGCATGACATCGTATTATTTCGATATTGGATTTACTGGCACAACCCCACAATTAAATACCATAAATCCAAATCGGTTTAACAATCGATACATACAAGAGACGTTTGCTGGTTAAGTCTAGCTCGGAGTGTCGTCAAACTAGTCAGTACAGTTTGTGCATTTTTTGTTTGATTTACAACTTTTTCTGGCGTACATGATGTTTCCAGTTAAGTCGTGAGTCAAGGTGCATTCCCNTGTGAAGTATTACATAAGATGTAGTTAACGTGCACTGACTTATCTTCATTAATTTTTATTTCCCATCGTTTCGTCCAGTTGTAAACGGTGTTGATTGTCGTTTGTAGAATCTCAGTTGCAGCTTGTTTGTCCTTCCTTGTTGATAGTATTGCCGTGTCGTCGGCGAACAATCATTGTATTGTCGAGCTATCATTGTATTATAGAGTAGGTACAAAATAGATCTGAGAACGCTACCTTGAGGTACTCCAGCTGATATATTCTTCCAATTAGTTATCACTTCTTCGTATCTGACGCGAAAATGTCTTTCAGCCAGATATGATTTAGGGAGTGCGCACCGTGTGTGCGGAAGCTGCTCACGTAGTTTTAACTATAGGCCTTTGTGCCAATCTTTGTCAAAAGCTTAGACTACATCCAGGAATACTCCACAGCAATAATTTTTCTCTTCCAACGCCTTACTGATCACATTCATTATGTGATGAACTTGGTTGATAGAGGAGTGTTTTGTACGAAATCCAAATTGGTGATCTGGTATAAGTTGCTTTGCTTTAATAACTGGGTTAAGACATTTGAGAAGAAGTTTTTCAAATAGTTTTTACAAGCATGGTAGAAGCGATATTAGTCTATAGGAGGAGGTTTGTTAAGTTTACCTGTGTACAAATAAAATAGCTTTTAAATACCATAATACAAATCAAATAACTTTATAAAACAAATATGAATATTATAAAATCAATGAAATCTGTAATGATAAATCATTGCTAACAAAAATATGATTCTGAGCAGAGTTCAGTTGATAGTGTTGCTTTGTTAAAAATATATAATATTATAATCATATTATATTATAATATTATAATAAAATAATTACATATGCCTTATATATTTTCTTTAATAATATTTGTTTAATATTGTACCAATTTTCTTGGTGTTCCTTAGTTTTTTTCCAGTTTTTCCAATATATAGAGATAACTCCTGGTAAAAACAAATGATCTCTGTAAAGTACCACACACATCAGATTTCCTTTCAGGAAAAGTGCTATCATAGGTAAATATGAACAAAATTGCTGATAGGAAAGTTGTCCACAGAAAATAAATTAATAAATAAACATCATTGTAAAACCAATACATTCTTCACTTCATTCAGATTCTAAAATAATACTAAATTGTTAATAGATACAAATAAATGTATGACTTTAATACTTAAAATAATAATATTAAAAAAAAGTAAAAATAAATAGGATAATCATAATATTATCATTTTGTCATTTGTTTCCAATCGAATTGATATTTGAATTGAGTTGGGACATCAAGATCACAGTTAATGATATAACAAAGGCTTAAAGATATGGTTTAATAAGGTTTTAATATAGTTCTGAAACTTTAAAACTGCAATACTGAACATTTTAGGAATATTTATTATTTTCGGTCTTCTCCATAGCCCTTCAAATATTTATACTTCTGTGTTATTAATTAAATAAAAAAATGTAGTCTTGCTTTTCAAATTAAGTCATTAGTTACATCTTTAAAAAAAACATAGTCATTAATAAAATTTAAGTAAAGATTAATGAAATAAAATAATTTGCTTAAAAACATTATTTAAATTTTTTGTATAAAATACCAATCAATATAATAACTTTGTTGAAAGTAAATTAGAATTCTCAACAAATTCATTTAATACTTTCAGAGCTGGGAATTTTATTATTTTCAATACAAATAAGTACCTAGTTAAGTTTCCAAAAGTTCTTGCCCTAATGAAATTGTTAAAGTAGGCATGTTATAATATAGTATATAAATACAAAATATTAGTGTGAATCACGATAGTAATAGACCAGGTTAAGTACACCTAGGGAGCATTTTGATTCCTTAAGGATCAGTAAGTTTTAAGGAGGTGTTGGAGGCATGAGCTTTTAAATGTAGAATGGTGATGGAAAAATAAAAAAGCACAAGCAACATTCAGAATAGTTACCTATACTTGGATCTAGGATTGGCCAAGATTCATATTATACTTGGTATAAAGATAGATAAATGAAAAAATAAAACCCAGTAAAAAGCATTAGCAGTCAGTTATATCGGTAAAGAGGCCTTGAAACAAAAATGGTTAAGAACCTATTGGGTATCGATAAAGATTATGAGCAAGGCAGTATCTAAATAGAGGCAACAGAGGGCAGTTTCATTTTTATTTTTTTTAAATTTAAAAAAAACGTAGAATAAAAGAGGTTGGGAACCACTACTGTAAATAGTTAGTAGATAGTTTTGATAAATTTACTCATTACTTCATTTGTTTTACAAACATTTTATTTTAGGTTTTCATTAATTTACTAGATTTAATATTAATATTTTAATTATAATGATATTTTATTATACCATGTTTATATATTATACTATTATATATTTATATATTTATTTTTAATTGATATATATGTATTTAATTTAATCAATAAAATAAATTTATAACAGTTTTTAATTGTGACTTTAGAATAATGAATAATTTATATTATGTAACCCTAAAATTTATTTATGGATACATAAAAAAAAAACTCTGGTATACATTTTTACTCTGTGACATCAAAAATCACAAAAGTAATCACAACTTAATTTTTACTTAAAATTTATTACAATTTAACAAACCTATTATGATTTTTTTTTTAAAATAGCTAATAATAGAAATAGGCTAACATATATTTTAAAAATAGAGTAGTGTGGAAAGATATTTTGATTTAACCAAATTTTAAAATGACTTATTTCAAAAATTTTTTAGAATGCATGGTATANAGTTATTTGTATAAATTTAGTTCGGTACTTCCAAACCAGTCAAACAAATTTGTGAAAGACCCTACAAAAATTAAAACACTTAGTAATTATTATTAATATATAATGTAAAACCTAAATAATGGTTTTATTATTCAACAAATATATTTTACAATAGAAAAACAAAGTTCAACTGTTTCCAATGAAAGTTTTAAATTAGACTTTGATCTTCATAATAACACAGTTCAAATGTCCAAGCGTATTGTCCAAAAAAAAACAAATTCAGGTGATATTGTATAAAATTAATACATACTAATTTTGCCAGTGTAATTATTTTATTTTAAAATAATATAATTTTAGTTGTTGAACTACGACCTATTGATATATTGATAAAACAATTATTGGATACTATTAATAATACCTACCAGCTGAACAATTTTGATACTATAAAAAATTGGAGTATCCCCGAAAAACTGAGCAATTGTAATAACGAGGCACATATTTTTAATCATTTAACGTTAGTATCTTTATTATTATTATCTACTACAATTAAAAATAAAGACATTATTTGTCTTTATCATTTAATAATTAATAATTACTAATTTTTAATATTATTTATGAACTTATATTTTTATACATTTTAGAAATATATTTGAAGATCATAAATTAAACTTTGTCAAACAAATATTGGATAAAAATGGCCTCTCTAAGAATTGGGTGGATACCTTATTAGCTCTCTCTGATTTAATTATTAAGGAACTGAAACCAGGTTTATCTACAAATTCAGGAAATATGAGTATTTGCCAGTATGTAATATTTTTAATGTACATTATTATTAGAAATTGAAAACTTTAAAAAGTTTAAATTGATTAATTTCATAACAAAAAAATGAAAATAAAAATCTACTGGAGCAAAATTGAATTAAAATGCCATAATTATTTTATTTAATAATTAATTTAGTTTTGAATGTTGACTTGCCTAAAAAATGTCTGACTGTTTGTAATTTCTGAGTAGTTTTAGTAATTAACTTCTGCCTTTATCAATCATTCATTATCATAATCCCTTGTAGCCACAAAAGGTAAAATTAAATTCTATCGTTTTAAATTGTTTTTACTTTACTATCTTCAAAACCATAATCAAATTAATTATTACTAGGTACCAGATTTATATGTAATTAAAATTTAACTAATTAAAAATAATTTTAGAACACTCCAAAACAAAATAATTTTTTTCATACAAAATGTATATATAATAAAAAAAAAAATAAATACTTATGTTAATCATTTTTTAATATCAGACAATTGTATTATAGATTTTTAAACCTTTCCACAATTTACTTTTATAAATATTTAAAAAATTGTAATGCTTTATTGACAATTTTAAGTGCTTTTTTGTGGATTTTAAGTACATAATATAAATGTATTACTTAATTATTACATTTATAAGAATTAAAACTCATATTTTATATAAAAACTAAAAATTCTTAAATGATTTAATGTTTAAATAATTAAATAATTTATTTTTCTACAGATTATATTAAATTTATTACTACTTAACTGCATGTCTGCCTTGTATTAAAAAAAAAAAAACATCATTTTAATTCCTCATTTCTATACAAAATACAGGAAATTATTAATTTATTTTAACCATAAAATAATGTGTAGGTAATCAATAGTTATATTTAATTTTACTGTTTAATATTCATATATATGTTTATTTGTACATTCAATAATTATATTGCTAAATATTTAAAAACTATAAATGACATTGTTGAAATATAACTTTCTTTTATTTTGATAACATTTTTTTTTAAATTTATTTTAGCTATTTACAGATTAAAAAAATAGAAGGAGGTGACCAGAGTGATAGTTGTATTGTTAGTGGTATTGTATGTTCAAAAAATATTGCAAACAAAAAAATGGCATCCAGAATATTTAGACCAAAAATTTTACTCCTTCAGTGTTCCATCATTTATCAACGTGTTGAAGGGAAATTATTATCATTGGAACCTGTTATAATGCAAGTAAGTAAGTTGATATTTTTTTTAATACATTTTTATTTTACCTATGACTGTATGTATTATAGGAGCAAGATTACTTCAAAAATATTGTAAATCGTATTGTATCAATGAAACCAGATATTATAATGGTACACAAATGTGTATCTAGAATTGCGCAAGAACTTTTTAATCAGAACGGTGTTACATTAGTATTAAATGTTAAAGAGTCTGTTTTAGAACGCATAGCGCGATGTACAGGTGCTGAAATATTACCTTCTGTTGATGCACATATGGGAAAACCAGTACTAGGAACATGCGAACAGTTTTATGTAGAAAATTTTGAAAACAAAGCATTAATGTTTTTTGAAGGATGTCCAGTACCAGAAAAAGGATGTTCAGTTTTACTTCGAGGGTGTACAATTAAACAATTAACAATATTAAAAACTATACTCAGACAATTAGTATTAATGATTTATAACTGGAAATTAGAAAAATCTTATATAATGGATCAATTTGCATCACCTTTAATGGAATTTAACCATTTAAGTGATACCTGTTTAGTTAATGACCAAAGTTTTAAAATTTTATCAAATGAAAATATTATTGACAATTTAGAGCTGTTTGAAGTGAATAATTTATGTGTTTTAACTGAAATTGAACAGGACAATAAATTTCAAAACCATTTAAATTCTACAATACTCTCATTATCACCAGTAGTCAGTGTATGTGAACAGAATAATAATAATTATAATTAATTTAATTTAAAACTTGTATTATTTAGTTTTCAGTACCATTTTTGGAATCGGATATTGGAAAAAAATGTAAATTGCGAAAGTATTTTTCAAAACATATTTATGGATCACAAATTCTAAACAATATGAAATCTTCAATAGACTGCAATCAAGCAAACGATTATTTAAAAACAGAAATAAAAGTAATAAATTATTATAGTTATATTTTAACAGGGACTTTAACCATTACATTATTATTATTAATGTATACATCATAAAACTGAATCATAGAATTTAATTTAAAACCATTTAATTCTTTTTTAGTTTAAAAGAAATTTTATAATTCAATAATTTTGTTAGTTTTTGATTCTTTTCCATGTATCCATGTCTCCATGTTCTCCAGTAATGATATATTGGTTTTTACTATAATGTGTGATTTTTACATTTTTTCTGTTTTTTTAACAATTATTCTACCAATATTTTTACTAAAATCAAAAAATTATTTTGTTTAGTGAACGAATTGAAAATGTTATATTTTATTATTAATAAATGGATAAATTTACATGTACATGAAGTTTCATCCCTCCCTCTCAATTGGTACAACTGAAAATGGTGTCTAAACAATTTAAAACTTCCCTATTAACTTGCAAAATCAATTTATTTTTAAATAGGACAACTTCATGCAGCCCCCTCCACTTTTATTGAACAGCATCAGAATATCACCAAATAATTATTGAGAGTTAATTTTTTTTTTCTTTTTTTTTTTTTTGGAAATTTTTACAATGCCTATAATAATGATAAATATTTGCTATAAGTAAATTGACACATTAATAATATGAAATAATTTTAACTAAAATAATATTCATACAAGTTTTTTGATTATTAAAACATTTAGAGAAGTAACAATCATGTAATATAATTAATCCCAAAAATTGATTTAGTACTGAAAATTTTCAAATAAAGAAAGAAGCTTTTCAAAATTAAAAATATCCTAATAATATTATTAATCATATATCTACAAAACTGTTTGGCTAAAGTTCTAAAAATAAAATTTTTATTTAATATTCTAAATAATGTTACTGTATTTTTGTTCAAATGTTGACAAAAATTGTAATAATCATAACATTTGAAAACATGTTTAACCAAACTTTGCTCAGAATTAAGCAATGATTTATCCTTGCATACAGATATACATTAAAATGTAGGATACATATTTATTTAATAAATATGTATCCTGCCTCCCAACTTCTTACCTACAACAGTGATACACATGATAATATCGGTCCTTTTTATTTTGGGTATTTGAAAAAATTAATTTTACAAATATCTTTTTATACACTTATATTTAGATAATATTTGAATAGGTAAATATTTTTTGATTTAATAATTAATTTAATGTATTTTCTTGATATAGCTAAAGCCAAAGCATCCTTTTGTAACATGTAAATTAACTGAAGATATAAACAGTGATGAAATTCAAACTATGTTGGCTTTGTTTCGAGCTCAAGGTGGTAGAATACTACCAAATGAACCAGGAACATCCATTAATCCTCAAAAGAATACTGAAACAAAAAAAGAGAAACTAATTGATATATTTGATCCTGTCAATCATCAAAGATTGCAGGTGATGTTTTATAGTTTTTGTCCTGAATCAAATAATGCACCATCATTTTGTGTTGAGCCAAGGTTTGTAATATTTAATATAATCCCATATATAGTAATATGAATAGAATTTCATTTCATAGTTTTATTTTAGATTGATATTTATGGAGTTCTATGGCAGTAATGATATATGCTTGGGTAAATTCTTAGAAAGATATTGTTTTCGTGAAACATATGAATGTCAATCTAATTTGTGCGATAGCCCAATGAATAAACATGAACGACGGTTCATACATGAAAAAGGTTGTGTTAGACTTTTGCTGTCCACAATTAGTGGTCCTTTTATCGATCATCCATATAATGAAAATTTAATTTATACTTGGTCATATTGTAAAAAATGTTCAGTAGTAAGTTTAATTCATTATTGAAATTAATTTTTTAATTAGAGCTTGCTTGTATTTGGTTACACTAGAATTGATTGAAGTAAACAAAAGAAAAAATTAAATTAAAAATATCAATTTAACCCAATAGTAAAATTTACTTTATTAAAATGTTGAAAATAGTTCCTGAATTTATGGCATAGTCACAGAATAATAAAACATCATATTTAAAATTCACATACTGACTGAAGAATAGATTGTAATGTCACATATTCAAGAGGGTGTTCTTTAATTTTCAATATTAAAATATTTTTGTTGTCATCCTCTATATACGTATGTATATGTATAGAAATAAACTACAAACAATTTTAGGTGAATCAGATAAATTTAAGCTGTGTCAAATTGAACTTTAAGTTTAAATTTGATACATTTTTCATTATTTATGAATATTTAACATTTCCATAAATATTTTATTAATTGTCTAACAATATTGACATTTTTATCTCAAATATTTTAAAGTGAATAAATTTCCTGTAACTTTCATAGAAATAATTTTTTTTTATAACTCATACCATTTATAAAGTACATTGACTTGATTCTATAAAATCACAATTTTTGTATTTTTTCATAGGTAGGTATAATAAATAATCATATTGATTAATTATGATTATAATGTTACATAAATCTATTTAAAGTTATATTTGTTTCTTATGAAAAACATTTTTATCATTAAAAAAAAAATAATGTTATAGTGTACTTTTTTTACAATCTGAATAAATTTTCTGATGTTCTTGCACAAATTTTAATATAAATTATTTTTGATCTTAGTTTAATGTTAATATTGCATTGTATTATTTTATCAGTTTAATTGCTTTTTTTGCAATATCATTTACTATTTTTAATGAATTAATAATTTATTTACCATTAATAAAGCTTGCATTAGATTCCCAGGATGTTGGATAATTTTTTATGAATTTGTTATCAATATTAAATCAAGAAAAAAAAAATTTAAGCTACCTTATGAAATCAATGCATCAATATTTGTTTCTGTAAAAAGTAAAATGAATTGTTTATATTTCATTTTATAAATTATTTCATTTTTTTATTCATTTTAAATATATCATATAAATTATGGTTTATTCCTTACTTAGAAATTGATTATCTATTTGGTTGGGTTGAATCATTAGTCATTTTATCAGGTTTTTTATTGCCTTTTTTTTTTAAAGACTTTTACCATCTGATGCTTTACTTCTAGTGGTATAGAATTATCAAAAAAGATAGTGCTGCAGTTTGTTCATTTAAATACCATAAATGATTAGTTAATTTTTGAATTGATATTCTAGATATCTCTATTGAATTCCTCATATAATTTTAAATCTTTTAGAAATTGTATGTCTTGATTTGGAGATTTATTCGACAGTGGGCAATTAAACCAAGCTTCAACATAAAATTTTGTTAAATTAAAACCGCACAAATCTATTTTTTTGCTGTTTTTATAAAATCATTAATATTGTATTGACTTCTATACAAAAATATTTTTAAGCAATAAATTGCTCTTGCCATCCACTATGCTTGATGCATGACTCCAAGAGGGTGAATTTTAATTTTATATTCCGAATCACCACCAATAAAACTAAGTATAAATTCTAAAAATTCAGGATAATCTCCACGAGAATGTTTAATTTCTAATTTACTTTGAACAAAGTTTCGAATATCTTCCTTAACATTTTCTAAAACAGCACCACATGCACCATCTTCAATTCCAATATTATATTTATATATATCTAATTAATGCCATTTTTTTAGAAAATTTTAAATAATGCAATGGCTGGGATCAATATAACTTGTTTTATTTTAATTTCAAAAAGAGATCTTAAAATCAGCTAATAAATATGATACTTACAAGGAAGATAAAATAGATCTTTACCTAATTTTTGTTCTATTAAAATACATGCTCCATTTAAGCAGTCTATATTGAACACAGTTGTATCACAACACAATGCTTGAACAATAATAAATAATCCCCATTTTTTTAATACATTACTCACAGCTGCAGCCTATTTTTCGATTGTTGATCACTCAAGTTGTGGAATGTTTATAATTTTTACTATTTTAATATCTATATTTTGACTTTCCATCAAGTTAAGGCAGTGTTACCACTGGGTGACTCCTCTCTTCATTTCATCATGTTTTTTATTTACTCATTTATCACATATTCTTATTGTTCCTAGGAACAGATTGTATATTCTTCGTATATAAAATAAAAAAAATATTTTAACTTGTCATCGCAATTGGAAGTTGTTCAACAGTTGTATTTTTAATTTAAGTGTCTGGTAATAAATATATTTGTATTATGATTATTATAATTGATAGAAAAAGTTCTATGGAAATTATATAAAATTATTTTAGCCAATATATTATTTATTATTAATACCTATCTAATGCAGATGAGTATGAGATATGAAAAAAATTAATTTCTATAAAAGTTCTAGGAAAATAATTTACTTTAAAATATTTGAGATAAAAAATGTTAATATTTCTAACAGTTAGTGAAAAATTTACAGAAATGATGAAAAATGTATTAAATACAAACTTTAAGTTGAATTTGGCATGGGGTTAACCCATTTATTTGTTTCACCTAAAATTGTTTGTAGTTCATTTTTATACATATACACACCCATATAGATGGTAAGACAAAACATATGATATTTTTTATTCATCATATATAGTTAAGGAACACCCTAGTACTCACATTTTTAATTTTATTATTATTTAATAATTGGATTTTATGTTTATTAACTTTTTATATTTTATATATGCAATAATAATACTCAAAATATAATTGAAGTAATACAATTATGAAAACCTGCTTGTAAAATCAAAAAGTTACTTCCTTAAAGCACCTAAGAAATGTTTTTTAGATAATCCTGATTTATATCACATCATTAGTAAATATTTATTGTTTTTCCATTTTTCCCATTTATTAATCCATTGGAAAAATCAAAAAATTACATCTTTTATGAACCAATTATATCCAAAATAACACAAAAAATGGTTATGTGTCATTTTAGATTGGAGTAAGATTTCTGGTAGAAAATTGCTCAGACACAAAAAAAAAACAATCAAACCAATAGTTTAAACTTGCTTTGCTCTAAATCTAAAGTATAAATAGTATAAATATGAAATATCAACACAATTTCAAAAAGTTGCTCTCAAAATGATAAGATTTTGACTTCAAATTGTATAAAATAGATTTAAAATTATATTTAGTAATAAATTAGAGCAACATAAGAAATTTTGCAAATGCAGCAGCATCCTGGTTGTAATTGTAATAACTTTTTTTTTAGATGACACCAATAGTACCAATCTCTAATGATACTTGGTCATTTTCGTTTGCCAAATACCTAGAATTAAAATTTCATTCTCTGCAGTGTCTGTGTCGTGCATTGCCCAATTGCAAGCATTGTTTAAATAAAGAATTTATACAATTTTTTGTCTTCAACAAAACAATAGCATCTTTTGAGTATGTTTAAGTTATTTTTACTGATTTAAATTAATTAAATGATTTTAAATTTTATTATTATTATTGTTATAGATACTTAAACATTGGAATTTGGGAAATTAGATTGCCTAGTTTAAAACTGAAAATAGTACCTCTTAAAGTAAACCAATATTGTTCTGATATATTGGAAGAAGTGAAGCAGTGGGCATTAATGGGCCATGAAATATTCAACACAGTAATGACAAAAATTTGTTCTTTGGCCAATGAATCTAATGGTAAAATAAAATACTTTTTTATTACTTTTTTGAATAATAAATACGTTGATAACAAATTATGATATTTTCAGTAAATTTTCTACCAATACTACAACAATTACAAAAGGATCAAGGATCCATTAAACAAAAAGTAGATGATATTATACAATTTCAAGTTTCTTCCTCAATATTAAACGAAAAGGAAACAAATTATGGTTAGGTTACCTTTAATAAGTTTGCATTTATAGTGTACATTAAATTCTTTTAATTTTGTTATCAGAAATGGTATTTAATACAATTTGGAAGTTGGATGATCTGTTGGTTTTATTAAGGAGAGCTATAAACCAAGCTATCATTAACTGGAACTCCAGATTATTAAAAATAGAAGTAGCTTTAAAAAAAGATGATAAATCTCAGAAAAAAAGTGAATTTAAATTGAATACTATGTCTGAGGTTTTAGAGGAGATTATGAACTTTGAAACAAATTCAGATCATTATATGGAAGGAAACAACATTACAAGTGTTCTGAGTCAAAATTCATTAACTTCTGAATCAGAAGAAGCTTTTGAACATGATTTTGAAAATCTAAATGATTCAGATATGTCTTTCAGTGGAAAATGTAAATTATTTGTTCCACATACAAGAGCTGATATGACAACAGCCAGTGAAAGTTATGCACTCAATGATTGTCAGTACAATTTTGGTATAAAATTTAATTGTTAACAAAAATAATATATTTCTTTTTTTTTTTTTTTTAGGTGACAATAATTTATCAAATGAACCCAAGTCCCAAATTACCTTACCACAAACAGATAAAAAAAGTGTCAAAACAATTCTATCACAATTATTACCATCATCCACACTACCTACAATTATCCCGGTAAAGAAATGTTGGAAATGCATAGTAGAAAACACAATATAAATTATTTATAATTATTTTGTTTTTATAGAATCCGATTGAAATTACAGAACATCATGTTTTAAATATACATTGCCATATACCTATATCAATTTATGAAAAAGAACCCAGTTCCATTATTGCATTCACATTAAGTACATCTTTTTACCAAAACAAAATTTCAAACACTGATCCAATGTGAATTAAAATAATTTAATATTAAATTTATACACATTAAATATGTATTATTTTTAATCATAAATATTGTCTAAACATTTTAATAGATCTATTATTGAACATGCTGAACAAGAAGAAGATCCTAAAGAAACTGACAAAAAATCAAAACAACATATAAATGTAAGTATTATTTTGTTGAATTAATACTTGATTTTAAATATATAATTAATTTATAATTTGTTTACAGATTACTTTCTCAGATTCTACTACTAATTTTTATGTAAAAGTTTATTTTGCCAAACAATTTGTAAAACTAAGAGAGGCATTCTTTGTATCAAGAGAAGAAATGTATATACGGTCCTTGCAAAGGTGTATATCATGGTCAGCTCGAGGAGGAAAATCTGGTTCAAATTTTTGTAAAACAAGAGGTAATTTAAAACTTTGAATATTTTATGTGATTATTTTAATTAATTTTTATTAATTTACTTAATAATTATTTAATATTATTATTAGATGATAGGTTTATATTGAAGGAAATGTCTCGGTTAGAGATAATGTCATTTTTGGAGTTTGCCCCTCAGTATTTTGCATACATGCACTCTCGTCAAACAAATAAGCGACCTACTTTAATGTGTAAAATTATTGGTGTTTATAAAATAAAGTATCGCAATACTATCAAGGGATCATCATCATTTAATTCCAACTTATTAGTAATGGAGAATCTATTTTACAATAAAACTATTTCTCGTATATTTGATCTAAAAGGATCAGTGAGAAATAGATTAGTTGATCCAAACTCACAAGATGGAGAAATAGTATTATTGGATGAGAATCTTATAAAAAGTAAGTTATTATACTAATGTATATTATATTATTATATATTAATATTGTTTTACAACTAGTTTAATAATTAGGATTGAAATGTTTATATACTAATAAATTAGTAAATACGAGGGTTGTCCCAAAAGTAATGCACAGCGCGCTCTAGCTGTCTTGCAATGTGATATTATCAGCTGATTTTAGTATCAGTTTGTAGCTTGAAGTCTAACGAACACGTGCGTTTTCAGTTTTAGTTGTTTTAGTAAAGAATGATGATGTGTGAGAGCGATAACGAAAGTGTGAATAATTCGTCGGCTCACATTTCTGTTTTTGAGCAACGCGCATACATTAAAATCGAAACGATTCGTGGTAAAACAGTGCCTGAAATTCATGCCGCGTTAAATGAAGTGTGTGGAATGGATACTGTGGATCGTAGTACGGTGCAAAGATGGCATCAGCGATTCCGTGATGGTCGTATAAGTNTACGATAAACTTGGGATAATTGTCACTGATCGAGTTCCAATTGGCAGTAGTGTAACCGGGGATTACTACAAAACATTCCTTGCCAAAAAATTGCGACTAGAAATCCATAAAAAGCGACCAGGAATGTTACAAAATGGTGTGTCCATATTGCACAATAATGCGCGGCCGCATATCGGAGCACCAGTCGTCGCTCTTTTGGAGAAATATGGATGGGAACGCCTCAAACACCCACCGTATTCGCCGGATTTAAGTCCCCCGGACTTTGATTTATTTCCAAAACTGAAGGAACCACTTAGAGGGATCCGTTTTCCCAACTTAGATATACTAAATGAAGAAGTGAGCCGAAGGATCCGTGAACTCAACAAAGATGGCGTCCTATGCGGCATTCAAGCGCTCCCGAAACGATGGCAATCGTGTATAGACAAGCAGGGAGATTATATCGAAGGTCTATAATATTGTATTTAGTTTAAAATAAAAACTTATTTATTCAGAGCAAATTGTGGGACAACCCTCATATGTATGCAATTGTTCACTAAAACATATCTTAAAAATAGGCAAATCATGCATTAAAAATAATACAAATATTTAGACACAAAATATATAACATCAAATAAATATAGAAACTAATTTACCTATTTTTAAATAGTATTATTTAATTATTATCTTCAAAATTTGAAAATATGAAAAAATAAAAGTTAAATGTTTATAATTCAGACACTATAAAACAAATTTTTATTTAAGAATCCATTCAATAGGATAGTTAAAAAAAATGTACAAAAACATAAACATCTCCATCCTATTAATAATTGTGATTTTTATTTTAGTGTCATGTGAATATCCATTGTATGTTCACTCTCATTCAAAAATAATTTTAAACCAAGCTATCAACGAAGACACAGAGTTTCTTAGCTCGCAATTTATTATGGATTATTCTCTTTTAGTTGGTTTAGATGAAGATTCCAATGAATTTGTTTTAGGAATCATTGGTAATGTATAATTTAATTTATTCACATTGTAGTCAGGCTTATTGGAATGATTATTATATAATTTTGTACCAATAATAAGTTAACATTTTTAACCTGTACATTTTTTACAGACTACATTCGTACTTTTACTTGGGACAAGAAAATAGAAACAATAGTGAAAAAATCAGGACTTCTTGGTGGTCAAGGTAAATTGCCAACAATTATTTCCCCTGAAGAGTACAAAAGTCGATTTGTTACTGCGATGAATCTATACTTTTTATCAGTGCCTAATAGATGGACAGGCATGGCTAAAGATTTTGAACATCAATTTTAGTTATAATATTTATTTACTATATTTTACTTCCTGTGATATTATTTAAACTTTATTTTGCCATTCTTTTCATTATTTTAATTAGTTTTATTTACTATTATGTATTATTGTATTACCTAAGGTGCTATGTTAAGAGGGGAAACATCAAAGAGGTTAGTAAAAAATCTCAAAGTGTTAATTTTTTAAAATCAAACAAAATTTATGTATTCAATTTCTAATAATTTTTAGGAAAACTTAATGAAAAAGTTACATAATAACTTACACATTTTCAGAACTAAATCTATCTCAGAGTATGTGGCAATATTAGTATTAAGTCTAACTGTACAAATTTAAAGAAATATTTCTTAGCACAGCACTTATTAATAATACATAATTACTACCACAATATTATAATATACCTATTATATAAATTTAACATTCAAATTATGAATTTTATTATACTTTTTTTAATTAGTTATCCATTACTTTTAATTATATATTATATTCAAATACACGTAGATATATTATAGTTGGTTAACTTAAATATGAATATATTAATAATATATAGATTAAGTTAGTTTAATAGAATATACTAGGCGATTTTCCAAGTGTGCTCATCCCATGTTTTTGGTTAAATTTTACATATTATATTTTCGAATACTTGGATTTTTCACAAAATTTGAGGAGTATCCTGTAGTATCCTGTGAAACACTAATAAAACTCACCGTGCCACCATAATTAATGACACTCCACTTCTCTCGCCTTACGAATATCGGCTTTAACTACACTTAAAAATTCCAACAATCAGAATTTAAATATGTACAAAATTTTTTAAAAAAATGGGATAAGTAGAGAGCATGCTTAGTGAATCACCCTGTGTGTGTATTAATATTATTATACACATATCCATATTTTCATCTTTTTTATCTTATGCGTGTTACTTTATATTATTATATTATGAACTAAATAATGTAACAAATATATAAAACAGCAATCATAATATCTTTTATTTGTCAGCATGATTAGAGATATTTAGGTAAAAGTTTTATTTTTTTACCTATTTATTTTATTTTTAAAAAGGTAATTTTCTTGCCAGTAACAACCAAATTAATAACAACAATGATTGCTTTCCATTACATAGGTAATCATAAGTAAATAAAAAAATTAAATAAAATTGATAAAATATAAAACCAAAATTGAAGTCTTCCTAGTAACATATTTACAAGCGAGGTTTAGGAAGTTTACACGTTCTCACAAAAGGCACAAAACTTCTATAATATTATTTAGGTGGCCTTATACCCATTTGCACCACTTACACTTAAAATTTAAGTAGATTTTATAAAGGTATGACATACATCACTTCTAAACAAAATATAGCCAGTAGTATACAATTTTTATTGTTTGGTAATTAAAATGTGAAAGGAATAATAAAACATAATTTTCAACATAATGTTAAAGTAGGAGCCATTTTTATGAACATAAATACTAATCTATACTATTATATAAAATTGTAAGGGGTTTCCTACGACCGCGCTAACCGAGAAAACTACCAAACCGATTTGGCTGAAATTTTTTACTGTTATACCCGACACTCTGCTAAAGGTTTTAGTACCACTTTTGTCAATAAAAAATAAGTATAAAGTTTTTGAAAAATTAAAAAATTATACACCTATATTATATACATATTGTGCGGCAAGGCGGCCCGCGGGTGTACAGTTACCTGCAACCTGACCTTTTCGTTTGTCAAATTGTATTGTGTTTGATATCGGTGTGTAGATATGAATTGTTCCGAGAAGTTTATCGCATGTACACCAACAATATGTATACCAAATATTCGTATTAATCTATAAATATATATATATATATATATATATTTACAAGAATTTCTCAATTCTCTTTCTCCCTCGGGATTTCCTCCTCATAAGCTAANGTGCGGCAAGGCGGCCGGAAATTTATTCAAAGAATTCCCATGATTCCATCTGACTTGCCGTTTTCTTTCAAGCGGCCTCAATTCCCTGTTAAAGTTTTTTTTGCAATTACGATAAACAAAGGTCAAACATTCAGGTACGTTGGCGTAGATCTTCGAACAGTGTTTTTCATATGGACAATTATACATGGGATTTTCTCGAACTGGGGACCCGAATCATCTTATGATTTTAATTTCAACAGGAGATAAAACAAAAAAACGTCATATACTCAGAAGTTTTATAAAATTCTTTATCAACCATTAATTACTCATAATTTCTTTTGTTTCTGTATTCATTTTTAATAAAAATATATTTGTCATTAATCCCACTAGAAACATTTCAATACGTTTTCATTAACCGTTTTTTATATTAACTTGCCGATATTATTAAACGATAGAATTTGAATAAAAAATTGTATATATCATCGTCCGAAGGCAAATTAAACAACCAATCACGGGTGAAGTCGTAACGGGTCGGCTAGTTACCTTATAGGTATACAATAATTATGATAATATAGATCCTTCTGGAGTTAAATTTTTATTATTACACACACTTAAATTTGAAATTATTTTATAACTGACGTTGGAATATTATTTTTAAAATTAAAGAGAATTATCTTTACCTACCATTTAATAATTATAAAATCATTATACCTTTTTTAAAAATTAGTATATTTATACATTTTACCCTTAATTGATAATTGTAATAAAAATTCAATTTTGGAAACCTATAATTTCAATAAGATATGTTTTAAAATATTCCTCTTTTTCTTCTTCTTCCATCCAACTTTCATTCGATGGCCATCCTCGTTCTCAACTTCCAATTGATCTTACAATTTATTCTCAATTCCATCCAACCATCTCTCATTCAGTCCCCCCCCATTTCCTCTTGCATTTATTATCATTATTATTGCATCAGATTCTTCAATTCCCAATATATGTTCTAACCATCTCAGACAATTTTATTTTATTTTGCCCATTATCAAAGCCACGTCTAAACTAACCTCTTACATAAGCACTCATCCCTTATTGTATCTATGCTCATCACTCCACTTGTCCATCTAAGCATTGTCACCTCAACTACACTTATTCTCCGTTTTATTTTTCTATTTACCGTATAATACTGAACCATACAACATAGTAAGTATCACTACACTACTGTAGAACTTATCTTTAAGTCTCAATGGAATTTTCTTATCACATGATACAAAATACCCACCTGGTATTTCTCTCCATTTTATCTAACCACACTTAATCTTATCTTCATGAAAGCCATTGTTCTAATGTTGATAAATTATGTAAATAAATAAATAATTAGATACCTACTCGTGCATGTCAGTTCTAAGGTTAATTAAAATCAATTAATATACCTATACTACCTATATTATTTTATTTTGTTGTCCACTTTTTTTAGAAACGGTTACTGGGGAATGTTTTCAGTTTGCATATGTACTGGGATAGGTATGATTGATATTAGGAAGTTGTCTTGTAAAATGTCTAGAGATTTGCTTTTTATGGGCGTAAGACATTCACCAGTTTCTACAGGTTGTGGATAGGTATTGACTTTTCCGCTTTGCTTCTAACTTCTAAGTATCTATGTACCTAAGGTACTTAAAATGTCTACCTAGTGATAAAGTATCTAATATATTATTTAGGTACTCGTATTAGGTATATGACATGTATCTAACAATTATTAGAATTATAATGAAAATTCTCTGATTAAAATAGAGGAGCAACACTACCACAGATTCAGGACAAAAGATAATCAAAAATGTATATTTTATCTATCCGTGCTATCATTTCCTAACTATTAACAGTAGGTACTTACACAGGTGGTAATAAGTTAATAAGTACTTACCAATAATTCTTTTGAATGGTTTTTAAATGTCTTATGTAGTGTCTAGAAGTTAATTTTGTTGTACATAAAACACTTCCTGGTTTGCCAAAGATGACAGAAAGTTAATCAGCCTTTTCAGATTAAATTTAGATAATGCATGTTACATTGTTACAGTATCAGTTTATTATTTCATTAGTACTTTTTAGTTTTACAACATGATTACACACTTCAATACTTCATAATTGCATGTTATTAGAAATTCTATACTGTAGTCAAGGTAGGCATAATAGAATACAATTGTAATTTCTATAATATATCCAATGTTAAACAATAATTAATTTGTTTTGAAACTTTTTTCTAGTAAGTTGTATAGTTTTCTATAGTAGGTATACAATATCACCATAGGTTGGTATGTGTACATACCGAGGTATTAAGTAGCTGTACTTATATAGCTATATCTATGTAATTGTTAAGGTAAAAAAATGTTATCTTAACTTTTAAAAGTCTATTTTTTTGGTTTTACAATAGTTTTTTTAAAGACAATTAAAGCACCAATAAATTATAAAAACAAAACGGTTCAAGCAATATTTATTTTATAAAATATTTTTATTTTATAATTCGAAGTCCAGGAATCACCTATAAAAATTAAAAACACAATGTAATTTGTGCTTCTGTAGTAGGTAGGTACCTAATAAAATGTTTATTCCATGTTACTTATTAACAAGGCTCAAAATTACCTTTTAGAATTTGGATATTATCTTGGTAAGACAAAGAACATTCTCAGTAAAAAACAATATAAATTTGTTAAATATAAATAAATAATACAACTTGTGATTACTAAAAGTAATGATCTCTAATAATAAATAAGTTTAATGAATTACTTATAGAAACTATGAAAACTATGAAAAAAATTCTATTTTTTTCTTATTAAAATAATAAATACAAATAATACAATTTTATTTCGTATAATGTTAATTAATATGAAAAAGTAAGCATGGAATACTTTTTTTTATATGCATTCATGCAATTCATGCATTACCTCTAGTATCCTTTAGTTTAGTTATCCTTTAGTATTTAAAGTAGAATAACTCAGAAATTTTTCGTTTAAATTTTGATTACAATACGTCAATATTTTCACTAATATCATCCGATTGACAATTTTTATTCATATTTGTAGATACTCTTTAGAAAAACCAAAGTTGATATTGCCACAAAATACTTCTTAAGTGTTGCGAACAATTTTAGGTATTTGAAAATATCACCTTTCACTACACTTGAAAATTTTAAATATCAAAATTTGAATTTATGCATAATTTAACTACAAAAATAGAGTGTACATGCTTAAAAAATCACCTTGTTTATTATTATAAATGTTTATTAAAAATTATGTAGGCAACTAATTAAAGGAAATATCCCCCCTCACCTCTCCCCATTTGACCATCTTGAATAGGTCTACGATTGTGTATAATATTATAATAATATTTATCTTTCCATGTATATAAAGACTCTCCCGTAGCGTATTCAGGGAGAGCTGAAGAGATTATAGCGCTTTCTCTCGTAATTTCAGTGAATTTTAAATTTTTGTTTCATATATATTTAAATATTTGATTTGAAATAATTGTGAATTTTTTAAATAATTGTGATATGTACCTAGTCGCCTCCCTCCCAAAAAAGTTTTCTCGATTGAAAACGTGAGTTAATAAGTAGTCCGTACTCCATGTATATGTGAATGAATAATGTGAAATCCAGTATACTTAGTACACGTGAATTTACTATCCATATTCACGTGTTTTAATGTTATTCACATACATACGCAGCTAGTGAAAATATATAAAAAATAACGAGAAATACTTGAATAAATAAATATGTACTGTTCACAGATTTATCAAGGGGATACGTTTTATAGATTCGAATCATCATAGATTTCATTTCATTTGGTTACGCGAAAGCGTGTAGGTAGAAGTGTGCATAATAATTAGTTCTAATTACGCTTTCCGACCGATATTTACGCTATACCAGACACCTGTTGATAAAATACAATTCTAAGTTTAGTTTTAGATTTTGAGCACTTTAACGTAAACTAAGGTATCTTAGCCCGTGTCTATAGTTAAAATATAATTCCTTAGATCATATAAGTACCATGGTATATGATATATAAGTATAATAATTTTCAGAACTTATAAGAACATTGACAATATCTAATTTTATAAAATAACATAGACTTAGGTATTACTATTATAAATTCATAATATAAAATATTATTATATTAATAATAATTAAAGGCTAGGCGAGAACAACGTGATACTTATTTTAAATTGTTCAGCATCGAAGAAAAACAAAAAAAATATTATACCTATTGTCCCTTGAATATTATTTAGACTGCACGTAATAAGTTCTTGTGTATTTAATTTTTTTGTTTCCGTCTAGTGATTTATGTATCTACTGTGTTTATTTTAAATCTACGAAAAATTAAATTTAAAATGGCTAATAATAAAAGTCGAATTTTTTTATGTGGGAAAAAGTTTAACTTACATGATACAAATTTGAATTTGTGTAAAAGTAAAGAAGTTGTACTGAAAAAAGTTAGTTTTATGTTTAATTACTTTTAAATAATATACATATTTATTACAATTTATTGTCGTTAGCTGTGACGTCTAGTTTCTCAACACTCATACTCTGTTTTACTTCTACTTATCCTTAATTCCTTCCTTCAAGTGCTACTCTTCATTCCTCAAGACTATTTTTAACTTAAGTCTATTGTTTCAGTTTTTCTCCTATTTAAGCTATATCATGTGCAAACATTATACACCATGGTGAGACAATCCGCCAGTCTTGTTTAAAACTCCTTATATTATACTGTTTGACACAATTACACCGGCTGTCGATAAGTTGCAACACCATTATTAAAAAGGATGAACATACTTCGCACGTGGGTGCAGCTACTTTTGTAAGTGGGAAGTTGGTACCAACCTATATTTTATTTTAGAAGATAATTGATTTATTACAAATCTTGATTCTGAAAGTATTAAATCTGAACAATATCAATCTGTAGACTATAATGAATAATGAACTTATATTATATATTATATGAATATTGTGTAAATCTGCGATCTTAAAATGTGTTCTTCTATTATTTTTGCATCAAGCATTTGGTAACTAATTTTATTATTATTTTAAGCTTTATATTTTTTTGTCATGCTAACCAACTAATAACCTTGCAACTCCTTAAATACTGGGCAGTTTCAATTTGTAGTTGTTACTAACATTTTTTTTCGGGGGAGGGGAAAGGTTATTTCAACTGATTTTATCGATCGCCCTTTTGAAATAAACACTCGGTCATAATGGTTTACAAAAATTGGAAGTCAGTTATGTACGAGTTAACTTACATTTTTCTTTTACATAAATATTTCATTATTTATGATGTGTGTTATTGCATTTTTATACGTTCGACTTTGTTATTGGTCGCTTTACATCATACTTATATCACATTTGCGATAATAATTTATTGTATTGTAAGTCATAAGTATAGGTACCTATATTATTACGTATATGCGTGGTGCAAGTGGGAGGGGTGTTTGTTTAATATAACGATTTTGAAGGGGTCACTAGGAGAAAAAAACCAACCTTGTGTGATATGATATATGGCAAGGGGAGAAACGGTGAGAGGGTGAAATTATGCCGGTAGCTAGCCAATGGGTTTATATCAGAGTTAAGCGATGATCTCACGAGAGGCGTCTTCAGGTAAATTCCACGGGGTGGAAAACGTAATATTAAAATATTTAATGAAACAGTTTTTTTTTTTTTAAATTATGACTTTAAAATTTAAAAAAAGTTGATATTTTGTGATATAAATATAGAAAATCATATTTCGGGTTAGTTAAGAAAATCTATTCTCTCTCTTGATCTTCAAAACAAAATCTACCTATCTGAACCTCTAAATTATGGTGGATATTTGGTTTCATTTGTGGGGGGGCTTAACATTTTTGTCTTATTCATTAACGGAAACAAATATTTTTAGTCGCTTCCGACGCTTCCACCTACTAACTGTAGTGGCTACTCCTACTTGATTCTAGATGAGGCACCAAATATATATATATAGGTAATAGGAACATAAAAAAATAAAATATTGAATAGCTACTAAATTATTTTTATTTTAATTGTATATATCTATTTTTTTGTGATATTATAAATTTTTGATTAATATTCATTACCTTTACATATTTACACATATCAATTACAATGAGGTTCATTTTATGAGCCATACAGTGGGTATAAATAGCGTAAGGATATTGATTTTTTATTTTATTTTGTAGTCCGTTAAATTTCCTAGACATAACATTTGCACTATCATATGACTGAGCAACTATTTGTGGTTCAAAACTAAGTTTACACTTTTTCAGGTACCATAATATGTAATGATATAAATTGTCAGCATTTTGATTCTTAGAACAATCTATAAAACCGAGAAATCTCTCAGCAATATCTAGATTTTTAACATACCTTACACATAATGCCATTTGTTCTTGTTTGTAACACCCATAAATTAATTTAATAAAAATAAATTAAGAAGTCCATGTATAAAACATAATTTATATTTCACCTTACTTCATCACATATAATTCCAAACACCTCAACGTCTTCAATATCTTTCACAATTATTTCTTTCTCAACATCTGCACATATATTTATAAGTTCATCTTGAATTATATGACTTGAGTAATTGGTTTTAAGATTAAATTTTTTTCCAAATTCCTCATTACTTTTTGCTAACAATTTACAAAATTCTTTAAAGTTTCTAAAAATATATTCATTTTTTACAAATAATTATCATAATTAGATATTTTACATTTAAGATCATTTAAGACTATTAGTAATATTAGTTATTAGTTATTACTTTTTAGTTGTTAGTTTAATATCTTGATTTAAAGAATCTTTTGTCTCGTCGTGTCCCCTAAAACCAATTCCTTGACAACTTACAAATAAAACAATATCAACTAACATTTTCATATATTTTTTATTACTTTCAACAATAATGAATGCTGAGAAGATATTTGAGAATAAACACTACCAGTTTCTTTTGTTTTCTGATATGCTGACCATTTAATCATATATGTAAGATGTAAATTACTTTTAGCATGTGCATCCAATTTATTGAGTTTACTTTTATTTCCACCTTTAGATCCACTACAAACACTCAACTATAAATTATAATATACTTATATTAATATGTATAATTAAAAAATTATAAATAAAGCATAAATACAAAGCACTTGCTTTTTTCCAATTTCTAAAACCAACTAAAAAGCTATCTTCAAAATTGTCACTATATCTAATACTAAAATTTCTACTGGCAAAGCAAAAAATTGAATCTTTTAATATACTTTATTCAAGCCATTCATATGTTTTGTAATGCTTATGATTGCTTACCAAATTTAGTTAGTGGATATGACTGCAATATATTTAATTTAAATATAATATAATAACTTAAACTATATTTAGTGTTTACCTACATTTGTACTTACTGTTAAAATTGGTCACACAGGGCCTGTTATTAAAGTTCCCAAGTCAGAAATGACAGTTTTATCTACAATATTTTCAACACATTTTTGTGTAGTTATATTAATGTCTAAACATATTATGTTTTGATAGCTTGGGCAAAATGTCCGTAAAATAAAATTATTATATCATGCTACATACCTATATAATAAGTATATAATTTTGTTTATTTTTTTCTATTTCCATGCAAAATATTTCTGCGCGAGTACACAATAGAGAGTACAAATTTCCTTAACTGTAATATGACTACAGTGAAAATCCAGCAAATTGTAAAACAATTTTTAAAAAGTCGTTTAAAAAATATTTAATTGTATACAAATATTGCGAAAAGATACCTATAATAATTTTAGATTCTGAGTGGAACGAGAAATGTATTGAGAAATTGGTTTTACAATGGTGTTTAATTTTTTTATTTTCTTTATGAACACTTTTCCTACCAGAATACATACTCCGATTATCAAGTATAGCACCTTTTCCGAAAGGAAATTTTCTTGGATGATACTTTAAAGGGGTCATTTTTTGAAATTTTCATGAATATTCAAGATAATGAAAAAAACTTCGGTGTTAAGATTAAAAAAAATTGAAAGTTTAAAAATAAGGTTGTCATTAGCAACCATTTTTATTTATTTTTTATTATTAAGTTTTTATTAGTTTAATCTTTTTAAAACAATCATTGATGTCATGGAAACGCACATTGTTTTAATTATTTTGCCATAATATGACATAACACCATATATTGTATTGTTGACAAAGCCACATTATCAACTAAATTCTGCTCAGAGCCGTATTTTCGTTAACAATGGTTTATCGTTGCTTACAGATATACATTGAATTCCCGTCTGTATTCTACCTTCCCAACTTCCCACCTACAACAGTGGTTACACTTCACGTACGAAGTATGTACGTACTTTTTATTATTATTATTATTATCATGTCAATAAGCATCATATTGGTAACTATAAAATTAATCATTAGGAAAATATAAACATGTACATGAATATATTTATAGCTATCCAAACGAACAAAACTAAACAACTTAACCGACCTAGACTAACTAGTTTATTAATTCAAACGGGACTTTTTGACCCCGGATTTTCGACTGTTTTCCCACTTTTATCACCCTCTCGAATGAACGCATTGACAATTACTGTTATAATATTATTTAATAATTAAACGTTTCCACTACTCCAGTCACAATCATTGTGCGACCGCAGCTTTAATAACGACGGTGACTACTTATTAGTGTTAGTATATCATATAAACCGTATCGTGGACCGCTAAGGGGTGGAAACACATACAAGCGCGCGCACGCCCGTGTACACACACACACACACACACACACACACACACACACACACACACACACACATTATATTGGTATACATATATTCATGTGCCTAATAAATTGTTTCAACATTTGCGTTCGGTCTCATCCCCTTTAAATCAGTGTGCAGTGTGTACGCTGCGTAAACATTCGGCGTGTATATTTTTGTCTAGAAATCGGTGCTATAAATTGTCTCCCACAAAAAAAAAAAAAAGGAAACCGATGCTGCAGATGGGGTGTGTGTTTATACAATATATAATTATACATTTTGTACGGCCACGTAACGTAGAAATCTCCCAACGGAGAGAAAAGGCCCACACGGATAAAATATACCAAATATATATATATATATACATATATACTTTTTACGAATGATATGGATGAAGGATATAGTAGTCCGGATGGCCGCTTATAAGTGAGAATGTAGAGAAGGCGATGATCATTGGATTTTAAAGGAATTTATTAGGAAATACAAATTAAGGCACTCTGAAGACAGAGATAGGCAATTTTTAAGGATATGTTTAATGTCATAAACAGCTGGACAGTGATGAAGGGTACAAAGAGGAAGAATCATCTATTAAGAGATAATTTAGAGGCGTGAGGAGAGAGTAAGATGTGACTAAAACAAAGACGGGTAACGAAGCTGATTACTTCGCGGGATAAATTGAGTTTAAAAACCAAGGGATAAGTGAAATGGTGGGGTTAATCTTGTGTTGACCAACATTGGCGCAGTTCTTACTGTCATCTTCCTCATGATTTCACCACTTGGTATAAAAATATATCAAATATATAATATATTAATTTAGACAAGAAATTACAATCCGAAAATAAATTCACTAATAATTATAATATAATATAATATTTTTACCGGTCTTGTAGTTACTACATTCTCCTGGCAGAATTTATTATGAAATTTCGTACGATTTCTTTTATTATTACATTTTCTTCCTTATTTACGTTTGTAAAGTACAAATCGTACACTTAACATTCGATCCTCATATCATAAGTGGGTATTATTATGTAAATGAAAAACGGACCAAAAAGAGAACAAACCCCTCGCCCCTCCCCTTAAGTATGACACCAATTTCTTTTTATATTATAAAATATCACGGTTTATTCAACCGTCATCACCTGTAATAAAATCTCCTAGGTAGGTAATACCAAATTATCAAAACTAACAATTTATAATAAAAAAGATGGACATACTTCGCACGTGGGCGGACCAATGTTGTAGATTAGAAGTTGAGTAGGTAGTAGAAGAGAAATTGAATGTATATATATATATATATATATGTATTCAACGATTAACCAATGCTAACAAAAAACGATTCTGAGCGGGATTTGGTTGATAGTGTTGCTTTGTTAACAGTATATTATATGTCATAGTATGGTAAAATAATTGCATAATAATATAATAATTAATAACTACATATGAATTATATATTTTCTTTGAGAATATTTGTTTAATATTGTTCCTATTTTCCCATTTTTCCTACGCTTTTCCCGGTTTTTCATATTAATTGGGAAAACTCCAGGAAAAATCAAAAAATGACCTCATTAAAGTACCACCACAGTCAGATTTTCTTTCAGAAAAGGTGCTATAATTGTAAATCGGACCAAAATTGCTGATAGAAAAGTTGTTCACAGATAAAATAAAAATATTAATTCAAATAGACATCAATGTAAACCACTACATTCCTCACTCCGCTGAAAAGCTAAAATATTCGAAGTAGTCTCGATTGAGATAAAAATTACATAATACCTATAACTGTGCAAAACACTGCTAGTATATCGATTCGACCCGTAATTATGTAATATTATGCCAAGTAATACCGCTTGGTCGTGTATAACATTGTCATTATTGGATTACGCAATACTTGAACGTTTTTCGTTTTTCCAATCGAAATTAAACAGCTAACGTTGTCTTTATATACAAGAGTTGACGTATTGATTTCAGTCTAGTTAAATATTAATTGATAAAAATATTACGTACGTTTTTTTTTTTTTTTAAATTGTTATTATAAAAAAAAAACCACTTTTCATTCTTGAACATCTATTGCGTCTCACCCGAGTACCTGAATTTAAAATCAATATTATATTATTATACCTTACCCTATAGATAATGTTTCGCCTTCCATTTTAATATAATATAATGCGTATAAAAACTCTAAAGGGTACTTTTTTTTTATCTGGTTTATTCGTTTTTTAAAGGTATTTTCGCGATTACTCAACATTCTCACATACTTAAGTTATAATTACTACTTGTGAGATGATACCACTTAGAAATTTATCATCGAGTTGATAGAATTTAATTTTTTTTTTTCTTTTAAATTTCAAAATTGCCCATTTATAATATACATATATATGTATACGCACGAAACCTTTTAAATATTGGGCGTGTTATAGTGTGCACTTTTTTTTTATACGAGTTTATATTGTTGAAATGTTAAAAGCGACACGGGTCCAATATATTATATCCTGCAGTGTATGGTATACGATTAACTCAAAATGTTTTTTGAAGATTTTGTACCATTTATGGAGGGCGGAAAAAAAAATGTGTTTTTCTTCGTTATATAATAGTATACAGTCGAGGAACACCCTAATATTATGTGTATTCACAATATTTATATATATAGAACATAGGTATATGAACCGCTCATGGGCGGCGGCGACGTGGGCGTGCGCATGCGCGCTCGGTACACAGCAGCTCGCGCCGTATCCTAGGGATCATCGATTCCGGTGGCAGCGGCGACGCCGACGAGCGGATACGGCACAGCTTCCACAGCAACCGGCCGGGACGACTACGCACCCTCTCCGTGCGCCTATCCCAAACAATCGCACCAAAACGACCACCTACCCGACGGCCCCGTCCCCGTACCGGTGCTGGGCCGCTCTCGCGACCACCCAACTCCCACAGCCACCGCCGCAGCCACCGCCACCGAGTCGATAACCGCCGTCAGCTTTCCCGGGCCGCGTCGCGTTTCTTGTAGCGCGCGCTCCACGAAACTGGGACGCGGCGCGCGACCGCGAGGACGACGCGCGCACCACACATATATAACGCCTCCTCGCTACCCTCCCACTACACCCCTCCATCTTTCCGGCGTTCCTTCCTTCCTTCCTCCCGACGACGACGACGACACCGTCCACCTCATCGGTTCCCGCAGCGGCAGTAGCATCCGCGTCCCCGGACATTACGTCCGCCGGTTATTGTGTGCGTCCTCTCACGTCTTTCTGCCGCCCTGCGTACCGGACACAATATTTATTTATATAATACCTGATATAACATTCGCTCGTACGGTGTGTACCTGCATGCACGCGCGTTGTGACGGTCCCAGAAACGCTTTCGTTTGCGACTATTAATAAAGCGGTAGTGAGCGCGTCGCGTGTGAACACGGACAACAGTTGCGTTTTGTCGCGACGGTAATATTTCACTCGGTCATCCGCTCAACGACGCCGATACATATACGGGACCGAGGTACGGCGACTCTAAATGAATAACCGTCGGTTGCTGCAACAGCGGCGCAAGAGCAGTGTGATCGTATCGCGGTATTCCACAAACACGTCAATCCCCCCCAAAGGGTAGTGAGTTATATAATTGTATTGCACGTCAAAAGTAACAACGATCTCGTCATTATCACGTATAGGTGGTAATAATCGGCCGAGAAAGCCACCGAGTTATTACAGTAGTATATAATATATATATATACATACATACAAATACATAAATATATACATATATATATATATATATTTATGCTCACGACGCAACACTCTGTGCTCAATATACTTTTCAATAAATCATAAGCATCTCAAATAATTTAAATCAATTTCCATACACGAAACCGCCACACCTTTTATAAACGGACAATATATATATATATATATATATATATATATAACTGCACTCGAATCGCTTAATAAACGTTTCGATGGACAGCCAACAAAACACTTTTTTGCCACCACCCATCGACGGCGGTGAGGCGTCGGCGCCACTCGCGCAACCCGACGACGACTTTGTAACCGCCAATTCGGCGGCCGGTACCCCCAATACGCCGGCTGACGACGCCGGCACTGGATCTACCGTGTCCCCCGTGTCCCCGGTTCACCTCAATCGCCAGAAGATCAATGCTATGATGATCGACGACGACCAAGTGGAAGCCGACAACGACAACGGTGCTACGGACGACAGTGCAGGACTGTTGCCTCCGCCCGACGAAACGGACACGGATGACAAGTCGACCAAAGACACGTCCACCACTGTGACCAAGAACGACAACGACGCTCAGTGGTCTGAAAAGTAAATATACCTTACGATTAGCCCGGCGGTTTATACGATGAAAAGTCATCCGAACGACTTTGTTAAATTTGTCACGTATGCCATCTAAATGAATCTATTATTCGTTGTTATTGATTATTTACTTAAAAAGAAAAAAAATATCCGTCACAATATCTGATGAATATAAATGCGTATATTATACAGAAAATAAAAGTTATACAATTCACTGCATGATAAGTTTAATTATTTTGGTTTTTCAAGAAATGCAATGAGTCTTAAGTAGGATAACATTTTTCAAAACATTTTCCATTTTTAATATTCTGTATACATGAAGCACTACAGACATACAGTTCTCTTAACCGGGGGGAAAGGGGGGGGGTTTAAAATTAGTTTTACTAGTTTATTGGTCCTAAAGTGAAAGTATTATTGTAGCTATTCCGAAATAGACTGTATGTACATCATTATGCGCTAAAAAAGTTAGAAGAAAAACAGCTACATTTATAAAATAAACTGCTTCTGAGTTAACGTACAGATTTCTAAATTATATAAATCTGAAAAAAGAAGTGCTGCTGTAATGCTGTATGTTGTATATACCTTTGAATGGATTGAATTCCTAAACGTACTAAACAATATGTATCAGTATATCAAAGATATAACCGACAAATTTGTAGTATTCTTAACAAAACAACAATATATCAATGTTTTAGGATCGATTCTAAAAATCGAAATTGTATACTTGGCGTATGTTAACATAGTATAGGTGCATACCTAATAGTTATCTAGGATACCTATTAATTCAAGTGTACCAGAATAGAACTCGAATCCGATTGGGTATCATTTTTTTTCCACCGTATCCCAAAAAAAATCAAAAAGCTTTATATGAGAATAAATACTAAACGTAATTGGTATGTATAAGCTACCCTTAATTTTTAGGCCACTAGGTGATGACGATGATGACGATGATCAGGTCCCAGTTTTAGCCATGTCAGGCATTCTACCTGCAACGGCTACCGGCGGCGGCGGCGGCGGCGGCGGCGGTGGTGCAGGAACGGGCGACTCTAAGAAAAACGTTACCGGCAGCAACGATCCGACGAGTGGCGGAGCCGGGGGAACTGTAACTGGAAACGGAGAAAATAAATCAAATGAAAAGTGAGTATATTCTTAATCCTTCGTAACGGCACCTATACAATATAATATAAAATGTTGCCGAAAGACGAGTATTTGTACACGCGTGGAGGAGGGGGAGGGGTAAAAACCAGTTGTTAACAGTTTTCCTATTTTGATTATCTATTTACTTGGTACGTTCAATACTGGTATACTGCTGTAATATGTTTCACATACAAAGATTATCAAGAGGGCTACTATAGTACATTCTATATATATATATATAATAGTTGTGTTTGATATTTTACCCCTTACATATACTACAGCGGTGAAAGACGAGAAACGTAAGCAGGAGACCACGAGAAAACCAATATTAAGTTTTTCCTCGATTTAATCTTGCAGGTAGTTCATTAATAAAAATAGAGTGAGTCGTATATAAATCATTTTACACAGTTTAAAACTGATATTTACTTCAATGCAAGTTAGTATTATAATTAAAATATATAAAGCGTAGATCCAGGGGGTTTAGCCCTACCCCCTTTGTACGTGCCACATATCATAAATCACAAAATATTAATATTGTTATCAAACTTTATCTAGATGAAGAAATGAAATGTTATCATTATTTATATCAAATGTTTATAAGTAAGAATTTTTAAAAAAGAAATATGTTAGGGACTATAAGTTCGATTACATTTTTTATCTTCGTCAGCTAAACGAAATAATATATTATTAGCTGCTATTGAAAATAACTGACTCAGTTTCATTACTGAAAAAAAAAACAAAATAAAAAGCCCTGTGTACAACTTGTTGGGTTGAGCGTAACGATTCAATTATAACTTTCCGTGAATTCTTTAACTTTATTGTAGATGCCCTTGATACACTAGAAGAAAACCTTGATTGTGAAATATCAACTAAAGTAATAAGTTTAAATTCTACTATAAAATGAAATGATTTTCTTATAAGGTTGGCAAAAGTTTCAAATTTCTTTTCATACACTAAAGATTTGAGTATTACACTACAAAGTCCTTAATTAGACTTATCTAGTGCATTTTTACTTGTTGAAGAAGTCATTAGATTATTCGAAGAGAAAATACAGAACTCTGATGAAAAATATTCTAACTATTTTTCAAAAATGCATTTAAATTAGCAATAATTAATATTCACAAAGAAATAACGACATCAACGAAGCAGTTAATAGATTTTCAAAACAAAAACAATAGCAAATGAAGGTTGAAGATCGTTCAAATAACTAATTTATAGTCATTGTTTAAAAAAAAGACCTAATCATGTTTATGTATCTAAAAAAATTAGCCCTCCTCCCTCTTTAGATATCTAGATCCGCAACTGAGTGTATGCATATTAAATAATTTGCCTAGGTATATTAAATATAAATATCTATAATCTATAATACCCCATACTTTACTCCTTACTGCATATATTAAAAGTTAATATAGAGACCTACTAGTTTTATTCGTTAGCTACTGTGAAATGTTATACTTACCAATTAAAAAGTTGATTTTTTCTTTTAAACTTGCCTAATTAAAGTTATTGAATTGATTAATTTATACTATACAAAATAAGATTTAAATGATATTAATTTTCACTTTTCCAACGTTTTCGAAATAATTGCTTATACACCCCCCAGGGGCGTATACAAAGGGAGGGGGGCTATAGAGAAATCGCTCCCTCCGGACATTATTGAGTTTGTTTCATGTATAGGTACTTACTTATTTGATTATTATAAATCAAAAATTTAAAAAAAGTTAATTTTTTTTGTGCGGAAATGGTTTTTAAAAATTTGGTAAAAGATTAGAGATGTTGTAGCTATCATTAACATATATACCTACTATTGGTTATAATAATTATATTGTGATTGTCTGTATGCGATTGTTGTCTGTACTCTGCAACCATAGTCCGTGTTATTAACTTATTCTGTTTTCAAAGAATGATACCCGTATAGAGAGCCGTGATAACTATATCATAACAAAAATTGATAGGGTTTAATGGAAAGACGGTCATGATAGTATTCGTATGGCACTGCAGGTCTGCAGTAGTTTTCGGCGTTTGTGCTAATAGTTTTCATTAATACTCAATGCTGAAATTCGTAATACACTTATACACAAAATAATGCCTAATAATGGTATTAGGGAAAAAGTCCCTAACCAAAATTCACATAAGGTAAAAAAAGCCGCGACGAAGCAAAAGAATATTTATTTAATATTTATCTACTACAAAAACTACAATCAGATATTTTTACAATAACCGATATGGATAAATTGACTAAAAATAAAATACTAAAATTATTATTTAAAGCCCCGAGTCCAAATATACAAACATATATTTGGTATCTATTATACCTACGGTATATTATTTTATACTAATCTATATAGAAATTTTCAAGCAATAAATTAGAAAACTAAGATAAATATGTATAGATAAATAGATTTCCAATAAAAGTAGGTAATAAGCAATAGTATACGTAAAACATATTTTTGATTAACTACCTAATTATTTTTGTAATTTGTAATTTTTTTAAATTTTTCAAATTCAAATCTTCTTTTTAATACTTATAAAAAATTTTTCTGAAGATGCCAATAACTGTATTTTTCCTACGTCGGGGCTTTTTTTCCTTATGTGATTTTTGGTCAAGGGCTTTATTATCCCCAATTCCTAATAATAGTTATCAAAGTGGGTTTAGAAGTTAATTATTCAAGATTTAAGCAAACAAAACGATCGAACAATTTTGAACTGGCGATCTATTTATAATCTGTAATACTGCCGTTTATAGACATACTTTTATAATACTAATAATCTATAAGTATGGTTAAAGCTCAAATTTCGCCCCCCTCCTCTGGAAGATGAGCTGAATGTGTATTCAGCTTATCTTCCAGCCTAACCTTCCCTGCGCACCCTTTATAAATATTGGGGAGTGACATCCTTCACTGTGATGGTTTTATGTAGAGAAAGATGGGTAGATCGCCACCCTCCCACTTGGCCACTTTGAATAAGTTTACATGCATATTTATCAAAGAGAAACAAGTGGGATGTATATAGATAAATAATAAATATTGTAATATGCTAAATAATGTCAAGAACTGTCCATGTGCATTATTTTGCTACCTCCTAATTCCCAATCGTCTAAAAAAGACAATAAATACGCAAATTTTGTTTAGTTATTACTTATCAGTTAATATTATACTATAAGCATTAGAAATTTCAGAAGTCTAATGGACACTTAGTCAAGAGCGAATCAGGGGAAAATAATAGGGGGGGAGGAGATTTTTAAATTGTGTATAAGGCATACATATATGACGAATTAAGTTAAGAGTATATTGGTAGTAAATAGAGGGCAGAACGATCGCTTCCCTCATCCCCTCCCCCTTAGATCGGTTACTGTATACCCAATATAAAAGAGTGAATGTTAAATTATTGAATTAATAGGTTTTGTAAACAAATATTTTATTTAATATAGGAAATACTCTCATTGGCGGGAGGAGGTGTAACTGGTAAAGTCCAAACGTTTAGGGGAAGGTTTGGTCTATTTGCTCATGGAGTTTTTTTAAGTGAATGAGAGTGGACAAGTAATGAATATTTACTAAAAAATGCTCTGAGATACCAAATATTAAATAATCATGTATGATTAAAAGTCATCAAGCGTATAAGTGTAAAAGGTCGTATTAATTCGCTAACATTTATTATTATAATTTTTCATTTTTTTTTTTTTCAATTAACTTGATGTCTCGATTAAACGGGGTTGATTATAACCATATCAAACGAATGGAACGATTTTGATTTTGACGTATTGTAGGTGGGAGAGCCGTCGGTGACATGAAGTTGTTGTTACACTTATTAGTAAATAGGCGTGTAGCGGTACCGATGATCATAGATGGCATAGCGGAGGCAATTGTTAAACCTACAGTCTGTTACTAGAGCTGTTTATGTATCGTCGTTCTCGGACTAGGTTTTTTAACTTCACTCTAACATCCGTGTTTATTATATTGTTAGTATAACAGTGTTCGCGATTTATGTTGTCTACTGATACAGCTGTAAAGCATCGGAATAAAAAATTGTCAATAATTTAGCTCGAATAATATAGAAATTGAATACAATTTTTTAATATTTATAGAACCGATTAAAATGTGCAAAAATTCCACTGTAGGTTTGGATAATTCTCTCCTGCCCCAACGGTCCGAGCACGCTGTATAATAATTTTCATATTATAATATTCACTCTAATTTTAAACTACAAAATAAAAGTAAATTTTATAATAATCTTAATTAATAATTAATAATTATAAATAATTATTTTATAATTTTAATTAGTTTTGATTTTCTCTATTATACGCACCTAACCCGCATCGACAACTGTAAAATTATATATAATTCGTGTACATCGATAAAAATAAAAACAAAACAAAACCAAACAATATGGCCAAATCGAAAGCAGCAAGCGGAAGTAATTTCAAGTAAGGTTCTTTCCATGTTATTAAAATAAACAATAATATTTTGTAATATTATTATTATTATGCATTCGATATATTCTTCTTCTTGGGAGTTACCGTTAGGAAGGTCCTATAGGTCCTTATCGTCCTAAGGTACGACTGTTCCTCCAATATTCTTCCGGTCAGTTTGCTCTCCTTATACTTTCGGTCTTACCTTGAGATTTATTTACGGTTTTTTAGTATTATAATATTATATTTACGCAAGTATACGGTTAGGTAGTCCTGCCGTGCAATGATAATTTATGCATATTCGCGTATTTAAGAGTGCAGTACGCCTATGTTCTTAAAAAATTAAAAAATATAAAACCATAAGCAATTCAATACACGCGTGCGCATCTATTGTATTGCATATACTTGTATTTTCTGTACAGGCCGTTGCACATTTTTCATCCTATGCGGCGGTGACGACGACGTGTGTATAATTTTATACGCGTGAGAACTACGTCGTCGACAGTGGTACCTATACTATAATAAGTACCCAAATATTGTGTTTATTTTATTAATAAAATATAATAATATAACCGTCCTATATTATATGTGTATATAATATAATAATGTTTGTACGTTGTACCTCTAATCGAATATAATAAAAATGTCTATGTGTGTGTGTGTGTGTGTGTGTGTGTGTGTGTGTGTGTGTGTGTGTGTGTGTGTGTGTGACGGGCTCTAAATGGGGAAGACGAGGGACCATTTTTTTTTTTATAATACGATGACAAACGTTCATGTGTGTATATAGTAGGTACGTGTGTGAACATTAATTGATGTCAATTTATTATTATTGTCGAGTGTGTGTGTGTGTGTGTGTGTGTGTGTGTGTGCGTGTGTACGAATGATGTTTAGGTCGTGTATACCTCGACTTCTCTCATCGTGTATACGAGTACACACACATCACATCACATCACATCATATTATTATTATTATTATACTTCCGCAACTAAATCCTTATAGTATTATGTATGTGCCACCATCGCCACCGTTATATACGATAATATTATACAACGAGGCCGTATTAATTTGCATCGGTCGCCATCACTTGCCACAGTTCACTAGATTATTATTATTACCCACTATACAATGATAATATATATCGTCGTACATAAATATTGAGCTTTTCGTTTTTAATTAGTTACGGTCAAAATCAAAGTCTGTAATACACACCGTACGTACGTCGCATTTGGGTACTGTAAGGTTGTGCATTTAATGCATTTATGATTTTTTCCGCTGAAACGCGTACAAGAAAGTTAGGTCAAAATTGGTTTTGTGTTATTTATAAATCAAATACGAATTCGCATTGTTTATTTTTTCATATTTAACGGGTTTGGACATAAAATAAATGCACGTTTTCACGTATTCTTCATGTTAATGTTTTTTTTCTCTTTATTTTCCTAATAAAATGTCATTAAATATTTAATTTAAACTATGACTTTTATAGTTTCGATGTAAATGTCACTATATGTGCTTGGGTGTGATGAAGAGTGAAGACAAATTATTTTCAGTTTATTTAAAGAGACTGCGTACGACTTGATTTTTACCCAAAAACATATTTCACAACTTTCCTGCTTCGTAGAACATGGTCCGATTATGATAATTTTTTTCTCCAACATAATTAGAATTTAAATATGATTACCTAATTTGTATTATTATTAAACTTGTTTTTGTTATTGGTTATACAATGCACAATTCAAGTCCGATGAGGTACATACAAATTTGCCCTCTTACCAACAAAAAAATATGGATCAAAATCGAGGCAGGAGATTTAATCCTGTAAATCATGTTTTGACGAAAAACCATGTCGTGCGCAAGCCCCTTCAATACAAACTATAATTTTTTAACTGTAAATGTTTACAGTTTGTAAGTTTCAATTGTTAAAAAATTATAGAAAAAAAAAAAAACAACGAGCACCCTTAACTGGTTGTAATTCAATTTTATTGAACATTGCACAAGTCGAGTTACGCCTTAATACGCATTCGTGCTAATGATACCTAATAATATAATACAATAATATTCAATAAATAACTAGAGAAGATTAATAATTTAGTGTGTTTTTTGCCTGTTTTTACATATGCTAAACATTTGAAGAATATATTTTACTAAATGTTCGTTCGTTATTAATGCATAATTGCATGCATATTTATTATAGTTTTTTTAGTGCATTAAATTCACAACCCTGATTATTATTGTCATCACGTCAATTTACCGACTGTTCTGCAGCTCGAGACATAAGTATACACAAACGCGTACAGTAATATATTATTTTACAATAAATTATAACACGTAAATGATACACAAGGTAATAATATAATATGATACCTGCACATAATATTATTGTGTACTGAATTTATTTCTCAATAAATACGTATCTACGCATTACGTTGTCTGTCACACGTCTAATATTTAATCGGTTACGAATATAATAACTAATATATAGGCAATTTTAACCGAATTTTCAAAAAAATAAAAATAATTTATCAACTCGAAAATATTCGTATTAAAATATGAATTCAAAATCGGTTCGGTCATATCATTAAAGTTATCACAAGTTCAAAAACGTGTCCCTGAAAAACAGAAAAAAAGTGATTTTAGAGCTTTTACTTATTATGCAATTATCAAAGACAACAATATTATGTATGATATATTATATTATTATATTGATTTTCAATTTATTCGGACGAAGTGGTAGTAGATTGAAAAATTGATTTTTTTTTTTTTTTTTTTTTATACAATTAAAATAAAACTGTGACTTTTTTTTATAAATTAATATTTAACTAAACGGATATAGCAAGACCGATGGATACAATTTTATTTTTACTTTTGTTGAATTTTCACCGTACGTTAAATGTATATATTAACATATATTATTACATTAGGTAGATACACTAAAATACATACTAATTTGGAGACAAAATTTCACGTTGAGAACCGCATTAGGACCATTTGGTACATATCTACGTAACATATTTCGTTCCAAACAGTTCCGTTTTTTGGAAATCACAATGTAAATGCATTACGTACATAACACATTCTACTAGGATACCCGTCCTACTCATAGGAGCGTTCAATAATGATTTTCTATATTTTACTTAAATTAGTAACTAGAGATAGGCGATTCGATAACTCGAGACCTTTGATACTTAAGATAGTACTGAATACTTATCTAATTTGATAATTGAAATCGAGATAATTTTTGATATAGCTTTCTATATTGCATTATGCTAAATGATAACGTGCAGATAATCTTTAAACCACGCATTTTAAATAGTGTTACATTCAAATACTAAATGAAACTTCTTTTTTTTTTTTTTTTATTATTATTCAATTTTGTAAATAAAAAATATATATAATGAATTAGGTTTGGGAACTATTTTGTCATAAATTCGTTAAACGAGAACTGTGTAGTCTGTGAATTCTTCAATAAAGATATTTTAATAGATTTATTCACACTACTTCTAATATGACAAAACATTTACTCAAAAATAATAAAAAGTGTTTGTACAAGTTGCTGAAACATCTTCCAAATCAATCGATGGAGACAACAATGACAATTTTATTTGAATTTTTAAACAAAGTTATTGTGAATCGAGAATTAGTACAAAATTACTGCATTGAGTAGGTATTGAGTATCAAATTCAAAATGTTTGTAACCGAAAATCTCTATAGTAACTACGCAAGTGTTTCTAGTAGTGAATTGTTAGTTTTATAATAATTATTATTATGTAAACGGTTTTTTCGTTTTTCAAACAGATATCCGTTTGTATATGGTCTTATTTATTTATCCAGTTTGGTATATAGGTGTAAAAAAATGTACGATATTTGTATTGTTGATGAATTATCCCCACAAGCCGTAGCTATAGTCAACTTTTGACGAGTAGAACTAGTAACTTGTAGTACGTCATAAGTATAATATCGTTAAATAGTTATCGGTAAAAAAAAACAAATTAAAATGGTCAAGAAAAAATAGAACAGAAAAAAGGACGGACATACTTCGCACGTGAAGTGTAACCACTGTTGTAGGTGGGAAGTTGGGAAGGTAGAATACAGACGGGAATTCAATGTATATCTGTAAGCAACGATAAACCATTGCTAACGAAAATACGGCTCTGAGCAGAATTCAGTTGATAATGTTGCTTTATCAACAATACAATATATAGTATTATGTCATATTATGGTAAACTAATTAAAACGATGTACGTTTCCATGATAACAATGATTGTTTCAAAAAGATTAAACTAATAAAAACTTAATAATAAAAAATAAATAAAAATGGTTGCTCATTACAACCTTATTTTTAAACTTTCAATTTTTTTTTAACTTAAAGACCGAGGTTTTTTTCATTATCTTGAATATTTATGAGAATTTCAAAAAATGACCCGTTTAAAGTACCATCATAAAATATTATTAAATATACTGTATATATTTATAAAACTATACCTATGTAAGTGTAATGTAAATATAGTAAAAATGTAAATGTAAGTCTTTGGTTCAAAGTACATTTATCCTATCATCAACTATTTTTCTGGATGTATAGATTTTTAGTATAACAGACAATGATGTAGCTTGATAGGAAAGGGCCCCGGGACAGTTAAAAAACTAGGCTCTCTAACTAATATTTTTTTTATGAAAATTCGAAATATATCAAATATACGTAACATAGTTTTTTCAAGTATGATTCACACTTTTTGAATACTTACTATGGATCCACAAATAACATGACATCATACAATGAATCATCATAAGTTTAAATTAATTAGACAACAATAAAAGATTAAACAAATGTAAAATAATAAAATAAATTTGTAACTTTCACAAAAAAAAAAAAGAAGACAATTATGTTGTTTATACATTTCAATTTGTTCTATATTTGTGATAAATTGTTCTATCAAAATTATAACAACTATTACTCATATAGTGGATAAGTGACTTCAAAGTTTATATGGTTAGTATAGAGAATCTAGCAATCTTGTTTATTTTCTATATATCTGCGATATTGATAGACTGTATTATTTTTTTTTGTTAACAATATTTAATGTTCAAAACCGAACTATAGTAAAAAAAAAACTTTGAAGTCTATTTATTTAATACCTCCTCCTTCCATACCATTAAGCTATTTAATGGTATCCGGCTTTGTTAGTCATATTAGTTATTAGCTTGACAAACTATTTAAATAACATACCTACATATATCATATTATATTATATGAAACATTAATAAACGTAGGTTTATAAAATTTTTTTAAATTCTAAGTGTACTGAAAAAGTTATTAGTTTTATTATGCATAATTAAAAATACTTTGATATTTTCATGTTATACCTTCAAAGATTTTAGCCTGGTGGTATTCTATTTAAAAATATTTTCCTCAGTTTTAATAATTTTTCTAAAAGTTGCTTTAAAAAAAAAAAAAAAAAAAAAAACACTTTTTGGTATGGATAATGTTCCAATTTACCTCCTATTTACACAGTATCTAAAATATGCATAATTGTTTTCCTTTAGTACTTTATTTGAAACATTTATTGAAATTATTTATAACAATTATTATTCACCCTTTGGTCTTTTTTTTCTCGGAAAACACTTTCGGATAGTAAGAAGGCTCCAAATTATTATTATAAATGATTTTCACCCAATAGTACTTTTTTCGAAAAAAATGTATTTATACACATCAATTTTTCTAGATTATTTAAAAAATTAACTATAAACTTCGATAAATCGATTTTATTTTTGTAAATTTTTGAGTTATCTTGGGCTGTGGGACAAAAAGTACGACTAATAATACTTCGTCCCTTAGAATTGTTTTTTTTTCGTTTGTAATGATTTATCGTTGCCTGTGGTATCTAAACTAAATTGGTTTCAATTGTGTATAGTCTGTTCCAATTATTTAATTACTAACTGTTTTATATAATGTTTAATGGATCTTGGTTTTTGGTTCTGATACAAGAAATTATATACATATCTAACTTGGAAAATATTTATGTTTATATTTATATTTATAAATATTATCGGTAGTACCTATGTATAATACTATGTAATAATAGTTACTATGCCTGAACGTCAATGACTCGATAAGGGTTTATAATTGAAATGGATGAAATATAATAGTATATGCAAAGTAACCGAATGATGAATATACCGTAGAGTATAGTGTACACACTATACATAATTATATACGAGACGAAATAATTCGAGCACCGCCCTTTTGAATAACCCTTAATCGTTTACCGATAGTATCTATATTTAAAATACGATTGATGGACGGCGGTTCATGAATTAAAAAAAAAAAACCAAAAAAATATAACTTAATGACCTAAATCATAAAATAAGTACCCACGCGGGAATAATATTATTAAGTTTAAAGTTTAAACACTCGTGTCCATAAACATCGATTCGTATAATAATGCCATTTTAATCATTTTGCTGCAGCATAGGTACGATAAAACCATAATATTCTCACGTCGAAAAAGCTTATAGACATATGTATAGGTACGTTTTATGAAAATTTAATCGATCGATATTACCACTCCCTCTTAATATTTTAAGAGGGAGTATACTACAATATTGCTATATTGTAGTTTAATGTGATGTTAACGACCTGGAGCTATATATACTATATAGAAGTATCGCTGTTCGACGCGGTAACGGGAACAATTGAGAATATCTTCTTGATTATAGCTTTTCGTTTTTGTTTTTGGTTTTTTTTTTTTTTTTAATAAAACACCTCGGCGTTTCTTCAATAATGGGATTTTTTTTTAAATACTGTTCCAAGAGCGTGTCGCACCGATTTCCTTAGGATATTGCGCGATGACAGTTCAATGATGTGGAGTTACCTGCATCATATTAGGTATATATATAGCTATAATGGTGTTCTCGATAATCGCGCATGCATAACCGACCGACGACTAGATGAGGTGTGATGAACGAACTACGAAAGGACTCTGCTAGATAAAAAATAATATATATAGTTAACAATTGAAAAAAAATCCGATGGGTTTTTTAATACGTCTTACTTTTTTTTTTCGCGCTTTATGCTTTGTGAACAATGCGCCACCGCCAATCCACACGATGAGTTGCCGAAAATAAGAGTATACTGTATCTAAAAGGAATTGTACCTACGTAGTACGTATACCATATATACGTGCGTATATTATAGTGGGTAAATTCTACACATATAATATGAATAAAAGCAAAAACAACAGTTCTAAAAATACAGCGAAAAAATAAGCCTCGTAACTCGTATACATGAATATATATATATATATATAATTTATAAGAATAATACGCGTAATGAAGGAGAAAGCGTGAAAATCAAAGCATGACGATAGTTGACACAATTGTTAAAATAAACCTATTAATATTTAAATTTATACATAATTTATAAACTCGACTATTATCAATCGATAGTAAATAAAAAAAGAAAAAGAACCTAGTGATTTGAAACGTTTCCTTTAATTAATTTATTATGTAGTTTATGGGAAACAAAACAAATTATTGACGTTTCCTATATTAGGTAAATTGTATGCGTTCAGATTTCTAATTTGTATGCAGTATATAAAGAAAACTGTTCGAGAACCTACTTGTTTAAAACCGGAAACGAAATAAGCGATAATAATTATCACAAGTAACTTTGATAATCGATTTGAAAAAAAAAATTATAATTTGAACTTTTCTTTTTTTATGAGTTAATGGGAAATGTATTCCGTGTATACATTATTTTTATTTTGTAAAAACATTTTTCTTTTCTCTGCAACAAAAAACCAATTAATTACATATTCAAAAGCTTATTTATTAATGATGTTTCATCATTCTTATTAATATTCGATAACGGTAAAAAATTCAAATGTTTTAATGGAGTTTTAATTATTAACAAAGTAAAAAAAACCATTATTTCGTCGAAATATTTTTCAACGGGTTTATTTATTAATATCCGGTATTTAATATGTATAAAAAAAAAAAACAAAAACAAAAACAATTCTTTATTTTACTCGAGACATTTTAGTAAACATGAATCATGATATCTATACATACAGTATACATTTATACTTCAAGAAAATAATTACCTAGGTGTACTTTAAAATGATTAAAAAAATGCTCAGAATAAATTTCCTAATTTAATTCCTTATATAAAAATATTAAATAAAATCGTTTAAAATATTCGGATCGTGTGTACTGTATTTTCTCTAAGACTGGTTATTCGTTTTTAGTTACCAGCTTTTTTTTTTTTTTTTAATTTTTAGGAAATCTTTGGAAATCTAGAGAAAAGTTTTGCAATTAGTATACCACCAGGTGGAAAATCCAAATATTTTAAGTTACATTCATAATACGGATAATACAGTGTGAAAGTTTTGGGCCATTTATATGAACCGAAAAAGTGTTTTCTGAGAAAAAAAAAACTATTTTTAGTAAAACTAATACGCCTTTAATATAAATATTATTGCATTATAAATTAATAATAAGTACAAGTTCTATTTATAAACGTATGCTGCGGGGTATTCTGCATACTCAGATTTTAAAACCTACCAGCTTTACGGTTTTTAATAAAATTATAGATTAAACCATTGATTATAATCACAAAATACAATTTTAGATTCTGAGTGGAGCAAGGAATGTATTTTTTTTACAATGATATTTTTTTTTTTTTATGTGTAAAAAACTTTTCTACCAGAAATCTTGCATCCGATTTACAATGATAGCACTTTTTCTGAAAGGAAATCTAACTGGGGAGGTATTTGAGGAGGTTATCTTTTGATTTTCCCAGTAGTTTTCCCAATAAATGGGGAAAACCTGGGTAAAATGGAAGAAGACGGGAAAAAACGTAGGAAAAACGAGAAAATTGATACAATTTTAAACAAATATTATTAAAGAAAATGTTTAATGCATAAGTATTTTACCATAATATAACATATAATATATTTTTGACAAAGTATCATCAACCGAACTCCACTCAGAATCGGTTTTTCGTTAGCATTGGTTAATCGTTGCGTACAGATATACATTACATTTTCCCTCTACTGCCTTCTGGGACGTAGTCAAAGGGGGGGGGGGCGTGGGATCCGGACCCCCCACCAAAGTGTTATCGATAACATATATATATATATATATATATATATTATGTGTATATAAACCCTTGTATAAACATATATAGTTTTTTTTATTTATACGATATTTATATTTATTATAATACAATAATTATTACTTTCTACTTACATATTTTACCTATTGAATAACAAATATTTATATATATATATACAATATACATATCAAAGTATATTCTGCACGTCATTACAAATTTGATTTTTACTTAATAATAATAATGGTTAAAATTACTTATTATTATTTTTTTTAACTTGACCCCCCCTCCCCCGAAATAAAATTCTAGCTACGTCCCTGACTACCTTCCCAACTTCTCAACTATAACAGTAGCCCACACACGTGGGAAGTACATCCGTCTTTTTATAATCAATGATGTATAATCAAACGTAATATTGTACGTATTATATGATTTTTACTGGATAGTCTGGATTAGATACGAGAATGTACACATATTTGATAATATTCACATAGGTACCTAAATATCCATGAAAATTGAAATTACAGCACATCCATACAAAACTTAAACTGTAATGATATTTTTTTCTAATTCTTTTTACATCACTAATCCGTTATATAATATTATAATATTATTACACAGATCGCGTTATGCAAGCGGTAACGGCGCGGGTGGAGGAACGGATCAGGATGACTCTGGTGCGAACAATTCACAAGCACCTTTGGGATGCGGAACTACGTTGGAATACGTGTTACTGATAACGACTTGTACGATCTTGTTATTGTCGGTAACCGGGACTACTATTTACTGGACAATGGTCTACCGGGGTGGATACGACTGCGCCTGGTTTCCTTGGCCGCCACAAACGCCGAAGCAACTCTTATCCGTGGGAATATTTACTTACAAGCATCATTCCCAAAACAGCCAAAACTTTTCCGACACCAACGTCGACTTTGGAGCCGGAAACAGCTTCGGCGAAAGCTTCGACGGCAATTACAGCACAACTTCGACTATAGCAACGTCAACCCCGGAACAACTCTCCACACAATATACCAATAAATCGTCTAAGATCGATTTAACCGACGAACAGCGGTTCAACCTGCACCCAACCTTAATGACGTTTGGCTTTATCACTTTTACCGGATTTTGTAAGTAAAAAAAATCTGAATACATACAAATTTACCGAATTCTTAATGTCATACCTATATATATATATATATATATATATATATATATAATTGAATCACCGAATCGATGTAATCAGCTATATATGTGTTAATTATAATACGGCTATACACGATTTTTTTATTTTCATTTTTATTTTTAAAATTTGCATAAAATATTATCATATATTATATTTCCCGTGTATGCAGCCATATTGGTGTACAGAATGGCAGCCGGATGTTCGACTACTTGCAGGGGCACTTATGTAAAACTAACACACAGTCTATTGCACTTGGCCACGGTACCATGCGTGTTGTTTGGATCAGTAGCCAGCATGGAGTACCATCGTTCGAAAGGCATACCGCATTTGTATTCGCTGCACAGCTGGATGGGAGTGTTGACGGTTTCGCTTTTTATCATACAAGTAATTGCGTACTGAAATTATTTTTCATCTTTATTTTCGAGTGGGGTCAGCCACTCTTATTTTCGCCTTTCACGTTTCCCTAAACGCCGTCCGCCATATCACCTTCATTATACATTAACTTCATTATCTCCCCTATAAATACCTCTACAGCCATCAACTCTTTCTTTGGCATAACTCTTCCCCCTACATCTATCCAAACTTAATACAAATGCCGTTTATTATTAAAACATGAATTTGTTTTTTCTTGCTCGTTTTACCAGTTTACTCTTGGGATATTCACGTTCGTTGTGCTCTTGTGTTGTCGCGGTGCTACAGCCGCGTGCCGTTTACGATGTTTTGCCCCCATACACGCAACCCTGGGACTGTGCACATTCACGTTGGCCATAGCCACTTGTCTTACTGGACTTCAACAACGCGCCGATTTCATGATATTCAATAATAACGGGTTCGTATATCATATTCTTACTGTTTATTATAAGTGCAGCATTGAGATCTGATATTATATAGGTGTTATTATTAATATTAATATTACCCAATATATTACTATATAGGTATTGACATATATGACATGTGCGTATTGTACATTTTAACGATTATTGACTATTACGATGTATTGTCGTATACTATATGTTTACGTCTGTCGCGGCTATGAAAATTATTAAAAATGTTTTATTAATTACGGAAAAACTAAAACTATATTAGGCAGAAGCAGCAGCCATCGTTGTCCAATTCGTCGAGCGGACCGGCTATTGGCCTGCAACGCGGCCCGATTGACAACCTAGGTGAACAAGGTATAGTAGTGAACGTTTTGGGATTATTGTTGATGGCCACTTTGGTGTTTGTTACCGCCACGTTGTTGTTGGAGAGGAAAACCACGAAAAGAAATTTGTCCGCCTCAAGATATTGCAAAAACGGCGGCCAAACGTTTCAGCTGGTCCCTTCGTCGGCAACGGCTGGAATCGATCATGCAGCCGGTCGCAATGGCCGAATGTGATTTACTGCAGACGGCGAAATGGAGACGCACACATGCACATACATACGCACAAAATACCATTTTTTCTTCACGAAGTACAAATCAAAAAACTATAATATTATTAATCCGATAATTGCACGAAACACCCTACATACTTCAACTGCCGAAACGCATAAACTGCAACTGCGGAAAATGTGTTCATTTACAGATTACTATTTGTTATAATATACACAAATAAAATTCTACATTTCTATAAACATTTTGATAATAACTCTGCACCTACTGGATTTCGACGAATTTTCCGGAACAATCTTTTATACGCAATATACAAATAATACCATTAAAACAACAACGAGACGACAGGAAGAAATTACCGCAAGTATATCATTATAATTTATAACAAACGATTTCAACAACAATTAATGAAATACGCTTTGATCGTAAACTGCGCGGATGCTTCGGCGTTGGTTATAATCCTTTCGGAAGTAGATGGTTTCGGGTAATTCTTACAATCGTAATGTGTATGCAATTATACAATGTACAATAGTATAACAATTATATATTATTCATCATCATCAATATTTATAACGGTGACGGTAATGTTATAGCTAAGAAAAAAAGTACCTTGGACATTTTGATCCAGTGTGGACATTTCAAAGATCCGTTTCAATAAAAAAAAAAACATTAATTTCTCTAACTGGATCGAAATGTCACGCGCAAACGGTACGTGCTTATAATGGTATTGATAATACTTTTGGTAAATTTCGATATTACACATACAAAAATTATAATCATTTTACACTAACATTATACGCTTATATTACTATATAGGTATCATTTGCTAGTATTAATATCAATTCGAACACCGAAGAAATAGTACATATTATATAATAATCACTTGAAACTCGAAAATAATTTATGTTTTCATGTGGCCGGTGGATAATTTGCACATCACATTTGTCACGTAAAAAAAGCACTACCTATTTAATACCGTGTGAACTAAAGTACTTAAACTTGTATTAATAAATGTATTATACCTTTCTTTGAAATTGTAAAGTTTTAAACGCACAACTAAAGTATGTAGTGCAGTGGTTCCCAACCGATGGTCCGTATATCGGTATAAAAATTGGTGTTCCTCGGTGCCAACAATTTTTTCATAATAGTCAATCAATAGTATCCATTCCAGAATTTAAGAACCTATTAAAGTAAGCCCGCACGAAAATTCTCTATACGGCCCGTACTGTCAAAAAGGTAAGAAAACATTAATATAATGCTGATTTCTATAGTGTAATATAAATTCAGAGGATTAAAACCGGCAATTCACTATCTATGTAACGTAATGTATGGCAATTATTTAGTCGTATTATTCTATTTCCAACTTATCTAATTACAAACCTATTATAGTGATGCTGATGTTATAATAATTTCGAAAGCGAATTTGAATAAATTCATTGTGTAGACGATATTTTGGAGACCGACTTTCTTAATTATTTCGTTGGACAGAAAGAAAAAAATTAGAAAAATTAAGGAAATCGATCAAATTATGGAAATATAGTTTCAAAATGTTTATTTATTGCATTACTAAGAATATACCTACGTAGATATATTAAAAGTTGAATATTACTTCATTTCTACGATGCAGCTAGTGCAAAATCACTATTTTAATCCTCTTAAATTAATTATAACCTTAACTCTGCCAGTAAATACATATTGATTGAACGATTTTTTCCGTTTTTTTTTTGTTTTTGTGAAAATTTACAGTAACAACATATTTTAACATATTTTTAACAAAAACCTAATATGAATCTTGAAATGACTTTTAACTCAAAAAATAAAAGTTCTATTGAAAAATGTCAACCTTCACGCCAAAATATAAAGATTTAAATAAAAATGTATATAATTATTATTATTATTCTGTATTATTTATGAAGTTCAGAAAAAAAGCAAGGGGAAAAAGCAATTAGTAAAAAAAGTAATATATTTATTTTAAATGATACAGAATAGTTAGTACTATATAATATTATATAGTACCATATAATAGGTACTTACACTATATTTCAATACCATCTACTATATTGTATATATAATGATAATATTTTTAATGTTTTCACAAAAATAATTATCGGAGCAAGTTATCGAAAACTGCAGTCCATAATCGAAAGTAACAAAAATTACTACTATTGAAATGTAAGTACAAAATATATAAGAATCAACAAAATCAAAAAACATATGGCTATAGCATATAGTAGAAAAAATAAATTATCTAAATATGTTTGTTTCAAAATAAGAACAGTTGGAAAAAAGAAATTTAGATTTATAGGAGTATGAATTATAATTTATAATCATTTATTTTTAAAAATCAATAGGTGCATTATATTATAATTGGTATATTATAAAATAAGTCATATTATGAAATAGTAGTACATTACATCATGCATAGGTACAATAATAACAATAGTATTAAATTCAAAAAAAAAAAATTCTAAATTTAAAAAAAAAAATAAATTATATACACACATGAATATTATATATGGAGTGTAAAAAATATGTAGGTATCTATACAAAAATTTATTTATTTAAAACGTATATGAAATGCTACAGTGTTTAAGAAATTTTAAATATGATTTTTATCGAGAATTGTTATTATCTACAACCGGCGTCCGGGCGTATGCTACACGAGTACATAATAGCCATAGTTTTATTTTAAGTTGATTTTTATATATTTTTTACTTACACTACAAAGTAGTCATTTTTGTTACATTCGATTTCGGTTATGGACTGCAGATTTGGATAACTTGCTTCAATAATTATGTTTATGAAAACGTTTATAATATTATCATGGAGTATATTATAATAATATAGTCAATAGTATTAAAATATTGTGTAGGTAATATGGTATCATATAAATGGTGTATGGTACTATATAATATGTAGTACTAACCAATAATATTACTTTTTATATTATAATGTGTAACATAAATACATTCTTTTTTTACCACTTCATTTTTTTCCACTTGTTTACTTGGAAATGATAGAAATGAAGGAAATGATAAATCAAACCAATATAATATTATTTATATAAAAGGAGCTTGGGTATTACACTACAAAATAGTACAGTTAAAACCGTTTCGTGGAAAAAGTTTAAATGTCTTGTATTAAAAACAGGGACATTTTTTGTAGGGCGCTAAAATTTCCAGTTTTTTTAATACTATTTGAATACAAATTTAATAAAATTATTGAAAAAAAATCCGCCAGAAACAGAGTTCCATTATTTCAGTTAAATTTCCCCCCATTTTTTATTTGTATAGTTAATTTAAAATAGTTATAGTTGTCATAATTTATTATTAGTTATTACCTTTTATTCTGTAAAACCCGTTATTTCTTGTAAAAACATGTAATTTGAGTATACAAATAGTTGGGGATGGGTTGAAAATTTAAACCCTTATAAATACCACTTCTTGATTATGCATATACAAAATTTCATCTCCCTGACTTCGTTCTGGGGGGTATTTAGGGTTACACAAATCTAAAACACACTCTCCTTCCGCAACAACAAGGTGAAACTGCCAATGTTTTACACCGTAAAATAAAAGATGCCCAAACTCATGCTCCTTAAGGGGTAGAGACCCCGCTATCTGTTTTCTCTGTTTGCTTCGCGGGTAATATAACAACGAAGCATTCCAAACTTCCAGTACATCTAAAATTTAACAAACAGTATTTACTATACGTCTATACCTGACCTAATACTATTTTTGAATAATATTGTATTTATTAATCATTAATCTACCGGAAAGTCACAGTTGTGGGGAAGTGTGGAATGTATCTTTGTTTTATACATTTTATACTATTACACACAAGACAGTGAAAACGAATATTGACTCAGAAGCACTGCAGAAGGCGTGATACCCGCATTCGCTGTCTCTGTGTTATAAACGTATACGACATCGTAAATTTACATTCAACGAGGACAAGTTTCAACCTAACCTACAAGTTTCAACGTTTAAATGAATATTGATCTATTATCAAACTTAAAGATAACAACATATTATCTGTGCACCGTCGGCGCTGTTCTTTCGGTATTTTAATAATTGTTACGAAAGATACGAGTATGTGAAATATTACAATAATTAAATTATACGCTAGTAACTCGCTTAAAAAATATAATGTTGAACGAATTATGCCGACGTTGTACAGTTAATGCTAGCGTCTTTAATTTTTGTTAACGGATCAAATCATTTCAATATTAAAACAAATAGCAAAAAGTCGTCTCAACTCGTTTAAAGTCGAACGAGAATGCGCAGCATTGTCGTACGTTCGTAATAAGACGCGGAAGCAGTATGCACGCAGGTATCACGTATCCCCTTGACGCGTTTGTGAAATTTGTATTTATTAAATTATTGATATTTTACTTTCCGTTTATGGGCATCGTGCTTCACTTACGCCGCAGTAAAACCCCATCTTGCATATGTATCAACGCCACCGGTGCATACGAGTAGCCTTCCAAAATGAACGAATTGCCTCCCATCCTTATCGTAAATAAAAATGTTAATATACACTAGTTGCTTCCGAAAATTAGGTAGTTCATAAATATATCCGAGTCGTCTACCAAAAATGTTTGTACAAGTTACCTCATATATTGAATAAAGCAATGGTTCATAAATTAAACTAAATTTATAATATTTATAATTTTATTAAAAATAATAATATAATTGGTCAATAAAAAAACATGTACAATGTACATGAACAGTACTTGTTCAGATAATGTCTATTATTCTCAACTTATTTTCGTTCAATATCAATTTTATATAGGTACTTTTAAAACAGCTTTGCATATTTTCATCATAAAATTCCCCCGTTCTTTATTGTAGACTAATGTTTTTTGAAAACTAAATTTCAAACTATTAATTATTTTAACACGTTTGCTCTATTCACTGATCATTTAACGCATTTCAATTTTTTCCAGTTTAAAAACTTATTAGACATTTTTATCATTACTTAATAACTATTAAAAATTCAAATTCAATCACTTATAATAACTATTTGTAAAAATAAAATCATACGACGAATGTTGAAGCTCAGCTAACGACAGTAATCATTATACAAAAGATGTAATATTTGAAATCAGTCGTACAATCTTATCAATGCACAAAAGTCATATATTACGACTTTGAATGTATAAACCAAAATCCAATGAAAGGTTATTATTAAGTAACAAACAAAATAATATTACTTCATGATAAAAGATTTAAACAAATTTGTACATTTATGCATACTGTTTGAAAATGTTTGAATTGTTTGCGAACCACTTATACATTCATTAGGTACCTGCCTATTGGGAGGCGACTAGAAACTACTCGTATATACCCGAGGGGCTGTTTGTATTAAAATTATCGACCTTTTTAACCTCGGAAGGCGATTAGTATGCACCCAACGCCACTGAGATACGCTTATATTATATCCTTTATTTTTGCTTCCGGTGTTATAATAATAATAGTAAACGGTACCTATATAACGTAAATAATACTATTATAGACCGGTTTATTGTATTACGCGTGGGAATGCACAAAAAAAAATTAATTTAAAAAAAAATTATAATATTATTCCGTAATGACGTTGTCGCATGTCATGTTACAGAAGTGCAATCGAATCCGAGACGATCAAACAAAAATTGCACGTAAACAAGGAACCGGTAGTCGTGAACATTTTGGCCGTGTTGCTGGTGTTCGTGTTCATCGTGGTGTCTTACACCGTGCGCCGAGAATCCATCAAACGAAAATCCAACAACAAATCCCCATACACGGCCACCATGAGCCCACTTCGAGTAAAATCGTCGTCGTCCACCGGGAAATTCGGATCCGTCAAGCAATCCTCATTGCCACCGGTTTGAGATGTCTGTACGCAATAATGTATGATGATATTAAACTTGATTTCCGCTATCATACGAGATATCCAATAATAATATTATAATATCAACATAAATTTACAAACACAAAAATAAAAAAACAAAAACGATAAAACTGCAATTATTAAGTAATAAAAAGTACAACAATATTTCATATACCGTAATTAGCTTTATAATGATATTACATCTCACCGAAGTTCGTATTATTATTATTATTTGTATCGCAATAATTGGTCTAAATTTGCATAACCCACTCTTTCATTGAATTCAATATTATTAATTTACGTCGGCACACGAATGCATTTCATTTATTAAATTCAACGGCCTCGAAAATTGCGCAATTATTTGTTTTAAACGTATACCTACCTAACATATTATTAATAATATAATATAATTATTATCTCTGTGTTCCACATTCCTATTTGTCTTCCTTCTCGTTTTCTCGTTTATTATTATTAATATTTTTTTTATTTCATTAATGCGATGTATATGACAGGTACCTATTATACATTTATGTACCTACTGAACAAACCTATTATTTCGGATCGAATAACCTTATAATAAAATACATTTCGAATTCAAGTGCATTTAACCTACGGAGCAGGTTGAAAAAAGAAACACGTAAAACGATTCAAAAGCCAGACGAAAGTGTGAAACTAACCATGAACGAATTTGAATTTTAAAAACAGATTTAATTTTTATATTCTCGTTTTATAGGTTTTGATCGAGGCGATTTTTGATATTCGAAAAATTGAATGCTTACAGTTCCTAGTTTGGTACTCAAATAATGGAAATTGTTGAGAAATTCATGATTTTTTTTTTCTAACTATCAATATATTAAAGGTAAAGTGGAATATCGATAATCGCCTCAATCGAAACCTATAAGAGTAGAAGACAAATTCAAATATGTTTTTCAAAATTTAAAACAGCCAATACTAAACCTAATTGCAATTTTGTTCGGCCTATTGATCTAAATCGTTCATATTCATTTGTGAAAACGGTCGTATCCCATTTCCCTTAAAATGGGTGTAGATTAGTGGAAAAGTCTCATCATTAAGTTGGTCATTAGAAAGTAAACATAATAATTTTAAAAGTAGAAAAAATTCGGGAAACCTGCTCCGGGGTCCTTTTATATACAATTTTATTATTTTGTAGACGACATAGGTAATACTCGAATATATATTCACATTTTTTTCCAATTACCTACATATACAATTTCACCGTTATTTCTACTTAGTATAGATTTATATATGTTTATACTATTTTATAATATAATATATATTATATACACACATAATAATGATAATTTCATTCACATAATTAAAATATAATATTATTATTTTCTTTTTATATGTGTGTGTGTGTGTAATATACGAGTAAATTTGTGTGAATGTGTGAAAGCATTAGATATTAGATTACTAAATTGTATGTAAGATTTTTTTTATAAATGTTTAACAATATTTGATTAATATTCATACATAGGGTTAAGTGAATAATAATAATAATTTTATTATTATTATTATTATTGTACCTGTACACATTATGGCACACGTGCGTTTATATTCCAACTAAAAAGTGTCTTATCATAATATGTTATGTGAGTACATTAAACAAACATTTCATAACATTATATTTGATAATAAGTGTGAAGGTTAGAGTAGAATTATATATACAAATAATTATAATAATACTTCAAAAAAAAAAAAATTTGACCAAATTTTAAAACAATCGCGAGTTTACACCGCATTCCTTCAGTGTAAACATATTATTATTAATCATATTATATTATTAGAATTTTTTTTTTTAATTTACAAAACAATAAATAAATAATTTTTACATTAAGATAAGTTATTATATACTATTATAATCCAATACATTATATATTATCAATTATTATATATATACTAATACTATTTATAACTAAATCAATAAGATTATTATTAATGGTTTTCGTAATATTTGAATTTGAATTAATTTTTTTTTGTTTTTAATTTACCTAGATTTTTAACTATTAAACGATTAATATACAAACGAGTAGGAAGTGAGAAAAAAAATTATAGATTATTAAATTTATTAGAGATTATTATTTTATTAAAAAATAATATAAATATTATGCCTATTATACTATTTGTTTTTGTTATTGATACATTTTTTTTTATTATAATTATTATTATTACTATTTATAATTATTCTAATTTATTATTATGTAGTACATTTTCTGGGGTGTTGTATTATTCATTTTATTAATTAGCTTTAAAAAAAATAAAATAATAGTTATATTTGATTAGACATTTTGCGTAATTTATGTACCACGTAATTTATTATACTAATAGTTAATATTAGTGCAGATTTATTATTATTATTATTATTATTATTATCTACCTAACATATTATTAAAATATCTATGCATGTATATTTATTATTTATAATTGTATACATGCATATCTATTACTATTAACATTATATTATTATGACTAGTTGTTTTACACTAAAATAAATGATGAATACATTTTCAAAAATACAGTTTTAAGTTCTTATGGTCAGGATTTTATAGAATTCCCATAGTCACGTAAAAAAATTAAATTTTAACTATTTAAAATATTTGAAGTACAAATAATATGTGCTGAAAATATTCAGTAACAGTGTAAAAAAAAAAAAGAACTTTTATAATAATTAAATAAAATATACGTTATTATAATATCAGGAGGTAAAAATGATAAGGCATATTGTATACTGCTGTTTGACGAAAAGTCTAATAGAAAAAACGAAATTGGCCATATTACCCATATTGGAGTTAGTCGTAGACCTGCAACGATTGAGTACGTGATACGAATATAAAATACGACATAAAGGCGCCATTCCACTGCCGGCGTATCGCGTACGTGTTGGCACTTGGCGTACACCGTTTTTCCTAGTTAAAGGAATCTCCGTGTGGTATAATAATATGTCTAATATAAATGGTATTTCTGAAAAAAAACCTATATTTTTATCTAGCCAATATAGATAATAGATTATACCATTGTAGACTCAAACTATTTCCATTAAAGGAATTGAGTATTTATATTTTTATTTGTACAATGTTGTTCTCAATTTCTAATAAAAGAGCTTTGGCAGTGTATGAACACTAGCGTCAAGTATATAGGCGTAATATTATAATTCTTCGTGTGCATTTAATTTCTCCTCAGCCCAAGTAAATGTAGCTTTAACATAAATATACTTTATATCTTTAAATCTTAATTTAAGAATTTTGTTTTTGTATATTGAAAATATACAATAATATACAATAATTGGTACGTTAGACCTAAATTTCAAGAAATAAAAACATATGGGCATTACCAATGTTTAATATCAGAGTTTCAACTGTCAAACTCAGCATTATATTATAATTTTAGATTCTGAGTGGAGCGATGAATGTATTGAATTTATAAAGGTGTTTATTTTATTTTATATGAACACTTTTTCTACCTAAAAGCTTACACTGATGTATACAAAGTAGGTCCTTTTCTGAAAATAAATTTTCTTGGAATACGGTACTTTAAGAAGGTCATTTTTCGATTTTCCCAGGAATTTTCTCGACAAATGTGAAAAACCGAAAAAAAAAGATGTCCTAGGATAATGGAGACGGATGCAGCTACTGTTATAGGTAATTTAATATATGTATATCTGTAATCAACGATAAACCATTGCTAACGAAAAAACGATTCTGAGTGCAGTTCAGTTGATAGTCATGCTTTGTCAACAATATCAGACATACATTTTCTATAATAATATTTGGTTAATATTATATCGATTTTCCCGTTTTCCCAGTTTTCTCATGGTTTTTCCCAGATTATCACATTTGATAAGAAAACTGGAAAAATCGAAAAATAACCTCCCTAAAGTATCTTCTCAGTCAGATTTACTTTCAAAAAAAGTGCTATCGTTATAAATCGGAGTGAAATGGATGGTAGAAAAGTTGTACACAGAAAAAGGGCCATAATATGTTTTTACTAATACCTACATATCATACATTTTATCCCGGTTTTATCCAATTATTATGAAAACCGATTGAAAAGTCGCAAAAATGATTTTCTTAAACAATGGAGATAAAATTTCATTTCAGAAAATATGCAATACTTGATACATGGCAGCAAAATTTCTGGTAGAAAAATTTGCACAACAAATCGAGGAGTATTTTTCGATTAAAATCGTCCGAGCGAGCGATAGCTAGGTATTATTTCCCTATTTAGGCTAAAGGGAAAAAAAAGTACAACAAATTTCTTTTCTAACAGCGAGTTTTAACCCGAGACCCTTAGTATTTTTCTGACTTTACTATTCTTCTTAAATCGGCAATATACAAATGTTCAAAAAAAAAAATTGAAAAATTAAATTTGTTCCATATAATTCTTTACTTAAACAATTTTCTTCAAAATGTAGTATCAAAATTTATAAAAACAAATACTACATTAAACTTAGTTTTTTTTTTTTTTTATCACAAAGATACAGTAAGTATGTATGTAAGTAAATATGTAGTACAATCACAAAGTAATGAACCTATTAAATTTTCAAGCATTTCTGTTAAGTCTAACAATTTTACCATAAAGTACTTACCGAATAAAAATTACGTACAAAACTTGCAAAGTTAAAATATCAGTATATAGCTCAAAAATGGCTAAACGTATAAAAGAGGCAAATATACATTTTCTGTCCAAATTTCAAATCTCTACGAATATTTTAAACTAAATTACAACAAATAATAAAATTGATAAAATAATACAAGCAATAATTTCGTACATTTCTCGTTTTTCTTACGTTTTATTCTGGTTTTTCATAGATATAATGAAAACCACTTGGAAAATCAAAATATGACCTCCCAAAAGTAGCATCTGGACAACATTCCTTTTCAAAAATAGTGCCACGCGTATATATCTGAGCAAGATTTATGGTCAAATTTTTGTACACAGGATAAAAAAACAAATAAATATCTTAGTAAAACCAATACATTCTTCGCTACACTCAGAATCTAAAACTGAGAAAAACAGGAATATATACGGAAGTAGGTATTAGTTGAAAAATATTTCGGCTTTTTTTTCCTGTGAGCAACTTTTCTAACAGCAATTTTGTTCCGATTTACAATAATAGCAAATTTTCTGAATGGAAATCTGACTGAGAAGGTACTTTAAGAAGGTAATTTTTCGATTTTCCCAAGAATTTTCCAGCAAATATAAAAAATCGGGAAAAAACATGGGAAAACTTGAAAAAACGGGAAAATCCGATCAATATTAAACAAATATTATTAAACAAAATATGTTATGTAAAATTAATTATTTTATCATAATTTATTTATTTATTTGTTTATTTTAGTAATAATTAATGGGCGGTACCGTTAGAATACAATTAGATCATACATTTGAGCAAAAGAGTAGGAAAAATACATAGCAATATAAATAGTAATAATTATAAAAATAATAGTAGTAATAATAATATACATAATTAACAAAACAGTACATAGTAATAAGGATAATATTAGATTAAAAAAGAGAGATCCTCATTGGTTCATTTTACATGTAACTGTTTTTAGATTTGGGAATATAAAAGGACATAAGTGTACGGGTAGAGCGTTGCGGAACTTTAAAGTTTATAAGGGATAAAATATCAATACCATTTGATAACAAACCTCTAAGGAAAAACTTACCTAACATCCGTCTACGGCCAGCTAGGTATTCAAGGTCAAGAACCTTTGTGATTGAAGTGTAATCATGTTGGGGGGCGCTGAATGCCTAAAATGAAACTTACGTACTTTAAAAATGTACGTTGGACTCTTTCAAGCTGAAAAGAACCACTTGCAGTTTGCAGGTCCCAAATTAGTGAACCGTATTCCAAAATGTGCCTCACCAATGCACAATATAACACTTTTACCGTGTTGTTTAAGGATAATTCTTTAGTCAGTCTTATTATATAGCTCAGGTATTTATATTAAAAATTGTCATCATACTCATAAGTTTTTAAAATTAGTTAGTTTCGATTTTTATCGGATTATTATTGTTATTCATTTTTAATATAAATAACATAAATTAACCAGATTATCGTAATAGCTGAAATCGACTTGTTTTTTAATTTTTCAAACATTTAATTTAATTTTAGGTAAAAATGTCGGTATCTGGTCAATTACTGAATATTGTGACATTAAAAAGGACTACACAACGTGTTCGTCAAACTGAGCTATCAGCTCCTTAAAATCCAGTTGACTTTGATTTTAATATTCCAGAAAAATTTAAACTAATAACTGATGGTGGACGTTTTCTTCAGTACCTATGATAGTGGTTCCAATGATGCTAAATGTATTTTAATTTGTGTAACAAAAAGAAATTTTGAACAAATAGAAAATATTGAAAACTCTGGTTTTGTGATGGAACTTTTTCTAGGGCTCCATTAATATTTTCTCAATTATACACGATTATTCATGGTATACATTATTCAAATGTAATCCCTTCTGTTAATGCTTTACTGTCTGACAAACAAGATGAACTTACAAACGGTTTTTTCGAGCAGTTAAATCGATTAATCCAAATGTTAACCCAAATAGTATAATAATGGAGTACGAAAAAGCAGCAATGAATACGGTAAAATATGAATTTCCAAATACAGTTATACATGGTTGCTTTTTTTACTTTTTCTATTCAGTGGATTTATAATTATCATCACGTAGTAGTAGGAGTGAACAATTGGGGAACATTTCCTACTGAACGTCATTATTTTACATTTGGAAATTGAGATAATTCTAACAAGGTGAAGAACTTAACAAAACGGTCCAGATCGCTTTGTAGTTTGCCACAGTCGTCATGATTGTTAATGCGCATATAGATTTTCATGTCATCAGTAAAGCACAGCAAGTAACAGTGATGCAGAATACGATCAACGTTATTGACAAACAATGAGTACAGAAGTGGAGACAAGTGACTCCCCTGGAGCACTCCAAAAGATGCTAAGAATGTATTTGATTTGGAACAAAAGACTTTAACCCATTGATGCCTATTTTCTAAGTAAAACTTAAACCAGGTTAACAGAGGCTCACTGAAGCCAGATTTTTCGAAAATTTTAATGATGACACAATGGTTAACAGTTAACAAAAAAATTAAACACGTAGTCGGGAATGAAATGACACCTTTAAGGTAAACATGGATAAAGACAGTTACAAAGATGTAAAGAAATTAAGTAACGTAAAAAAATGAGGTATCGAGGGGTATCTGTAGTTTGTTCTAGTTAGTTTGCAAATCAGTAGTATAAATAATAATGAATTCGAATACTTGTATTATATATAAGGTGCCCGTCCCATGAAGATATATCCATTATAATACCTTCGGGGATAATAAAAATAATCAAATATGTTTTTTTATATTACTCACAACGATAAAGACTACAAATGTATTTATCTATTTATCTATATTTCATTTTTTGTTTTTTTTTTTTTTTGTTTGGGAATAAACTAAAAAACTAACTTAATTTTTTTATTTTCAAAAATTAAAAGATAGCCATTTTACAAAGTTTATTCTTCTGAAAATGTTACGTTTAAGCTTTTTATTTTAAATAAATTCGAAAAATGTACCTATAATTATACAGCAGGTAGTAATGGCATTTGTTAATTGGTTAATATTATTATTATTGCTAATTGTCAGTTGACTGTACACTTTTTTCCTCTTGACTTTAAAAATTATCAAAAATCACGAATTTAATGAAAATAAAGTCGATACGTCAAAAATTTCAGAAGAATAAACTCTATAAAATGATGAACTTCAAATTTTTTATAAATAATAAAATAAAATTCTATTTTTTAAGTTTTTTTTCCAAAACATAAAAAATTAATTGAAATGTAAATTTTTGTAGTTCTTATCCCTGTAAGTAATAAAAAAAAAAAAAAAACAGAATTTGATTATCTTTTTTATCTCCGGAAATAATACAGTGGGTATATCTTCGTGGGACACCTATATATTTTGGTATTTTAAGGATTTTAAAAATTATTTTATCGTATTTTAATCTTAAAATATAAAATATTTTTGTTTGTGTTACCGTTATAATATAATTATATTGCCATATTTTCGTAGTTTAAGATTTTAATTTTAATGTTTGTAAAATAATATTTTATTATGGTTCTAAAAATGTGTAAAAAGATTCCTTCAAAATGTATTATTATAACTCAATTAATTATTACAATAATACAATCTACTCAGCTAAAGTTAAACTAATTAGCTCGTTTACTAAATTATACAATTTTATAATTTAGTAATATGTGAATAACAATTTCTATGCAACATCTAAAATAGGTACTTGAACCTATTTAAATAAAATATCCTAAAAAATACCATTATAAATAAATTTTCTATTTAATATCTAACCGCTGTCAAGAAAAGTAATTTTTTCATATCTAAAGAAGTTTTCATAATCATTGGAAAAATCAAAAAAGACAATAACGTAAGATTTGTTCAAATTACGACACAACGATTTCATTATTTAAAATGTTTAAGATATTATATTTTTCCACCAGAAACCTTTGTTCAAATTTCAAGAATATCATATTTTTTAAAAGAAAATTTTGTCTAGTTTGTGAGTAAGACATTCATATAGTTTTCTTAATAAATACGAAAAACCGGGAGAAACATAGGAAATACGACAAAGTGTACGCCTACTATACGCGACCCTTTACATAACGGGTGGTAGTAAATGTCCTATCAATACAAATATGGATGCGTGTCGCCGTCGTGAATTGAATATTTCCGCTACCTATAATGATTGTTGTCGTTTATTTTTTTTCTCTCGCGTTCGTTCGCGGGAAAGCCTTTAATATAAATTAAATTATGGCCTTGGCTTTTTGCTATAACAATGGCCGCAGTGACGCTCGTCAAGTACCTATATAATACAGCTATCCTATACCTATATAATATAGCTTATCGATGACACTCCGTCGCCGCCTAATATAATGCGAAATTTAATAAAACGCAATTATTTAAAGGAATATTATCATCGTCATACTATTATTATTATTAACTATTGTACCAAACGATATAATATTATTGTTGCGAGACACAGGAAACATTCGATCTTCCACGCATCATCGCGACGACGGGGTATCGTAAGAACAGACTTGCAAACCAAAACATTACATTAAAATCAGCAATTAATGGTTTACAAAAATGCAATGAAGACGTGTATCATAACTAGGGCTCAAAAATTATAGGAGATGCGTATTTTTCTGTATGCACTGAATTTATACCAGACCAAGCTAGAAATACTTTCTATACTATACGATGAAGAGCTTAAAAATTGAACATTTAAAATAAATATTTTGAATATTTTGTTAATTTTAGAAAAAAAGTACAAATTTCGTCGATTTTCATTGATTTTTGCATATTTAATATTTTCTAAAAATATTGATTCTGAAAAATAAAAATTGAATATCAATTTCCACGTGAACATATCATTTTAGTTCTAATTTATTGTTATAAATTATAAAACCAATGATGTATACCTACAATCTACATAATATTATAACTAATCTTATCATTTATTGTTATACATTACTTTAATTTTAACGCTAGCACAAGTAGACACCTAACACAACAAAATGCAATTTACTCTTCAAAATCAAATCTAAATTAAAAGCAGTCTTATATTGGAGCGAAACTTTCGCTAGTCAGCACCTATAATTTTTATTACAAGTATGAAACAATGAAACTTTTTTTTTATTAATAGATTTAACAATAACAAAACAAAACCAATACCAAAATGATAAAATATTAAATATGTACAGAAAAACTTCCATATAATGGTCACCAAAGAGACTAGAAATAATAAGGAAATAGTTAGAGATAATTGTCCTTTAGAGGCATAGTACTTGACGGCAGCAAAAAAAAATGACCATAACACAGAGATGACTGTTTTACTGTGCAAGGTTAAATACAATGAAATAATAATTGGGAATAAAAAAAAAGAAGTTTATGTAATTATATTTTCTGTGCAAAAGTATTATTGCTACAAAAAAGTTATAGGAACATAACACTTCCCAAAATAAATTTATAATGATAATAATAATAAATAAATAAATCTAGTTCCAAACATCCAAATACATAATTATATTAAAATATTCCAATACCAAGGAGAATGGATACCTACACAACACAATTATGTACAAATATTCTTTTCATTTTTATCCATTAAAAATAATAAAAAATAGAACAATAAGAATTATTTTAAAAAAGAATAATTTTTAACATACAGAACATGTATACAAAGAATTAAATGTTCTACCATTAAAAATAGTTGTTCTATAAGGCACCAATAATATATACAATTAAAAATAACCTAACACCTAGTATTGATCATGGATATAACACAATAAAATTATCGAACATTACTGTTCTCTTAATTCACTGAAAACTAACTCAATCTACTTATTTATATATAGGACCAAAAATATATAATATGCTACCATTAGACTTCAAAACAATCCTATCAGTTATTACTTTTAAAAAATATAATAAAAACTAACTGACTGCAGAATGAACCAAATTTAAAACTTTAAATATTTGTACATCTCTAATTTAGTTACTTGCAAAGTCTAAAATTGTAAAAAATAGTTGAATTTAAATTATTATTTGAATGTATTATCTTCCTTAGTATAAATTGTGAACTCATGGACCCCCACATAAACCTGTTCAGTGAGGCCCATTATTTTTTGGAAGAAATAAACAATAATAATAATAGTAATAATATGATAGATAAGGGACTGTTAAACATATATATCATGAAAAATTAATTTTTTTTTTAAATTGTATGTACAATGTTTATACCTAAATATATATAAAATAAATTTAATTTAAAATGTATATATATATATTGTCAAATACATTGCATCTTTAAATTATATAAATACATAATTAAAAAAATGTGTAAATTAATATATGTATATGTTGTACAACACACCAATCCTCATTTTTTATATAGTAAATAATCAGTATTTTGAATTTCATAATATTAAGTATGTACCCATAAAAACAGCATTTTTTCCATCATGCAATTCTGATTGATCCATTACACAATAATTTGTTTAATCTTGTTTGTATGTATCATCCAAAATAAAAGAGTGAATTATTTAAAACACTTTCTAATCTAGTGCCTTAAAACACACACTAAGAAAGAAAATATGTACACAAGTGCTAAGCTGTATTTGTTCCAATTTGTATTGCATAATTTCCAGATACATAGATAACACTAAAAGATAATATTCTAAAATAAATAGGCACCGGTCCAATTTTTAAATAATATTTAACTATAAAAAAAAAATAATAATTTTCGGTTCAACATAGTTCAAGTTACACCTTTCTTTTAATTTCATTTAATCCCCGACCATAACTGAATGACAGCTTTTACATTTGTTTAATTATATAGGTAACTATAACACTACAGCAAACTAATTAAATTAGGAATAATGGTTGTGTGTGTGTGTGTGTGTGTAAAAAGTACAAACTATTTTCACAAAGGTACAAATAGGTTTTTTTTTATAATACCTATATCCAACTTCTAACAATCTTAATACAAATATTTAGTATCAAGTACAAGTGTGTTTCATTATCAGTACCTACTTATAACCTTAAAATATTATGATGTTTGTGTCAACAAATATTTTGTAAAACATTAAAATTATTCTCAGATATTTAGAATAAGCGAAACTAGATTTGTTTAATTATTTTCGTAACGTAACCAAGATTAGAGCTTTATACGAATAAGTAGCTATGCAATTAATATCTTAATACAGAAAAATATAATATGTAGTATAACATTTAACTATCATTAAAAGGCCAAACAAGTATTATAACTGATTAATGTAAGATATCCGCCCAACTAACCCCACAAGTTAACGGGCCCATAATATTAACCCTTCATTGGTATCAATGTTAGCATTTCACTAACATTAAAATTATATTTTAGATTCTGAGGGAAACAAAAAAGCTTATAGTTTTACAAAGATGTTTATTTATTTATTTTTTTAAATCTGTGCGCAACTTTTCTACCAACAGACTTACTCGGATTTCTACATATAGCAAATTTTTTGAAAGAAAATTGGCGTGAGGAAGTACTTAAGGGAGGTAATTTTTCAATTTTCTTAGGAGCTTTCCCTGGAAATGTGAAAAACCGGGATTAAACATGGGAAAACCAGGAAAAACGGTATAACATTAATATAACAAAAATTATTATAGAAAATATATATAGTTTATTTAATTATTTTACTATAATATGGTATATATATTGTTGACAAAGCATCACTATCAACTGAACTCCCATCTAAATCGTTTTTTTTCGTAAGTAATGGTTTATCGTTGCTTAAAAATATACATTAAATTATCTATACAGTGAATGCACCCGTCCTCATTATCCAGTGTCTTTTTTTTAATTTTATGTACTTCTTATTGACATAATACTATACTAAAATAAGAACAAAAACAAATTATAAATTTCTTTTTGTAAGTATTATGAGCAATCAAATTCCCCATTATCGATCACGTTAGTGACTCGCTTGTACGATACTAACTGTGCCATAATTGTTTTTACATAATGATCAAAAATTATCAATATGAAGTTATTTATTTAGATAAAATATTTTTGTTACTGGCAATTTTTTATTGTATTTAAGTTTCAAAGATCAGTTTATCATGTGGTGTGTCATGTGTATGTATGTAAAAGCATAGGTACTTGTTAAACATGCTATACTCATACTGCAAAAGAAATTCAGAAAATTTGAACAATGAATAATAATTTTTAATAATTTGTTAACAGGTTTTTTTTTATATAAGAGTGATTTTTTTTTTTGCGAGTTTAAAAAAAACAACTATCATTTTTGGATAGTTCATCCATATTTAAGTTCATTAAATAATTCAGAGGGACAAAAAAAACGGCAATGATAACGTAACGCTAACCCGATATCAATCGTTATTCGTTATAAAACATGGAGATTAAGATATCGACGACGGGTTAATATTATAATAATGTCAAAGACTTACCAAAAAAACAATGAATTCTGTGTGTACACTCAGGGGACGCGTAAGATGAAAATGGTGGCACAAGGATTACAAAAAAACCAACAAACTCAACTCAACGAAAGCAAATTGGAGAAAAAAGAAGCATACGTGCGATGTACTATGACAGTACGTTGATCTAAACAAAAAAAATAATAATACAAATAAAATAGTGCGAACAACGTGACTACTAGTCGGGTACTTACACCATAGCTGATAAGAATGACCATAGTATCCATTTTTCATCATATATATTACCTCCTGAAATCCTGAACTAACCTAACGGAGGAATCTTTGGAGAAACCGCCTATTAGGGGTGATTTTTAATCGCCCGGTTTTCACGTGCATTTTTATTTTTAAAACTATTATAAACTATCACCGCGATTTTTTGTCCTCCGTTTTTCCACTTTTCATTTATTCCCGATCTGGAACTCCATAAACTCGCCGTTATCTTATACTCGTGTACGGATGGCGCATTTATTGCCGTATTACAATTCGTTAGGTCATGATGTTGTCCGATCCGAGCGTATGTATCTCGGATTGGAGAAAATGTATTGCTATGTAAATTGTTCACAGGAAAATAAAAGAGCCGTAATATTTTTAACCAATACCTACATTTCGTACATTTTCCCGTTTTTTCTTCATTTTTTTTTCTGTTTTTCCTATTTACTGAGAAAAATTCTGGGAAAATTAAAATACTACCTGCTTAAAGTACCTCCTCACACCGATTTTCTTTCAGAATAGGTGATATAAGATAGTTTCCTGTAGAACAGGAAAAATATTTATATAATCATCACTGTATTCAATGTCTTCTTATACCACAAAAAGATAACTTTCCAAAGAGCACTTCATGATCAAAGGAATCAAAAGTTTTTTTAAAGCCTAAAAATATGCCTAGAACCTTGAACTTGTCAAGATTATTATATATATAATGAGATGTTTTTACCGACTGATTAATAGTTAACATACATACCTATTTGTATGAAAACCAAATTGAATGTTATTGAAAAATGTATATTTATATGAAAATTGTGTACATTTTATTTTTATAAATTTTCCAATTTTTTTTTTCTAAAATGTGTATTTTTAATGCTTTATCCATTGGTATAAACAAAACTTGCCTATTATACTCACTTTTATAGTTATAGTACATAAACCAATAATATAACATAGCATTTTTGGAATTAATCCAAAATGTGGTTGAAATTAATTTTATCATTATTAAGTGTAGATATTGATATTTTGATAACAAAAATTTTTTTATTGAAGTCAGAAAAATGTTCAGAAAAAAATTATTTATTGGGTAGGTTTATGTACAATAACTATAAAAGTAAGTATGATATGTAAGTTTTGATTATAGCAATAGAATAAACATTCAAAAAACACACATTTTTGAAAAAAAAAAAATTGAAAATCTTGAATTCTAACTAAGAAATACATGAAATGGAAAACTGAACTTCATAAAATTTTTCCCCGTAACTTTCAAACAAATTTCGTAAGACGTTTTTAGAATCTTAATGTACAGGTAAAAACATAAATTTTGAAAACAAAAATTTGAAAAACAAGCTTGTTTCATAAACTAGATTTATTTCAAAATTAATATTGGTAACATACTATAGTACATATAAAATTATTTTGTTCTTATAAAACTAATAACAAATTTTTTTCATTTTATAATTAAACTCGTAAAATTCTCATCATTACTAACTGGCAACTTCACTCAACACTCTTGCTATAAATTCACCTTAGTTTCCTTTTTATTTGTTTGATAAATCATTCATAATGCTGACTAGGTAAATACCAAATTTATCATCAACAGTAGTAATGTCTGGAGGGGGAGTCTCAAATTATTTGATTTATCTAAAAACATTTTTTAATTACACATATAAACCTTTCTAAAATGAATATTCACTTTTAGGCTTAGAATTTAATTTATGTTTTTATAACCATTTCCACTTCCACTTGCATTGTTCTTAATTTTGTTTGTTGATACAATAGGAGTTGCCAGAGCTAAATTAAATATAGTCCTATAAAAGATTTTATAAACATATTATAAATAATCTTTAGATTTTTTTTTCATAAAACAATAAATATTAAAATATTTTTTAACTTACGGTTTATATGAAATTATATCATCTAAAACCGTAAGATGTCACATATAAAACCATTCCTTTATTGTAACAGATCCACTTTTACTCCCCTTTCTTGACAAATTCATCCCTCATATATTTCCATTTACTGTATTGTATCAACATCATAAAGGGGAATTAAATCATAAATAAAAATTTTGTTTTCTAATTAATTTACTAACTTTGTAGCTCTTCACAAATTTCCTTCCATAATTTGTTTCTTACTACTTCTGTGCTCTCTACAGGTTTCAATGATTTATGATCCCATAGTGGCTTTCAACATAGTGTATAATTACAAGTTTTTTGTTTCTGTGTTGATCTGTTCACATGGGTGGTTGAGCTGAAATGCTTGTTGGGAATTTTTGAGCATTATGATCTTTAATAATATTATACCTACTACAGTAATTAATATTAAATACATAATTAGGTACATACATATTGTGCAGTAAAAGTCATTATTATATTTGCAAGTCACAGCTAAAAATTTTCTCAACAGAGATTGAAATGTCAAAAAAAAAAATTAATAATGATAATTTTATTTAAATAAAATATTAAAAATTCGTAGTGATATGGATAACCATAGGTACCACACGTCGATATAGTTGAAATATTTGGTATACTATGGTAAATAGTATATAATTCCTGGTATAAGATGGTTGAAAACATAAACTCGCCAATCAGAAAGGAGCATTTTAAATGGTCAACACAAAAAAAAGTGACACGTCAGCAGTGGAATGGCGCCGATTATTGTTAGGTGCAAAATAATCACAAACCAGTGGGTCTCAAAATTTTGGTTCCATACCGCATAAATCGCTCAACGCCTACTCAACGTCACCGCACGGGCTCCTCATGTTTTTTGCTGACACATTCGCCACAGAGCGCTGTAATCACCCATGATCATTTATATTACACCGATGTACCAACTAATGACTCAATTCCGGAGCCGCCAATATTTTACGTGACTATTACTTCATCAAATATATAATACGATACGGTATCTAGCGCAATAAAATATAGTATAATATATAAAATAAATTCAGAGGCAGGATGGAGGGGGCTAAGGGGCCCTCCCCAATCAAAATTTCCTGTAACCTTTTCTGAATAATGACTAAGCAGGAAAATATTTTCTCATTGGAATATTTTTCTTTTCTTTTTTTTTTTGATGGTAGAAATTTACAAAATATATTAGATGATAATTTTATATCGTCTATAAAAAAGAAATTTTAAAAGTTGTGAGTGTCTTTTAAATGAGTTCCGTAAAATATAAAAATTACATAATAATGTAAAATATAAAATATTCGGAGGATGGTTGAACAAATATCTTTGTATTGCTGTAAATTACCAGCATAAAAGTTTTTGTTTTAATTATACAAATTATAAAGTAGGTAAATTGTATATTTCGGGAGGTTTATTATATAACACCCAAAAGTTTGTATACATATATATATGTAAAAATATTATTAATACTACATAATTGGAATACTACCTAATTCATAAAGTTATGCTACGCGTAATAATAATAATTCCTTTTTCTTCTCCTTTGCCATCATCCTAAATAACTATTTAATCAGCCACCCTCGTCCTAAATGTTCATTTGAGCCTTTTTCTTTTCTCACATACACCGGAAATCCTCATATTCTCAATCGAATCCAAACACCTATTTTTTGTCTTTCTCACCCCCTTCTCCTAAATTTATTTCGTTATAATTTTTACCAAATGAATCATATTATTCATTTTTCTCTTTTCTTAGAACACGCCCAAACCATCTCTATTTTTCTCATTTTATTTAGAAAAGCCACGTCTAGTTAACTGTTATGTGGTAATTCCTCTACACTCATTCTATTATATTTTTCTGTTCCTGCTCAACGCTTTGAACCAAACAAAATTAGTAGTTTTAACGCACGTTATAATGAATATTATAATAATTATAATATTAATAATTGTTATTTCTTTTTTTTTTTTTTTAATAAAAATATATTTTATACCTAAGTGATAAAATTATGTATAACGTTGATAGTAGTACGCAATTTTTGGCTCCGGAAATGAGAAATTAGTTGGCACATTCTATGCGGTGTCTAGTCATCGCTTCACTGGCACTAGTCGGTTTTCGTTAACTAGTTTCACTTTGAGATTTAATTTTTCCGTATTCGGTTAAACTGAGAGGTTGCGATACTTCTGGTTGGCCAAGAATTACCGACGCGAAAGCAGCTTGTATTGATCAATATTATAGTCTATGGACTTCAATTATATTATGTTGGCTATCCTGCTTCGAGACGCTGTTGTTGATACTCCCGACGCCACGAACCCGGCGCGGTGACCACCGCTAGCGAATAAACACGACCCACTTTGTAGGCGATGTTCAACTTGACGCCATTTTTATGTTGTCATTTTCGGCGTCCTTTTTGATTAATTTTATTTTCTAACATACCTACGGTTTATTAAACAATTTTTTTTAATCATTAACAATTTTTACGCGCGTTTGTTTTTTTGACGAGATCGCTCGTTATTATAGTGGATACGACGATTGGTGTTTAAATCGATTTGAGTACCCACGCGCATACAAGTTCTCTTTCATAACGAGAATAATAATTCAATAGTTTGTACACTCGTCAAGACTACAGTTATTATTATCTTGTTAACTTGAATATTACTTTAACCAAACCGAAATATGGCGTACAACCGACGAAGTGGCGGTGGTGGATATGGTGGCTATAACAGTGGCGGCCGCTACAATAGTGGCGGTTATCGAACTGGATCTTCTAGTAACGTTAGCCCTTGGCAGTCCAACTCTGGCAGCGGAGGCCCTTCTCCTCGACAGTCACAAGGTGGCGCGACACCTGCTCTGGCCATGGCCAGTAACCTCATCAGCAAGCTATTGACATCGTCTACTCCTATGGTATTTACTTATAACATATTTTTTTTGTTTTTCATAGGTATTGATTAAAATTATAAATATTTTATTTAATTTTTGATCTGTAGTTTCATCTACCCAAATAACAGTTAGTGCAATTAGTACCTAAATATACTAAGAGGGCGACACAGTTACATTCTATCTGCAGTGTAGCTAAAATATGTTTTTGTACTTTCAATAGTTCTCTAAACATATTAAAAACGATACAATTTATCAAATAGTAATATTTATTTATTTGGAAAAATAGGTATTTTTTTGGATGAGCAAAAAAGCATTTGATTGTGTCTGGGTTAGAACATATAATACAGTAAAGTATAAAACATAAATTATACATATGTATATGTTTATAATACTAAAATATAATTTGTTAAATTAATTTATAAGTTTAAATACTTATTAAAATTTGAAATGTACAATTGGTATTATCACTATTATAATAAACTTAAAAAAAAATTAATAATAATGTCTTGGTCGTTATAAAGTTTTATATGTGTAAAGCAGCAGTTCTCAACCTGGGGTATATGACATGATTTCAAGGGGTACGTGAAAAAAATTGAATAATGGCAGAAAAAGTGAAATTTAATGTAACTGAAATAGTTTACTAATATTTAATAATAATAATAAAAACCTAACCATTCACAAGCACTCTGTTGGTGGAAAGGGCCTTTTCTACATACATGTTAAATAAAAAATAAGTATTGTAATAAACTGTCTGTAAGTTCAGATTTACGGGTTTATTTGTCATCTGTGGCGCCAGATTTCAAAAAATTAAGTTTAAGTAAAATAGTGGTGAGAGGTCAAGGGGTACGTGAATGAAAAAAGGTTGAGAACCGCTGGTATAAAGTATAAAACATTTTATACGCGTATATTACCAACCTTGGGTAAATCTTGAGCTATTATTAAAAAAAATTAGAAACTTCTGAAATACATCGATTAGAAAATAATCTCTTTAAATTTTTTTAAGTGGTAGAACTCAAAGAGTTAAATGTGATGAACATTACAGTAAAGATCTCATGTATCTTGTGGAGTACCACATGGTGCTGTATTATGTCCCTTATTATTTATTAATTTTATTATTGATTTCTTAAAACTAAAAATTAATCTAAACACCTAAACAGGAATTATTAAGCTTTGCTGATAATACAACTATATTATTATCTGAACCAACAATTGAGATTTTATACTATGAAGCAAAAAAGATATTACATAATATTTACATTTGGTTTTGTAAAATAAACTGTAATTGAGTTTAATCAAATCAAAATTAACTTTTTTGAACAGTAAAGTTCAAATTCTTTGTAAACAATAAGCTCATAGTTCATTCATTACAATTTAATCATAATCTAAATACGATCTGTAGATCGAAATGTATTATTGGTGAAAAGGTAAAAGAAATATAATAATAAAATAAAAACAAAATTATTAAAATGGTGAATACTCATAAATAAAGTAAATAAAATATCTACCGAGGTATAATTATAGATTACAGGCTTAAATGGAATAGCCATTAACTGCATTAATAATATTTTACATATATTTTCACTAGTCAGACAGTTTTAGTCAGCGAACGTTGTCTATTTGTCAAAAAAATTTGTTATATAAATTTATGTTCATTTAATATCAATAATTTTATTTTTCTTATTATTATTTCTACAATGAATATATCAAAAAATCCCTCATTGAAAGCATTTAGTGAATATTATGTTATGTCATTGTCTTAAATTTGGTGAAATCATTTTTGTTTAAGGTTTCTTAGATCCTAAGTGCTATTGGAAATATGAAGACATACTATTTCTGTATTAAACGTTAGATAGAGATGGATAGTCTTACTATAACACACCTTAAGGTTAACAACCAATGGTGTGTGTGTGCGTCATGTGCATCATCTCATGCTTCTACTAGTATTTCTAATAGTGCGGCAACGCACATTAATACATCCAAATGGTACTTTGTAGGTGCTTGTATAGATAGTTTATTTATTTTGTTTATTCTCTTAAGGATTAAAACTGACTACTTCATGACTATTAATTAATTTAATTACCAAGGCTTAGATTTTAAAGCATTTGCTAATTATTATAGAATACAGTTAAAAATAGTAGTGTAAGCTTTAAATTTGTTGTATGCACCAGAAACTTCAAATGTACAATTTGATATAGTTTATTTTGCATATATATATTTGAATTATTTTAGACTTTTAGTGCTGCTTTTTGCTAATGTGAATATGATTTATTACACATTTGTAAATTTATTATTATTTTATACCTTAGCTATTAATTATTAGTAGAGTTATTAGCATTACTATCCCTCAATTATTTCTTTATTGTTTGAAACTTTATATCTGTTTTTATTTTACTTTTATTTTTATCACACTTCTATCAATATTGTTATTAGCATTAATATCTAATAGTTTATCATATATGTACTGCAAAGAAGTTTTTATGTCATACTCTAAATAAATAAATAATAATTTATTTTGTATTTTTATAAATTTTAGAAAAAAAATCTGTCATTTATATATAATAAATCCATAGAACCCACAATCAAATATTTCAAATATCTGGTGTATATCAAACTTAAAAACATTTCTAAAATATTTGACAGTTTTCTCAAATATTGTACTACTAGATTGATAACAAATTGTTATAACCGTATATTATCATAATTATGAAATATAATTTGCACATTTTTTACAAAGGCATTGTCATTTGTAGTCCAATTGTTATAATTATAATTCATTACATTTATTACCTATACAAAATTTTAGATTAAATTAAATTAGTTTTCAATGAAACCTAAAAGAGTAAAAGTGTGTATTGCTAGACTGAACACTAAACAAATTAAAATAGGTACCACTAAAACTGGTGGTCACAAATTAATGGCAGGATCAGGAATTATTTACTTTTATGAATTTGGGTTTTTGGATTCTTGGGAGAATAAATTATTGTATTATATAATATTCATATATATACGATAAACACGTATTCAAAATTACAAGAAAATGCCTTTATTAGTAACATACACTTCATAATAAATTAATAGATCCTTAACTACACTCCGAATCTAATACTTATGAAATTTTTAATACATACTACATAGAAAGTTAAAGTAGATACTAAGGTACTTAGATAATTACTTATTTTTGAACAATTTCCTTAGTTTCTATAATTTATAGTTTTATTAATTTTTTTACGGTTGTAACTCATTTTGTAGCTTTAATGTAAGAATATCCTAATGAATTAGTACCACTAAAATATCTTAATTTGTATATAGTACCTACTACCTATGATAATTATTGTACAAATTAAATTTACACGGATTTGATCAATCACTACAGAATTTTAGTTATGGATAATTTGATTAAATATTTATTTATCTGAACTATTTTTTAACAAATTTTCAATGTTTACCATTCGTCAAATATTTGTTAAATTATTTCATATGTGAACCAAGCTTAAGGAAAATACCTACATTTATGTTTCAAATTCTACTCTATTTTTAATAATTTATTTAGAAATTGTTTTAACCATGTTACTTTTATTATATATCTAAATTCCTTATGACAATTTTTTTTTTAATTGAAAAATAATATAATGTGAGCATTATAATAATAAGCTATAAATCTATTAAAAATTTAGTATCTATAAATTGTATTCCCCAGATTTTGATTAATATACAATATGTATAGTATATATATTAATTTTAACCTCAACAACATATAAATTGTACTTAAATTTAAAAATGACTTACTTAAATTGTTAATAATTGTTATGCATTAAAGCATTATGTATAATATTTCATTAATTTGTACATTTTTTATACAGTTTTTTTGGAATAGGAAGTTTAAAAATGTTTGTATTTAATAATATAAATAATTTAGTATGTATGAAAACAAGTATTTAAATGAATGCATGCATACCAATAATTTAAACATTAATATAATATAAAATTCAAAATTTTATTCCTTGATCCTTAAATTATTATATATTTTGTATGGTTTTAGTGTCTATTTGTCAGTCTACATGGGACATACTGCATGAGACTACATGGTGCTCCTGGTAATAATAGCTATCTTGTAGTTTTATTTTCAAACAATATCAATACACATTGATATGGAAATGGGTTTCTGTTTTTTTTCGTTATTACAAACTAAATAAAATTGTATTATTCTTAATTATTAGCTATTATTATTTGTTTCAATTGTAAACCATGGTCTAGAACTATTATAGAATTTTTAATTATATTATCTGAAGAAGAGGATGAATTTTTTTACTTACCAACTTACCTATTGTAATTTTTATAATATTTTTGAATTCGATCTTATATCTTGTTTTATTTAAAAAATAATACTTGTTAAAAATCCACTACTAATAATATTACAAAAGCTGAAGCACATGTAATCATTTGTTTTTTATCAGTGCTATCCATTTAAAAATACAGTAGATACAGTACAGTTTATTTACTACTATTTATTTTTTTTATCTACTATAACAAAATAGTTTTACTGTGAATTTAGCCGAAATAAAACTTTATTAATTCCTGTTGAATTATGATTATTTTTCAGGCTGGCAGTGGTTATAATGGAGGCCCTAATCGAAGTAGTAGTTGGAACAATGGAGGTTCAAGAATGGCACATATGCCAATGCGTCAAAGACATGATGGCCCAGGAGGATATAGTAAAGATAACAGGGTAATAAATGTTGAAAATTCATTAAAATACATGTTAACTTAAAAGTTATGTTATTTAAACCAGAAATAAAATTTCTATAGCAATAATAATTCATAAAATATGTTAAATATTTATAAAAAGATGTGCTACACTAATGGGTGGATTACTGTTGTAAATAAGAAATTGGAAAGGTTGGGTATAAAAGAGATTTTTTTTGTATCTATGCAATAAAAACAAATTCAAAGTGAATTTTCTTTTATACATATATGTAAATTCCCCCCCTCCTGAGGTTTTTTTTATTTAATTTTTTCCCAATTATTAGGAAAATTATGTAAAAAATGACTCCTTTAAAGTATCAACTAAGAAAATTTCCTTTCAGAAAAGGTGTTGCAGTTAAATACATCAGAACAAGATTTCTGTTAGAAAAATTGCTCACTGAATAAAAAAAAATAATAAACATTGTAAAACCAATGCATGCCATACTATGTCCCAAAATTAAAACACTTGCTAAATATTTATACAAATCTTGTGATAAATTTTTAAAAATGTACATATTTTTTTTTTTTGTGAAAATACAGCAATAATTAATAATCATATTACTAAAAATTATATTACTTTATTTATAATAGCGAAAAGGTGGTGACAGTAAATTTTCTGGTGGAAACCGTAAATCAGGTGGAGCAAAAGATGGAGAAAAGCGTAAATCTGGGAAAGTTAATGATGAAAACAAGAAAGGGTGCTTGTTATAATTAAATAATATATACATATTTAGATAATTTTGTATTTTAATTGAGATTATGATTTTAGACCAAATGAACGTGAAAGAACTAAGGAACAATTAGATTTAGACAAAAAGGCTTCATATGCTGGTGTTCCTTCTGCTGTACTGTATTGTCACGTATGTTCCAAACATATGTGGGATTCTGAGGTGAGATATAAGTTTATGAAATTAATATTTATATCAATATAGTTGTTAATTTTAATTATTTTATCGGTTTTAGTCTTTTGAAAAACATGTACGAGGTAGACCTCATGAATTAATGATGACTTATTTGGATGAAGCATATAGAATGCGTGTTGATTTTATGAGACATCAAATAAAAGCTGTTGAAAACCAAAGGGAAATTGATTTGGAACGTGTTACAAATAACAAGCATAAAGCTAATAAGGCTAATGCTGCCAATAAAGTTGTTGGTGGTAATGCTAATTCTTCTAAACCACTTTTACGCAGTTATTGTCCTATGTGTGATGTACGCTTTTACGGTCCACTTACTGGACACCGAAAAAGTGATAGACACAGGGTAAAATATATTATTTAAATGTATATGTGTGTTAAATATAAATAACTATTTAAAATGTTTTATTATTTTTATAGAAACTTAAACAGTTTCTACACCCTGAATGCAAGTTGTGTGATGCATTGTTTCATACTCGACTTGAAATGGATGAACATAAACTTACTGCTGGGCACTTAAAGGTAAAAAGAAACTAGTAATAAAGTCTTTAAACCAAATAACGTGTATAAATTACTATGACTAGTTGGATATTTTTATTGTGGTGTATAATATTATATAACATTATTTTAGAAAGTGGCTGAACAACGCAACATAGAAAATCCTCATTTAAAAAATGATGAATTTGATTTGATTGACATGATTAAAATCGAAGGTTAGTAAAATCATTGACTTTAATAGAATGAACTAAAAAGACAGAGGAGACCAGTACCTCTTATGGTTCACATGGTCTATCCAGAGGGGGGATATTCTTTATCGATAAGGGCACTATCTAGTATTACCAAATGCTATAATATTTGATAATACTTAAACAATTATATTGTATAGTGTATAAAAACAAATTGATAGATGGAGGACTGGCAGAATTGGTAGAATTTAATAGTGATTAGTTCTTGTTATATCACTACAATATATTTCCTCCCTTTCTATATATTCTACACTTGGGAATCTTAAGTAGTTCTATGATACAGTTGTTTCCAATTTATTTTATCATGGTCTGTGGGTAAAATATATATTATATTATATTTTGAATATTCAAAGATCCTCAATATATGTTATTTAAAATTCTTAAATATTTTTGTAGAAGATGACCAAGACCATGATCAGATGCCAGTAGCGAAAAAATATGAAATGCTTACTGATCGCGATGCAACCAAATTGAAATTGGAATTGGAAGGTGGCAGTTCTGAAAAACATCGAGAAAAGAAAAACCTCTCTGCTGTAGAATCTGATAGTGCTCTTGCATCTGATAAAACAATGGAGGTAGATGGAGAAAAATATGAAGACAAGGAAGGTGAACAACATGAAAACAAGGAAGGTGAACAATATGAAGACAAGGAAGGTGAACAATATGAAGACAAGGAAGATGAACAATATGAAGACAAGGAAGGTGAACAATATGAAGACAAGAATGGTGAAGAATATGATGAAAAGCTGGATGAAGATAATGATACATCAGGTGTTGTTTCTATATTAGAAGAGCAGACAGGAGCTAATAAAGCTGATCAATCTATAAAAGACGAAAGTTTAATTACTGCAGATTTGACCATTAATAAAGACAATCAGGCAGCCTATGATCCAGATGTTGCCATAGGTAATTTTTATTTTTTAACATTTACATTTTACAGTAAAATATTTATAGATAATTTAATTATTTTAACTACTTGTAAATATAAATAAAACATTATATACATTTTATTTAGGACAAGATTTATTGATCCCTTCGAAAGGATTTGTGTGCAGACTATGTAATTGTTTCTTATTGGATGAACAACGTGTTTCAATCCATTGCCAAACTGCTGCACACTATATAAATTATACAACCATGACCAAAATGAAAGAAGCTACTTCTGGTGGTAAAAAACGAGGTATTGATGAAGTTGATGTAGATGAGACAGAGGTTAAAATAGAACCAGTTGACGAAGAAGAAGCGCTACTTCAAGAATTATTAAATGATTGCGGTGTTTCTCAAGAAGTTGAAAATAATACTGAAGTTTGTTTAACCATTAATTTAATATTTTTTGTTTAAGTTTGTACTATATTTCTTAAATGTTTTAGGAGCAAGCTACTAAGCGTATTAAGTTGGACATTGATAAAATTAACGAAGAAAAAAATGATATTGATGGCGGTGAACAGCCATTAACTAAGGTCGAGTCTATGGTCATGGAAAATAATACGGAGTCTGTTGACAAACCAGTTGAAAATGTTCAACCAGTAGCTACTACTGCTGAGTCATTATCAGTAGCTGCTGCTGAACCATTATCAGTAGCTGCTGTTGAACCAGTAGCTGATGCTGCTAAACTGGTAGTTGATGCTGCTAAACCAGTAGTAGCTGCTGCTAAACCAGTAGTAGCTGCTGTTGCTGCTGCTGCTGCTACTACTGCTGCTGCTGCTACTACTACTACTGCTGCTGCTGCTGCTGCTGCTGCTACTACTACTACTGCTGCTGCTGCTACTACTACTGCTGCTACTACTGCTAAACCAATAGCTGTTGCTCCAGTTACTACTCCTAATAGAGGACGTGGTGGTAGAGGTCGTGGACATCGTGGTGGTAGTGTGGCTAGACGTGGTAATAGACGTTAGGTTACTTAAGTAGCTATAAAATAAAAAAAAAAAATTAAATTTGAATGAAAATATCAATTTTACTGCAGTTTTAGTGAATTTTTAATATTATCTGTTTTAATAATTATTTTATTTACATCTTTTACATTTTGTGTTAGGTGATTAATTAATAACAAATCAGTTCTAAGCATAATTTGTGTCAACTTGAATATAATATTATTTTTTCACCTACATATAAAATTGTAGTTGTATTAGTGTTTATTATAATACTTTAAATAAAATGATATTGCATTTTTAGAACTATTTCTTATAATTTTTAAGCTTGAAAAAGAATATTTATAGTTTATATTTTATCATAATATAAAATTATTAAGTAAAATAATTTACATTATTATTAAAAATTTAAAACATAATTTAATAATACAATATAATTATCTTAAGTGAGTTTTTTACAGTTTAATAAATATTTTCAATATTATTTTTACTCTATTTAAGTAATATAGTTACGAAAATAATAATACAGTTTTGGAACAATGGCACTATTTACATTATTAAATATATTTAAATATTTTAGGTTTTAATAATATAAATAAAAAAGTAGTATAGTTATAATAATTTCTATTATTAATTGTAGATTTTTTTAGTACTAAGGTTCATATTATTTATTAATTTTGATTATAGCAACACAATAAGATTTAATAAAATATAATTGACACTCTGAAAATTTGTATTGTATGTATTATTATATTCAAACATATTGTCACTATCATTCAAAGAATGACCTTGTATTTTAAAAAAAAAATACATTTAAACACCTTATTTCATTCCTATATATTTACAAAGAGTGTCCAAATAATATATATTGAATTAAATTTTAAACTTGAAAATAAAACCATTGAAATCTATTGGTTACTTTTTAGCATAATGACAAAAATAATTTTTGTAATAAATCCCAGTTATTTGTATGTCCATTATAATATTTAAATATTTTTAAATTTAAATAACTTTCATGTTTTGAAATGTCACTATAAGACTCATCAAAATTATGTTATATAGGCTTAATCAGTTTTATTTAAAAGAATATTATTATTAATATATTATTAGTTTTGTGGTATGCCTATAAAAAAAACTATCTTGATAGTATGATTTTTAATATTAAACTAGAGTTCGGATTTATGAACTTTTAACATACCAAAATATGATACTTATTTTCTGTTAAATAAATTGAAAATATACTTCATATTGATGGCTTTAAACAAAATGTAAGTATATTTTCAAAAAAATGAGTTAAGCATACTATACAAATACTGTATGTAATATAGTATATATTACAGATATCCAGAATGTAGTTTTATGTAATTGTACTAAACAAGAATATTGTTTAGTAATAACCTTTTAACCAATTATAAAATTAATTTAGTGCACTTGGTTTCTTGGTTAATGAAAATATTTCTTGGATTAAACATCTTTAAGATTTATAATATTGTTTTTTAGTTGAACTTGTGAGGAATGTATTGGTTTTACTATATGTGCTTTTTTTTATCTCTGTTAACAACTTTTCTAACAGAAAAGGTAAATAATTAAAAAAAGACAACAACCTTTTTTGGATATAGTTGGTGTATTGGGTGGGAACTGAGAAGGGTTATTTTTTGAGTTTATTTTATGATTAAACTCGGGGCAGAGTAACCCGAAGTGTTCAAAATTAAATTTTTTTTTTTTGTTAAAAACAAAAATTATTTGATAATGGCATCAAACTATGGTGCTGTATAGGCATTTTTAAATTCTAACCATGTATTTTTTTAGCATACGTTTATTTCCTGGGAAACCACCACCTCTTCAATAAGCCTCTTCATAAATGATTAAAAATATGTGCTCCATTATTACAATTGCTCAAATTCTCGGGGAAACTCCAATTTTTTATAGTACCAAAATTGTTCCACTGGTAGGTATTATTAATAGTATCCAACAATTGTTTTATCAATATATCAATAGGTCGTAGTTCAACAACTAAAATTATATTATTTTAAAATAAAATAATTACACTGGCAAAATTAGTATGTATTAATTTTATACAATATCACCTGAATTTGTTTGTTTTTTGGAAAATATGCTTGGACATTTGAACTGTTATTATGAAGATCAAAGTCTAATTTAAAACTTTCATTGGAAGCAGTTGAACTTTGTTTTTCTATTGTAAAATATATTTGTTGAATAATAAAACCATTATTTAGGTTTTACATTATATATTAATAATAATTACTAAGTGTTTTAATTTTTGTAGGGTCTTTCACAAATTTGTTTGACTGGTTTGGAAGTACCGAACTAAATTTATACAAATAACTTCCATCAACAAAGTCTTTTTGGCTTTTCATAACATCTTCTATGTATCCAGTATCCAAAAGTACTTGTCCAATTGCTATACCATGTATTCTAAAAAAATTTTGAAATAAGTCATTTTAAAATTTGGTTAAATCAAAATATCTTTCCACACTACTCTATTTTTAAAATATATATTAGCCTATTTCTATTATTAGCTATTTTAAAAAAAAATCATAATAGGTTTGTTAAATTGTAATAAATTTTAAGTAAAAATTAAGTTGTGATCACTCTTGTGGTTTTTGATTTCACAGAGTAAAAATGTATACCAGAGTTTTTTTTTTATGTATCCATAAATAAATTTTAGGGTTACATAATATAAATTATTCATTATTCTAAAGTCACAATTAAAAACTGTTTTAAATTTATTTTATTGATTAAATTAAATACATACATATCAATTAAAAATAAATATATAAATATATAATAGTATAATATATATAATATAAACATGGTATAAAATATCATTATAATTAAAATATTAATATTAAATCTAGTAAATTAATGAAAACCTAAAATAAAATGTTTGTAAAACTAATGAAGTAATAAGTAGATTTATCAAAATTGTCTACTAACTATTTACAGCAGTGGTTCCTAACCTCTTTTATTCTACGCTTTTTTTAAATTTAAAAAAAATAATAAAGTAAGTATTATTTTCCTTTGAGTGGATTTTATTCCAAAGAAAAAAAATACTGAAATATAGTCAAAACTTTAATTGTCTATTCTCTATAAAAACACTTCTGTGGATTAAGCTGTTTTGGTTCTATGCGCTTCAATTATAAATTGATATCTAGATTCTTAATCTATTCAATATAGTGTTTGATAATAGGGAACATAATAATCAGAGAAGTAAAATTATTACTTCTCTAATTTTATTATAAAATTATAATTGTATAGTAGCCATATGTACCTAGGTATTGCATAATAATCACTATCCATGATAATAAGGCTAACTGCTAATAATAGACAATTAATAATATAAATTAAATTTGCAATAAATAAACCAATGATCAGTGTTTTGTTATTTTTGATATGACCATATCGCCTGGCAATAATAATTTACTTATAAGTGTTCTTTTATGTTTAGAACAATTAACGAATTGCAAATTAATTATATTAATTAATAAATTATTAAGTATTTCCGTGTAGTAAATTGTATTTATTAACCAGGTACCTACCTATGTTTAAACTATTTGAATATAGGTATCTAAGTAATGTATTTAATAATTTAACAATTTCAACTAGGTATCTTTAGGTAGGTACCTATTTATGCCAACTTTTGAGTTCTAATATATCATTTCGGATAGGCAAATAAGTAAGTATAATAATAGTGTATAAGGTACCTAAGTATTTACAGTGGTGGCGAGTTGATTCGCTTTATAAACATTGTATGTAAATAACTATAGGTTGTGCTAGATTAAGTGCTTCGCGGATTTTAAGCAAATAAGTCAAACAGCCTAATTGGCCATAAAAATAAAAATAAAAAGCTGCCCTAAGATAATGCGGACGGGTGTAGCCACTGTTGTAGGTGGGAAGTTGGGTAGGTAGGTTAAGTTACACATAAATATTTAAATCCGACAGATATCGCTATTCTATTTATTGTAATTTTTAAACTAATTATTTATGTAGATTTTAAATGCCGAAACCACATATAAACCAGCTGTTGCGTGACGCGAGTGTTGGGTTGTTATTTTTCGTCTTCCTGTGAATATTAAAAGAAAATCGACTATAATATATTGTCAATATTGTTATTTTGAAATTTTTATTTACTTCACTACGGTTCTACGGAAGGTTATGATTTTAGTTGTCTACCCATATTTTCTTTGTCATAAATATATAAAATTCAGTGAACATGCTCAATGCTGGGAAATAACTGACCATACTATACAATCTTTAATTTGTATTCCATGTTACACTATATCTTATTTTTTAAATCCTTTTTATTCTAACAAAAATACTAAAAGAACTTTGTATATTTCTTTTAAACAATAAACTGTGCTAAAAATATCATTCAAATTGTATATAAGTAAGGCCCGTTTCACACGGACCACTACGTGTCGCCACAGAAAAGACGCAGTAGCACCACTGATAAAAACATATTATTTTTAATTAATGCTTTCACATGTTGTGTTGCCACTAACGCGTTTGTGTGGTTGGCCCTTGCTAAATATCGCGCCACATTAATTTCATACGGACTACGCCACAAATGACCACAACAAGTCTCTAGTAGTCCCCTGAAAGTTCGTGAAATAGAATATTCTCGAAAAAAAAATATTATAGTTAAATTGCAATATTTCTAGAACATTCCTCACAGCATAAAAATGATGGCTGAAGGCATGTACTAAATATTCTATACTTGTAGGTATTTCATAATTTAAATCTGAACAAAATAAAAATGACCAACAGACAATGCATGTGTGTTTAAAAAATTGTTAATAAAATGTGTATAGTTGCTTATTATAAGTATCGTGTAAAGGGGACTGTGGGAGTATTGCCTCTATGGGTCTATGATGTGTCTATAATTTTAGCACCCTGCAAAGTTGGTGGTGTAGTATGCTAGTCACTACTAAACACCGTAGAGTCGCCCCGTGTGACATCGGCAATCACTAGTCGCTAGTCGCTACTACGATAGATGAACTTTTTGCGACCGATATTATTTAATACCCGCTACTCGCTACACCATACTATCCCGTGCGTGAAAATTTGGTCGCGGCGACTTGATGTGGCGAACAATCGGAACTATAGATGTCGAGGCGAATAAAATCGCTTCGTGTGACAGGGCCTTTACAGTTACATACTATACTTTTTGAAAATCATTATAATTTTCAGTAATTTAAATACTGTGACAATTATATTAGGTCTAATTATTATATTAGTTGTATTGTTTGTGAAATAGATAAACTTTTAACCAGTGACCGTTCATATTAATATATTTTATTAATACTATATTTAACTAATTTGTCCGTTTCATTTCCGGAATTCTGAAATATTTTAGATGAAATATACAAGAAAAAAAGATTTCAAATTCTGCCGTTTATTTGTTGTCATTTCAATTTTTTGTAGTACCGGATTTCGTCTGTTAAAATTTTTCCTGACTGCTGTTTCATGTGACGCCATTCTAGATAATGTTATTATAATATAATCGGGTCTAGGACAATATCGGTCTCCACGAAAAAACACTGTATGCTGATATTCGGCATCTGTAAAATTATGGATGGGGGTCCATAATTTTTCATTCGGATATTTGTTCTCAGCAGATTTTTTTTCATCAATTTTATATTGATTGTAACTAGTTTTAAAACCCTTGCAAAGTTACGCTCAAAACGGATGTACAGTGAAAACTGTTTGACATCTCAGTATACTGCAGTTGAAATGAATTAACAGAAAGTTAAAATTGAGTTGAACAGGTTAAATTCATTAAATAATCGGTCAGACTTTGGTCAACAAAAAATAATTAATATTTATTAAGGAAATATTTCATAACATTTATAATATTTAAATTTTGAATGACCCATAGATACATAGTGTGTTTAAATTGGATATATCTTATCGTATTTGAAAATATGATACCTATCAAAAGTTCCAATGGAAATTAATAAAATATAAAATTGATTTACCAATAATAGGAATAATGACGAAGGAATGACCTGGTAAATTATTATCTCATAATGCGTTAGCGATAGCGTTTAATGATAAGGATTGTACTACACTTCAGTAAACAAAAGTCGTGATGATGGTAGGTACTTGTTTTATGTATGAAATTCTAAAAAGTAATTAAATATTTTTGATTTACGTTTTACGTCTAGACCATTGATTTTTTTTAAATAAATAACCCGTTGGTTGTAACATTTTGAAGAGAAATTGACCGTATATGTATAATGGCATCGTCTAGTTCATCATCTCCGTTGGAAGATTTGGAAACTCAGTTGGAAATGTTTGTGGAAAATGTGAGGCAAATACGTATTATCGTGGCCGATTTTCAACCTCAGGGACAGACGGTTTTAAATCAAAAAATGTAATTGTGACTTACTTTATTTTTACTTATTTTGTAATGTTTTGATGATTATTATTGTTCCAATGTTGTAATTTTCAATGTTTATTATGATCTACAGACAAAATGCTGTAACTGGATTACAAGAAATCAACAAATTGAAATCTAATGTTCAAGATATACATGTGCCTTTGGAAGTATTTGAGTAAGTATATTATCTATACCAATTAATTTAATTATTAGCAAACCCGAAATTCATGTTTTGAGTAAGAATTCAAATAGTAGATAATTATGTTTTGAGATCTTGGACAATAGTATAAAATAAGCATATGCATTATACGTAGGTACGAGTCCTTGGTCAAAATGTCTCTAAATAATTACATTTTAATTAAAACTGTAACCTAAAACTTAAATAACTTAAATCAATTAAGTATTAGAAATATCTAAAAAATGATTAAGATTCATATTGCTCAATTAAAAATATACTAAAAAAAAAACATCAATTAAAGTAGATCTTTTGATAGAGATGCTTGAATTTTGATCAGTAGTGATAGCAGCTGTTATAAGAGCATTTTCTATCAAATTTATTGTGAATTATTCAGTAGTGTATGGTAAATCACCATGAAAGGTTATAGCATTGAACAACGTAAATGCAAATTATATAATTTTATTATCAAAATCAATGAGAGAAACCAAATTTTGAATTTCGCAAAAAAAAAAAACTTCTAGCGACAAGGACCATTTTTATATGAATAGAGAATATGTTAACAAAGAAATTATTCTGATTTGGGACTTAACCAATCTACATGAGATATATCAGCACATTTGAGGACGTGGTTATCTCACGTGGTGGCAATATGAATTTGCCACTTAGATTGTGCGATTTTACATCTTTAAACTTCTTCCTTTAGTTATCTTAAATCCAGAAGGTCTATGTAAATAAACCACAAACAACAAATGCTTTTACAGTCAATAAAATTAATGCTACCTTAAATAAATAAAGCCTGATTTATGCGAGAAAGTCATTGAAAAATCAGACTACTTAAATAAGTGTCACTAAGCAAAACCACAATAAACATTTGAACAATATTATATTTCATACATAATTGTTATAAAATATTCTTTCAAATAATAAAAAGAAAATTGAGTGGATACCTCTTACATAACATTTAAAAATTGAGTATCTTTATTGAAACACCATTTACTAATATATTAATATTAGAGTTAAGCATTTTTTTAGAAGATATTTTGAATAGAGATTTTTTGTAAAAGATATTTTGACTAGCCACCATAAATACTAAGGTAGTTATTATTGTAATTCATCATTATTTAATTCAAGTACATATATGTATTTATATGTATTATTTACTTGTGTAATTATTACAATTTTTTTCAGCCATTCATTTTTACATGAGTAATTAAACAGTTTTTCTGCCTTTTATCCAATGCCAAATCATTTCCTTAAATAACATATAATATGCAATATAAAAATAATAGGTTTAATTATGATATTGAAGTAAATTGTTAAAGTATTTTTAATAAAAGTTAAGTTAAAATGAATGAAGAAGTATCAGTCCAGATTATAGGTCACAATATTTCATAGTTATTACTATATTATGATATCAAATATTTATAATTTGTGATTATTTTCTAGGTACATTGATAGAGGTCGTAATCCTCAGCTTTATACTAAAGACTGCATAGAGAAAGCTTTGCATAAAAATGAACAGGTTAAAGGAAAAATAGATGCATTTAAAAAATTCAAAGCAAATGTACTCACTGACTTAGGACAGACATTTCCTAATGAACTTAACAAATATCGTGCATTGCGTAGCAATTGTTATGGGACTAATAATGTTGTGCCGCCACCACCACCACCTATGAATATTTTATCATCAGGTACTCCACTGAGTGGATCAAATAATTCACAACAAAGTCAATTGGTTGGATCTTGTTTATCAGTACAACAAATAAATAATGCTTCTACCGTAGTATCAGGTGTCTCTTCTTGTTTAAGCAATTCTCAACAGCAACCAAATGCAACAAATATATCATTATTAGGTTGTGATGGTGTTTCTACTGTGTCTGCTGGAAATAATAGTAACAATATAGGAGGACCTACAGGTATCCAGTAGCTATTTTTTTTTTTCATTATTTTATAAGATGGGTTATAATAATTATAACTATCGTAACACATTATAAGAATTATAGGCATTCACACAATAATATAGTAACTGCAATTTACTTAGATGCAAATTTTAAGTATATTTTTTTTTTAAGTATTAATAGATATAAGACATTTTTATTATAGTTAAAATAGTTATTTTTTCACCTATTTATTGATTAAATTAGTGTAATTATATTATAATATTCTTTGATAGAATATAAAAAAATAACCAAAATAATGGTTGGTTTTATCAAATTTTATATTTATAATAGACATATTTTATCTATAGTTTTATGTTAATTTTTTATATGAAAATAATGAAAAATAGTTTAAATCACTACTTACATTTAATTTATTCAAAAAGCAATAATTGTTGATAACTTGATTAAGACTATGGAGAATTAATTTCTTTTAAATGTGAACAAATATATTTTTTTACATTATTCAATTAATAGTTATTAGAATTATGTCTAGAATTAAGCTGTGGTAAAATGCAGTCTGTAATAGAAAGATATTAATCTGAAATAACTTTTATAGTGTTAAATATTTTTAAGTTTTTTTTTTCTAGTGATAATTTCAAGAATTATTATTATTTTATACAGTGTATTCCACAAAGATATACCCAGAGATAATAAGGATAATAAACAGAGATAATCAAATTCTGTTTTTTTTTTTGTCTATTTATTACTCACAAAGATAAATATTATAAATATTTATATTACATTTTATAGAGTTTATTCCTTTGAAAATGTTGACCATCAACTTTCTATTTTCATTAAATTCGTGATTTTTAATAACTTTTTAAAGTTAGAAAAAAAAGTGTACAGTGAGTAATATATATATTAAAAAAAAAAAACAATTTGATTATCTTTTTATAGCAGGATAGGGAGATATTGCAATAAGAAGGACATTCTGTATATATATATATTTTTTTTTAACTAAAATTAAAAATTATTTTACAAAATCACACAGTCATTTTATTAATATATTTCTAACAATTTTGGTGGTATAAATATTTATTAATACTGATTGATAAATGAATCATTAATTGTCCACAACTTTTAAAAGTATATGATAATTAAAAATTAAAAATTGTTTACATTGCTAATGCTAAATAATCTATACATATAAAATCCAAATACCACTGACTGACTGATCGCTGTATCTCAAAAACCACTCAATGTATGGACTTGAAATTTGGAATAGAGGTTCTTCTCATATTATCACCGTACAATAAGAAAGGATTTTCAAAAATGTTGCGTTTTAGTGGAGTAATTAACGATTATAATTATTCACTGCCAATGCATATTGTGCGGCACAGCGGCCCGCGGGTTTCCAGCTACCTGCAACCTATCCTTTTTGTTCGTAATCGTCGTCCTGTAGATAAGAATAATGATTCCGAGAATAAAATTGTTCCGAGAAGTTGATCGATAAAAATAATCTCATGCATCGCGTACACCAATACTCCTATTTTATTATAATGAATGATAAAACGCACACCGATAACATAAACCAATACACATACAAATTCTATTTATAGAATTAATTTGGATATTAGGTTATTATGTATATTATCGATAATTATGAATTTAAGGTAAATGGTAATACATGGTGTTATCTAATTTGTCACGAATTTGTTTCCGGGCAACGCTGGGTAATTCAGCTAGTATGTTTATATAATTTGTTCATGAAAGATAATTTTATTTATAATAAACTTTAAAAACTTTACAATTCATCATTAGTAAATATGTATTATACCAATATTTTGTTTCAAAATATATTTATAAAATAACTTGAAATTTGTAAAACAATTTTTATTTTTAGTTTAAAAAAAATTATTTAAAATAACATCATAGGTCTAGAAATTATCATGAGTAAAAACAAAAACATTTTAAACAGTACAAAAGTTATTTCAGGTGTTAGATCTTTATGTTACACTGGGTATATCAGGGATATGCCAAAAATTAAATATATACTCTATTCAGAATAAGTTCAGTCTCTGGGATGGCATTGCCAGTACTCTGCAAAACTCGGTTCTTATTCCAAATAGAGTATAGTTACTATTTTTATAAATGAGACCATTGATATTCATGACTTTTATTTACATATTATTATGTATTCACAATAATCATATTATCTACACATATATATTTATGAAAAATAACTACTTTAAAAAAAAAATGAATCTGTCTATAAAAATGTACTAAATTAAGGAATCATATGCATAGGTATGTTATAGGTATTATAATAAATAATAATAATATAATTATAATTATAAATAGGTTTAGACACAATAATTTGTTTATATTTAATATAGATAGGTTTTAGTTTTAATCAAATTTACTTTTTTAAAACATTTGTATTGCTTATCTATATACAATTTTTATTAGTAAAATTAACTATTTTAGTTTTTAGAAATAATAAAAATATATGGCTCTTGCCTAATGAAAATTTCTGAGAACATGTTTTATTATTGAGTTGTATTAGTATAAAATAAATATTAGAAAAACCAAATAAAATTCACTTGTAAATTGGAGCAAAATTTCTGGTAGAAAACTTAATTGAAAGTAATAAAACCTTCAATAAATAAAGGTACCCATTTTTCCAAATTATTTAGAAAACTCCCTATTGCACCAAATGGATTAAATTATAATTAAGAAAAGATGCTACACATAAAAATCGAAGAAAGATTACTGTTAGAAAAATTATTATTCAAAAGCATATAAATAAAAATTGTCAAGTCTGTTGTTGGAAACTCTGTAAAAATACCAAAAGTATCATCTTTTACAATGATTTATTACCCACCTAATCAAATATTTTCTGACATTTGGTGAACAATAAAACTTTATGTCTTAATATCTATAGCTAAATACCTATAATATTTTGTATAATTATTAGTCTAATAATATGTCATTAAATTTATTTATTATGTACAAAACATTTAATAAATATACAAATTTGTATATATATCTGTAGCTTGGTGCAAGATATAACAATGTCAAAAAAATAATGCAAATTGAAATGGAGTTAAATAAGTTGTATAGTTATTGAAATTTGAACAGTAGGTATATATCTTTTAAGTAAAATGTCTTAATTATTATAGTTTACACAGATTTATTATCATTATTATTATTTTAAGAAAATTAAAATTTGTATATTTTTGCAAGAACTTTTTGGGGGACTAAGCCACCCCTTGATTTCGGTCAATCCTTTTGCTATAAAGTATAAAGATAAACTGGGCTTCGATGATTTTTTTTTTAATTTTGTTGTCAGACCAACATTACCTAGAACATAAACATAAATCACAAAATTGTTCCAGATAATTTTATTTGTTCATCAGGTTGATTCTTTGAAATTACAACCACTATATATCCGTAGATACCAATTGTATATTTTAAAATCTTTTATGTTTCTAACATCTTGTTACATCATATTATAATAAATATTGAATATTATTATAGAGTTTGCAAATTTTATTTTGAAATAGCTCAATTTTCTATTATCTTTCCAATATTAACGTTCATTGTAATTGTTCAATCTAAGCAAAGTCTCAACACGTTCATTTTATACTAAACATCTAATTCTATATATAATTTATCACAGTACACAAATAATAATATTTCACTATTCTCTCTCTCTTGGTTACAATCTTTAGATCAGTTTTCAGTTAATTTCTATTCTTCTATCCTATCCGCTTTCCTTTTCATTTGCACATATGAATCACATCCTTGGTCTCTTATTAATTGTTGAATATATTCTAATCTTGACCTTCCTCTATGATTTTTTCCTTCAACACTTCCTTCTATAATTAATTTTAATATTCTTTCATGCTGAATTGTATGTCTATTAATTTCGTCTTTTGACTATACTTTTCCATAGTAGCTTTCCTAACGACATTTTTTTCAAAAACCTTATTAGTTATTTTGTCCATCCAGCTTATTTTGAATATCTTCCTATAGCCCCTCATTTCAAACGTTTCCAGTCTCCATTGTTCTTCTACTGATTTTGTTGGCATATTGGGCTTTACTTCGTGCATACGTCTTCAATAGGTTTTTTATAATTTCTAGGCTAATGTTCTTTGAAGTGAGTAGGGGTTTTTTTACTGTGAAAAACTATTTTGGCTTTGCAAACACGCAAATAGTTTATACCTTATTGCCATCTATAAAAATACATCCATTTTAATTAAGTAGATAATATTAATTTGTTTATTTTAATTAGGTATACTAATAAAAACAAAAGTGATCAAAATATTTCACACATAAATGTGTAATATTTTCATTAACTCAATGCTTATAATGAATGTTTGTAATACTTGTATATTATGGACTTTATACTTGTCTTTGAGGTACTATGATAAAATGGAGAAAAATGTATAACAAAACTGTTTTTCTTAGTATAAACATCTAAAATAATTGTGTTAATATTTAACTTTTTTGGGGATAAACGTTTGAAATTCCATAATTAGATGAAATATTAGTTAAAATAAATGTTTATGTTGAAATTTTCTATTTACGTCAATCCGTTCATGATATTGAATCAACCCTTTAATCTTTAATCTATTTTGTGATTGAATTATCACATTATAATTTGATTTAGATAAAATATATAGACTGATAACCACTGATAACTAATTGAGCAAGTGGATATAACCATAGATGGCAAATACAAATCTTATTATGTTCACCCATCTAAATTATTTATTATTTATGTTCACCACGTGTGTGATAAAACAGTAACTGCTTTATCATAAATGTTTTCCGTTTGAAACGCCGCTCGCAAAATTGAATAGACTGAACTGATAAATAACCAAAGTTAGTACCTAGTAAGGTACTTAAAAGTTAAAACTTTTAGACGTATAGTGCTTATTGTATAGTATGATTCAACAACAGCGTTAAGCGGTCGTTTAATACGGTGAAATGGACCAGTACGTGAAACATATGAAGAGAAAACCGGACGTTTTGCCAACCAAAAATGAGAACGACGCCGGTAAACTACGCGTAGTAACCGACGTTGGACAGGCGGACGTGACAGAAACAAAACAAGTGTTGGTCGGTGGACAATGTTCACCCGCAACTCCACAAAAGACGTGCCTGCCTCCACTCGAGTCGACTACATTGACACCGATTGTTCATCAAACGAGTAATTTTTATTTTTGTTTAAAAGAAAATTCTACGAATCATTTATTGTCGAGTTTATCCTTTAAGGATTAGCCTGTGCAATTCGTTTGTACACATGTAAAATGTTTTACCGTCCTGCAACTTGATGACTCGTATACGCACATTAAAAATTAAAATTTATTTTGTATTCTACGTGAATATACACAGTAAACAAAGTGCAACAAAAACCGCCCATCTCTCACTAATATTATATAAGTAACAGTCTTACAATACTCATTCACACATTCATCACCAAGTATTCAACATAATTATTGTAATTCAAAGTGAAACTGATTTACAAATTACTTTGGTAAACAGTAAAAATTATCAATAAGGAGATACAATTGGAAAATGTTTAGAAAGAATATAAAAATACAATATTTTGATTTATTTACTTAAATATTTTATTAGGTCTGCCCTGACCCAAATCATTTACTAATATGGTTCAGCTCGATCCTCTAACTTAAATATATTGGATTAGGCCCAGCTTGATTCATTTAGTGACTAGGCCCAATTATATGGTTTGGCTCATTTAATTAGGCATTTGAACTTAGAAAAAATATTTTAAATTTAAATTTGAGTACTTATGTGTACAGTATAAAATCTACAAATATGACACACTACAATTTAATAGACTGGTTGTCTTTATAACCACTATAATTTTTTTCAAGGGTCGCTATACAACAGTTGAAAATAATAGTTTTAGTTATATTTAATTTTTTTCTAACTTAAAATAATATAGCATTTAGAGTTCTTATTGATGATGTGTACCTATATGCTAATCTAATTTCTGTGTTTATTTCAGACTTTATATGCTGTGGAAGAGGAGTTATTTTAAATTTTGTAAAATGCTTTTTTTTCAATTTGCGTTTTTTGTTATTATTTCTTTTTGTGGCTGTTAACAATTTTTTAAAAAAATATTTACCAATCAAAAAATGATAACAGACCTTTCTTGTTGAATATTGGATTTAGTTGGTGAATCGAGTTGATCATTGTTTGATTTTACAAAATGTTTCATAATAAATAATAAAATAATTAAGTAAAAACAAAATTATTAAAATGGTTTGTACTTGTAAATAAATAATATGGTAAATAGGTATATAAATAAAAAATATATACATACAAATAAATAAATGAATAAATAGTATTATGATAAGTGTTTCAAATTAAAAATTCATTATCAGATATCACAGTCAAAATGTAATATGCGATTTTGTGACATTTTTATTTTCAATGTAAATTATTTATTTATATATTTATTTATTATATTTCATAATAATTGGGAAAACAGACAAATGTACAGTAATAAAAGTTTTATTACTTTCAATTATAATTTGCTCTAAATTTCAAAACTAGCATTTTTGTGAAATTTGTTTTATATGGTTGGTGTGTAAGAAAGTAATTTTTTTATTTTTTGTTTAGTTTTATTAATAAATTAGGAAAATGAGAAAGTTACCACCATTAACTGTGTCATTATTTTGCTAGAGGTGGAGGAAGGATACCTATCTACCTATGTATTTTATTATTTTTGTCTATAATCTCAGATTCTTGTGTACCACCTACCTATTATATATCTACTTGTATTATATTACAGGTATTATTCATGTATATATATTTTCATTTATTTTATGCATTTGTATACTAAATCAAAGTTTATTAGAATACGGGCACCTTCATAAAGTTGTGCAAATGCGAGACTTTGAATTCTTGTTGTACTTAAAAATACTGCTAGTTTCATCATCTTGATATTGACCTATATTTTATATTTTTTTTTGTTACAGTCCAACAAAACCGTATTACCGTTAATAGACGTTTACAATTTGATGATGAAATTATTGTGACACCGGTAAAAAAACGACATATTGTAGATAATAATAGTAGACCAAAGGAAATAATACTGCCCAATCATGCAGACTCACTGTTCTTTGATGACGAAATGCAGCAAAAAGGGATTTTGAATAAAACGCCTAATTTACATATTTCAACTTCAATAGAAAAAGATATTATTTTGTTGAAAGAGAAGAAACGTGTCCAGGCTATTGTCGAATCTCTTTTAGTTCGTGGTTTTTCAGTACAAAAACTACCAAAGGAATTAGTGAACAGCTACAAGGTAACTAGCATAAGCATTTTTGAAAACCAAACATAATTTTATTCATAGAAAACCAAATAAAAACTTTAAAAAATTGAATATTTCAAATAGTTATAAATAACTAGAAAAATCCTAAAAGGTTTGAAAATTGTACCATATCTTATGTATCATATCAAATTGAAAAAGTTTATAAGAGATTTAAATTAAGAGTTTCTCTAAGATGTACTTATTACATTACTAATGTAATATGTATTTAGGGTGTCTAAAAAAAAAAAACTTAAATAATAAATAGAATCATGGATTTAAATAAAATATCCTTATCATACTCAAATAATATTTTAATATAATCAGTACTCTATTTATCCAAGGATATTTTGGGTATTTTTCTGAGGCTCTACATGAGCACAAAGTCTTCCTATTCTATACAAATATTATTTTGAATAAACAATTATCACAACTGTGTTAAATTATTAAATACTGATTACCATCAGTATTTCATGCAGTACACAGAGCCTCTATTTCTAATTAGGCTCTGAATATAAGGTTGGGTTATATAATGGTATTTTAAAATTATTTTAGAATTTAAGTAATTTATAAATAGATGCATTATTTAATTTATCTAGTAATATTTTTGTTTATCAAATTTTATAATAATATATAATATATCATATATGTATAACATGGCAAATTAAAATTAATTTGAATGTACATGACACATTTGTATCTATTAATAGAATGTTTAATTATCTTAAGTATAAGCAAGTCTAGATGTTAGAAGTCCAGGAAGTTGTAAATGTAGGTTTGTAAATTTCATCTTTTAACATATCTAGTATATTTATTATTCATAATATCCAATTATTATTATACATATAGTTATATACAAATTGTTTATCTATTATTAAATTATAATATTAAGTCGTCATTTTAAATTTTTTATTTAATTATTCCATAAAACTAGTAAACAGTTTATCAGGAACCGCTCATTATTTCAATAACAATTAAACTAAATTTTGTAAATTATGGAACAAATGCTTTAAAACCCTAAAAATTCTTAATAATGTACTAAATATGTGTTAATTTTTAATAATTTTGGTATAAATTAACTTTATGACAACAAAAGCCATACTTAATGATATAGTCAATTTTACAAAATATTGCTTTAGCAAATAATTATCAAAGAGGAAAATTAAAAATTTTTAATACTTTGTTAGTTTTGCCTTAAAAGTTATCTGTTTACTCTTGGTATTTATGTTTTGACATTATAATTACTTCATAATATAAATTTTATAATTTAACAACAGTACCTACTCAATAATTGGTTAAGTATATTTATATAAAAATCATGTTAGCCTGTGAAAATATTAAAATAGAATTTCAAATTAAAATTTGGTAAACAGAAAACAAAAATACTTTAAAAATTTAAAAAATTACTAAAGCACCAACATTTGTCAAAAAATTAAAAAAAGCAAAATTATTTTTCTCAAAAGTACGTGTAACAAATTTGTGATAATAAAGCATCCCACAGTAAGCTGTAGAAAAAAAAATGCAAAGTGCATTAAAAAGAGCTCTAGTTATTATCTTTTTTTTTTTTGTTTAATCAAACTCATTTATATTTATTTTTGCAACACAAACAATATATATAATTATATTATATTGTTTAGCATTGTTTATTTAACTTCAGTGAGAATAGATTTGTATGTTGTATTCATTTAATGAATGAACATAATATTTATGATTTAAAAATAATAAATAAAAATAAATTTTCCAGTTTCCTAGGATTTTTCAATTTATTTTGAAATCTGGTAAAATCAAAGCCTCTTTAAAGTACCACCCCAGTCTAATTTCCTTTCTGAAAACGTGATACACTTGAAAATTGGAGCAAAATTTCTGGTAGCTCCATTTAGAATCTAAAAATATTTTTCTGAAATAAAATTAAAATATCTTTTATTTGTAATTTTGCAAGATGTGTTTTAAAAACAAACAATATTGTGGACAATGATGTAAATAATAATTTAGGGATATAAAGATAATAATATGTAAACTCATTTTGCGTTAAAAAAATTCCTTATTTATACTTAAGTTAAAACATCTTGAATGAAATATGTATTAGTTTTATAAATAATGCTATACTAATTTTGTTTAGGTCAAATAAAACTTAAATCTATATTATTTCATCATATACAATCTTATTAAAAAAATTGGTTTCCCCCATGTATTGCTCATTTTGATTTTATATTCAGTATTATTTTGCCTCTGTTTTTCTTTAACCTTATAATGATTATATAAATCATAAAAGTTTATATACAACCTTCATAATAATCCAGGTTTTGTTTTAAAAAAATTACACTTCAGGCCTATAGTTTTAGAAGAATTTTTTTTTTTAAATTCCTCATCACTAATATTAATTTCATAAAGCAATACATGTATAAATATTTTAATTTAACCCTTTAAGTTGTGTACTCTGATAACTGCTAATAACACAGTAATGGTGGAACTTTAACATAATAGTGATGGTCCACTAGTGATGGAGTCACACTAGAACGTGTGATCACTAGAGAAAACCAGTTTATTTTCTCTTCTTTCTTTTTATAATACAATTTGTTTACATCTTACAGTCCACTTAAATTACTAGCTTAGCTAACACATTGTTTTCTAATTATTGTTTGTTCATTGTGACATAAATTTTGTTTAAACATATAATGAAATAATTATTAATATTTATTAAAATATTTCTATTGTCTAATACTATTGTAATAAGTATTGAAGTCACACAATAATGTATAATTAACTTTATTACTGAATAAATATTACAGTTTAGTAGAGGAGTTTAAAATTACAAAATAAAATCTAATTTCTTGACATTCTTGTCAGATCTTTGATACCTTCAAACTTATTGATCAATATTATGTACAGACAACATAACAAGTACATATTTTAATCATTAATTTTATCAATTAAAAATATTAATCCATGTAATATAATGATATAATTAAAGAGTAACCTATATTTGCTATAGTATTCTGCAGGTATGTTTTTATTATTTTAAGAATAGAAAACATATGTTCATGAGTTGTGTTAGATACAGGTATCTATACGGGTACAATATATTTAATAATAAATTAATGCTTGGATACATTTCTGAGTTGCATTATGAAAGAACATTAATCCTAGTTTAAACATCAATAGTGCAGAATAAATGCTTATAAATGAAAAATATAATTTGGAGAGTATATATCCCCTTTATTCTCCTTTTCTCCCTTAATTATGTCCTTGTTGTTGTTTATTAATAACAGATACTTTGAGATATTTTTCATTTTTGAATACTGAATACTGATGAAAGTCTTGGTGATTCTACAAATGAAGTGACTAACTCAATTAAATCGCATATTAAATTTTTACCAAGCCTATATTTTAGTTTTTGTTAGTAAATTCTTCCTCAGTACCAAATAGGGTTCACTTTTTGTTGTATTGTTCATTATTTTCTAATAAAATTATTTCCAACATTTTGTTTATTGTAGCTTTTTATTTTCTGTTTAGCCAGTCAATGAAACCAATGACGAAGGATCATTAGTGTTCGAGTGTATGTCGTTGATTGAAGGCTTCGTTTACAGTGTGCATGTGATAGACACTGCTCTGCAAGATAAAGTGGATGCTGTCAGGGTGGCGGCCAGAACATTAGCAACAGTTGGGCCTCACCCACATATCATTTCATATTTCTCTAACTGGACTGATGGCCGTTTCCATTACGTGCAGATGGAACTGTATCATGACCACTTGTTGTTGCCGAATAGTGAACAGCGGTTTGATTGCCATACAATATTAGAACATGTATCTTGTGCACTACATTATTTACATGACTATAAAAATTATGCTCATAACCTGGTGAACCGCTGGAACATTTACCGGATCACAGACAGTGGCAGTGATAGTGTGGTGTACAAACTTGCCGGATTCCACAGGGCCACCAAGTTGACCACAGTGGACAATGATAAATCAGTGGTGAACACTGATGTCAAATCATTGTGTTCGACAGTATTGGAGTTATTGGAGGAGCAGCGGGGTGATGGTTATTCTGTTGCAGATGATAATGTAGAACAAGAACTTTGGTCATATCTTTTGTCTATTATGGATAGAATCGATTTGGTTGTTGGAGTCATTGATGGAGGATTATCATCATCATCACAGATGGATGTGAATGCTTTAAATGTTTGGCGGTGGTGTTATAACTTTCGGCGTCAACATATACAGCGACCATGTCCAACTGGTCTGATGACAGGTATAGTGTACAGAGACAGCCACCAGTGACTACTTATTATGGGGTCAGGAATACTAAAATTAGGTTTTGTTTTTTATATATTTTTTAAAAAAGGTTAATATTTTTCTGTTTTTAATTTATTTGTTATCTTAAATAATATTTTATTTATGTTAGTACAAAAAAATGTACACATTTGTTTATTATCATGAACAGTATAAGTGAGTTCTAGTGTTCATGATAAATATATTGTACAATGAATTCCTAGGTTGGAAAGAAAGATTAATGATTATCCAAGAATAGGGCCTATCAATTAATTACAAGTGATACAATTTTTTTTTTTGTTATTATTTAATTTTTAAGAAGCTGACCATTAATAATAATTATTAGTTCCTGTTTTTCTATTGAGAATTTTTTTTACATTGTTGAATATTCTCACCGATAGATTTTTAATAAGTAAGTTATTATATATTTATTTTTTTTTTATACTGTTTTATATTATTTTGTTGAGATGATTAATATTTTAATCTTTAGTCTTTTAAATTTTCATGAATTGTTCACTAAAAGAAAGTTAACCAATGAAATATATCTGTGTTACCTATATTATACTTGTTAATAATACACCTTAATTTTTTTAAACTAATTAATAATATGTTACTAATAATAATGTTATTGTTTGAATAAATATACACAAAGTGTCTTAAATCTTTTCTTTTGCAATGCTTATTGACCACTTGACTTTTGTATAATTTTATGACAAAGCCTTATTATGAACCTTATTTGCAAATATTTGTGTCTGAAAATTAAACAAATACAAATTAATTTCAGTCAATACTTACCTAATTATGTTGTATTAGCTGCATATATATTACAATGATCAGAAATTATATTTTTTAAGGAATGAGGGTGATAAGCAGTGATATCAAAATTATAAAGTAAAAGTACAGAACTTTTATCCTACACCTAGTTTGGGTAATAAGGAAAAAATATTTTACTTTATATCAAGTAAATAAATATATAAACAAAAAAATGTATGTATAAAAATAAAATAAATAAATGAATCAATGCATCACCTGGAGTATTATGATAAGTGTATTATATGACCAGTTTCAAATTAAAAATTCATCATCAGGTACATCACAGTCAAAATTCAAAAATGTAACTTTTTTAATATATTTATTTAGGAGTATTGACCATTTTAATAATTTTGTTTTTTCTTTATTATTTTATTATAAAACAAGTATATTTGATTTGGATACATGTCATACTGTCCCAAGTAATTTTCTGGAGTACATTTTTATGTAATCCATGTAAATAATTTTAAATTATGTAATAATAGTGCTTTATGGTTTTTATGATGAACTTGTTACTTCATTTTATTGTAAATAGTGGTATGATGATAACAATCAATTAAGTAGGTACCTATGTTCCATATTTTTACGATGTTTCAAATTAGTTACTTACTAATTAATTATTTAATAGTTTAAATATAAAGGTGATCTGAGTTTTATAAACTTAATTTTTTTTTTTTTTTGTGAGTGCCTCACAGTCAAGACACAGTCATAGGTATTTATGATTGTATATCTGTGAGCAATGATAAATCATTGCTAACGAAAAATGATTCTGAGCGGAGTTCAGTTGATAGTGATGCTCTGTCAATAATATATAAATCATATTATGGTAAAATAGGTAATGAAATACGTATTATTATGCGTTTCCTTTAATAATATTTGTTTAATATTGACCGATTTTCCCGTTTTTCATATTTGTTGAGAAAATTTCTGGAAAAATCGAAAAATAACCTCTCTAAAGTACCTTCCCAGTCAGATTTTCAGAAGTTTGGGTTGGAGGAGAGTGGTATTGTATTATTAACAGCTACGCGCCATAAGTACCTACCATGGTAAGTACAAATGATACTCCACTATTCTCCTCCATACCAAAGTTAAAAATGGAATATATCGTTAACGGATTGACGAAAATCAAAAACTTAAACACCAAAATTTATTTATGTAACTTTTAATATAGGTTGCAATTTGAAAATCAAAAGTAGATAGTGATTTTACTCCCAAAAATAACAAATAACAAACAGGCGCAACTAGAGTTTTATTCTTAGGTGGGCTAAATTTTAATGATATCAGTGACCTATGGGTGCTTCAGCTCTACACCACCAATATTAACTATCACTAACATTTATATTGATATTGCTTAGAAAACCTTACCTAGAGTCGTTAAAAATTACTTTCGAAGTAAAATTTTGTCACTTACTACTTACAGACTAGCTACCTGAATAAATGTGCATAAGGATATAAATATATAATCAATAAAGTATTTATTTAATAGCTAATAAATGTTTATTACAAAGCCTACTTAATTTAACATTATTTTACTGTCCTTTTCTGCAAATTTATGTACAATATTATTTACATTAAATTTGTTGATTATATCTCTTTCTATATTTAAAACAGATACAAATGTAAACCGATCTCACCGATAATTTACTTATTAGCTAATCTGATCTATAATATTCACTTATACTTAATACTAAAGAACATTTTGTATGAATAAAATGTCCAACAGTTTTAAAAACTTCTTTTAGTTCTTTGAGAACACAGTTGATGAAGTTTGGTTTTGATTTTCTTTTTGATAATAATGCATCATTATTTCATCAAGCTATTTTAAAGATTGAAGGTATTAAAATATAAACCACTGAAACTCCATTAGAATATTTTAAACTATTCAACACTTTCGATTACGATTTTCTTTTTCTGTTTACAATTTTTCTACCAGCAATTTTTCTAATAGGAAATCCGAATGAGGAGGTACTTTAGAGAAGTTATTTTTCGAGTTTTTCATCAATTTTGAAAAACCCAGAAAATATAAGAAACGTAGGTATTAGTTAAAATATATTACGGACTTCTTTTTTTCTGTGAACAACTTTTTTACATGACGCTCCAATTTATAATAGTAGTTTTTTTGAAATTAAATTTTACTGGAAAGGTACTTTAAGAGGTAATTTTTCGGTTTTCCTAAGAGTGTTTACAACAAACCGGGAAAATCAGTACATTAAACAAATATTATTAAAACAAATATTTAAAGCCTATTTAATTATTTTACTATAAAATAACATATATATTATTGACAAAGCATCACTATCAACTGAACACCCCCGAACTTTTATTTATCTCTTTTCTATTAGAATAGACTAGTTTTATTCATTTTACAAAAATGTCGACTGTCCTTATCACTAATTCTGAAAAACATCACATGCATACAATATAGGTAATTTATAGCCTTATAGGTAACAAAAGCAGATTTACACATAAATTACACAAATAATTTAAAATATTTAAAACACTTTTTTTTCCGTGTTATAATTATTGGGAAGACACCGTCTCAAAGATTCCCTTAACTCCCCCTAGTTACTTATTAACTTTCATAACTGATTGTGAGTTAAATTTTTAATTAATTAATATGTATTTAGTTATTAATTTGTTTTGTTTGATTATTTTATTATTAATTTATGATGTTTCAATTTTGTTAAGTTTATTATCATTATTTAAAACAATGAAAATTATTCTTACATTTACTTTAAGACTGACAAGTACTTATTTAATATTTTGAAAAATGGACAAATAAAAAGTTGAAATGTTGAAATAATTTTAAATAAAATTCCAAAATAGCCATTGTGTTAAGGTTGCCATAAGTCCCGAAAACTGGGACTGTCACCAGTTTTTGACTCGTACAGGTGTTCCAAAAATAAATTTAGGTAAACCATTGTACCCCGGTTTTGAGAAAAAATTAATATTAAATTATTTCGACATTTTCTTCAAATAATAACTGTAATCGAGAGATAATGTTAATAACGATAAGATTTTTAGAATAAATAAATTTTAAGAATAGATAAAATTACAGATATATCTAGTGTCTAAATTAGTTATAACTTGTATATTTTATAACAGTTTTTTTTTATGATTAAAAAAAATAATAATAAATTTGTAATTTATAAAAAAAATAAATGCAAATTTTTTTGTATTGTTTCAGTTTAAAAGATAATAAGTAAGTTTTTTTTATATACATATAAATTATAAAGCTTTTAATATGATTCAATTATAATTTTTGTCTAATTTCATTTGCTCTTTTTCTATTTATCCTGGATTTGCTATATGAAATTATGGTAACCCTACATAATGTAAAATAGATTTTTAGAAACTGTTTGATCGCATGGTAGTTTTTTTTGCGCATATCAGCTATGTTGTCAGCCTACCAAACATATTCTAGTTTCAAATTTAATTTTTAAAAGGTACATCATAGCTACTGAAATAAGGAATGAATTCAAAGTCAATAATAAGTACCACTAAATTTACATAGTTAAGAGTAAGGAATAAGAATGATACTTACATTGTGTTAGACGGTTTGAGCACTGTTGGCCATTATTGCTACTTTGGATTAGTCACAATGTCCATACTATTTGATAATTGATTTCTTTATGGAAATATACGATTTAAGATTTATCGTAAAATTTTAAAATTTAAATAATAAAATATATATCACTCATACATTATTCATAAAGACGTTTAAAATATTCAATTAAATATAGTTGCTTTTTTTGATTCTTTATAAATGGGTATTGTTCAGTAGATTAGTGGAAAAGTCTTATCATAAAGTTATTCATTAAAATTGAATTAAAAAAAAATTTTTAAATGTGAAAAACTAGCACTTTTTTAAAAATAATTCTAACATTCCTGAAATTACCAAGAATTCAAATTACATGCAATTTATTGGTACACATTGTGTAAAAAATTAAATATTAATAACTATGCATATGACAACTGTATTTTATAGAAAACTTGTCTACCTATCTAGTATTTATTATCTAGTTATTATTTGTAATGGAAGTGTAATTATTAGTTGTATATTCTTCAATTACACACACTTTTAACTGAATAGTTTTTCACAATCCGCTTTAATTCAAAAATGCTGTCTACTTCATCTTTAGGTTTGTAGCCCATGGTTAAATTGTATCATTGAATATACAAGGTGGTGTCCCATAAAGATTTTACAAATGTAATAACTTGTTTCGTTCAATATTTAAAATATTATTTATTTGTATAACTAAAACTTTGTGCTATGATAATCAACTAATTGATCTCAAGTTTTAAATTTATCCACAAAATATTTCCATAAAAAAATAATCATAAATAAAATGTAGGACTTTTTGAATTTAAAAAATAGAACTTTTGGCCAGCTAAAAACTGTATTTTTTAGTGATCATGGGTTATTATTTAATGACCTAAGTCAATAATTTACTCAACAGAATAATGAAACCATGGGCGTTTTTGAAAGTTACAATACTGTGTCTATGTAAAGCATTCAAATACTTCCCAATAATTCTAAAGTGCTATGTAAGAAAGATGTATATAATCTGTCAGAAGACTCAATAATTTATTGTAGGGTAATAATATTTCTGTATTATGGCTTTTCCTAAGGATGCCAAAAATAACATTCATGAATGTGTTCCAATGAATGGTATTGATCCAGTGCGAGTAATCTAAAAATCTGTAAAATATTTTACTAAATGAGTATTTTTTCAGGAAAAAAATCATTTAAAAATGTATATTATAATTGAAAATAGAAAGCAATAAACATAAATAAATGCATACTTTTTTGATTTTGAAAATTTATTTACATAAAATGAAAATTTCCAATATTGATGACTTAAAAAGAAATACTAAAACAAGAAAAGATATTAGAAATTAAGCATTGTTTACCAAAAATAGATAATAGGTTTAATAAAATTAAAAATTAAAAAGTATTGTTATAAAATGAAGGAATACTACATTTAAATCACTCATGAAAATCTTTTTAAGATTGCCTAAATAATGAATACCTTATTGAATTTCATTATATGTATTCCATCGCGCTGTTAATTAAAAATTTTTTTTTAATCGGTTTGGCTTCGATGGCAGGGGAGGGGGAGACTGCGATTTGAGAAAAAATAAATTTTGGGAGCTGAGTACTCAAAATTATTTTTAGAAATAGTAATAAGGTTTATTATTAGAGCCCGAAATTATATGCATTTAAAAACTGTCAAATATGCATACAAAAAGTGGCTAAATATGCAATTGTATGCAGTATATTAACTCCATAATAAATGAGATAAACCGAGCAAAAACATGTGAAAAACTTGGAAAAAAGGAAAAATGTGTTGTTTGAATTTTTTTGTTTTGTTTTGATTGAGTTAAAAATATTTGTAGATACTTAAAGTTTGTACAGAAAACTTATATTTGACTTTTCTAAAAGTGATACAATTTTCAAATCATTGTCTACATTTAAATTGTATGGGTTTTTTAACCTAATCTAACCTCATTTGGTATCTACTCTATAGATAAAATTGTTAAACCAAACAGTAATGCTAGAAAATTTAACAGGAGGTTCATTATAAGTATTATTTTGTGGTAAAAAATTAAAAATTGAGTCATATGTAGTTTTTTTAATGAGAATTTTTAATATCAAATTTTGATGAAATACTTAAATATTTCAAAGAAACATTATTAACCGAGCAACTTGCTCAGAATTGTTCTCCAATGGTTAATCCTTGAGAACAGCTATGCATTAAACTTCTACTTAAAATTTTCTCTCCTCTACCATTCCAACTTCTCATCTACAACAGTAGACCACCCATCATGCAAAGTATGTATGTATTTTTTCCTTTATTTTAGTTAAAATATGGTATGTATAACTTAGCATTTTATCATATTGGTAACTTGTATTAGAAATTGTATAAGTACTATTTATCATTGTCATAAAGCGATAAACCTAAACTAGTGTCTGTTGTATTATCATTGTAACATGGTAGTCGTGGGTTGTAGGTATTGTGTTTGTACAAACAATGGAAAAATACTGTAAAATCAAATTAAAATAAAATCATAAAAATATTAACAATGATTGTTAGAGTATATAATTTGTAATGTATGTAAATACGTACCTATATACACTATATTGTACTATAGTGCATGATAACGTATTTTATAGTTGATACCTATTATTTGGTTTGTTATATTGCAACAAAGAATGAATGGTTATCTATAATGATTATAATTCTTAATTGCAAAATTGAAAATACAATATAAAATACAAAATACATGAATTGGTAACCACGCAACCATGAATGTGGTTTCCACGTCTTTATTTAATTATGTTTAAGGGGGTACGTGAAAAAAAAGTCACGGGAAAAGAATTTCCAGACAATGAAAAAGTCTCACGAAAACATTATCATATTTGTAATATAACTTAATTTTTAAAAGTAATAATTCACAATGTATAAGATACCTATACAGTGTGTCCCACCATGTTTGACGGATTTTTCTAGAGCTATTTATATTAAATATTTTTCAATTTTTAAATTCTGAGGGGAGTGAAGAAGCTTATAGTTTTACAAAGATGTTTATTTTTTTTTTTTTTGGTCTGTGGACAACTTTTCTTCCAGGAATTTCGCTCCAACTTACAACGATAGCAATTTTTATAAAATCAAATTTCACCAAGGAGATACTTTAGAGAGATCGTTTTTTGATTTTCTCAGCAAATGTGAAAAACCGGGAAAAAACATGGGAAAACGAGGAAAATCGGTTACCTATTAAAACCCATTATAACATTACCCGTGCAAAGTATGTCAGTTTTATTTTCTTATCAATCATTAATATGTAATTTAATTTTTTCGTCCTTCCCCCTTCATGGTTAAAGTCTAGAGACGCCCCTGGTGCAGCTATTGATATAAGTAATTTAATATATACACCTGTAAACAACGATAAACCATTGCTAACAAAAACACGATGCTGAGTTCTGTTAATAGTGATGTTTTGTCAACAATATATTATACGAATAACTGGAAAATTATTTTCCTCATAATATATCATATTATGGTAAAATAATTAAATACCCAAGTATTATGTATTTTCTTTAATAATATTTGTATTATATACCGATTTTCCTTTTTTTTCTTCCAATTTTTTTCGGTTTTTCACCGAAAAAGTTGTTCTGCAAAGTTATCATTTGTTGAGAAAATCGAAAAATGATCTCTCTAAAGTACCTCTCCATTAAAATTTCCTTTTAGACAAATTGATTTCAGTATAAATTGGAGCAAAATTACTGGTAGAAAAGTTGCCCACAGGAAAAAAGAAGGCCACAATAGTTTTAACCAATAGGTTACCAATAGGTTAAATTTAGGTACCTATATTTCTTACATTTACCGTTTTTTTACTTCGGGTTTTTACATTTTATGAGAAAACTTCCAAGAAAATCAAAAAATGACCTCCTTAAAGTACCTTCCATATTATATTTCCTTTTAGAAAAATGTATGTCATTATGAAGTCAAGCAAAATTGCTGGTAGAAAAATTGTCTATAGAAAAAAAAAAAAGTAATATTTTACTAATATATTTTATATATTTTCCCGTTTCTTTTTTCAGTTTTCACATTTGATGAGAAAATCGAAAAATAACCTACTTAAAGTAACTCTCCACACCAATTTCCTTTTAGAAAAGGTGATACACTTAAAAATCGTAGTAAGATCTCTGGTAGAAAAGTTGTACACAGAAAAAAAAAATAAACATCTTTGTAAAACCATGAGTTTCTTCTTTCCACTCAGAATCTAATATCGCATAAAATATTATAACTTGTTAATATTATATTACCTATTATATATTAAATTATTACGTTATATAATATAATAATACGAAGTTCCGAAAAAAGCGGTTACATTTTTAATAATAATCTAAGTTAAAGCGACCAAAAAAAAAAAAGTTGATACTGGGGACAGTCACGACCATTGTTGGTCTGTTTTAGGTGGGTAGTGGGAAGGCGGGATACTTAAAGTTCTTTTTAATTATATCTGTAACTAGTGATGTAGTCCTAAAAAAATGCATTGGTACACGATTGAAACATTGAGAAAATAAATATGAGGGACTCTGCTTTTCCAATAACTCACGGCACCCCCCCCCCCTTCAAGTTGGTATTTTCGTTGACAAAAACTATACAAAAAATAAATTATATACTACCTGTATCGACTATTGCAGACACGTAAAAGTGTGTAGCTAGGTATACTAGCTATACTAGGTATGAATATTTTAATACAGTTTTCTGAAAAAATATGATTTACGCCCCCCCCCCCCTTAACCAAGTCTCTGGAGACACTCCAGCACCGGCTAAGGAGGCAAAACCTATAGTTATGGACTTGAGGTTATCAAATTGATTTAATGTTTAAGTAATCTATAGATTATATAATAGGTATGGGTACCTACATAATCATAGATATTAAAGAATCTTTAATATCTATGTACATAATAGGTATGTATAAATAATACATTCAATACAATTTTATTATTGTAACAATGCAAAATGTACGAAAGTATTAGTTGACAAATATTAGTATTTTTTTTTTTTTTTTTTGAACAACTTTTCTACCAGTAATTTTGCTCTGATTTACAAGTATAGCACTTTTTCTGAAAGGAAATCTAACTGGGAAAGTACTTTAGGGAGGTAATTTTTTGATTTTCAAAGAACTAGGTAAAAACAGAAAAAAACGGGAAAATTGGATGAATATTAAACAAATATTATTAAGAAAATATATAATGCATATTTAATTATTTTACCATAATATGACATTACGCATAATATATATTGTTGACAAAGCATCACTATCAACTGAACTTCGCTCAGGATCATTTTTTTCGTTAGTTAACAATAACTTTGCACCTACAACAGTGGTTGTACCCATCCTCATTATTCTAGGACAGTTTTTTATATTTTAATTTTTAAAAATATGGAAATTTTAAAATCAAATCAAGATAACATCAAAATTTCATTTGAAGGTTTTTTAAACACACACAGAAATAAAAGTATTAATTATTATATATTATATAGTTTTATTTTTAATTAAATGCAATAATGATAATCATAACTCAAAAATTCATAGGAAATATTCAGATTTAAAGTGTATTCATGACCTTATTTATGATTAGAAAATAATTATTGTACAAGTAGTACATATTATTAAACAATAACATATAAACAAAAATAAATAACAAATATTTAATACTAAAACTGTTTACTATGCAATAATTGAATCATTATTTTATTAGAAAAATTAAAATAATGTTTTCAGAGTTTTAGCTATGTTATCCTAGTTAATTTATTAAATAATGTTTGGTATATAAAAATTAAATTGCAGAATTATTATCTTTATAACAAATGTATCCAGTTGATGATATGTGTGTGTCAAATTCATCAATCATATGAAATTAAAAATAATAAAATGAATAACATAAGGTTCTACACACACAGGGATACTCAAAAGAAACTGAAATTGTTTAGATACTAGTAGACCAGGTTAGGTTTCCAGTTATCTTCACAAACACACACACACACACACACATATTTGAAGTTATACACAGCATAGTTTAATATTTTTCAGTTTTTCGTATAATATGTGTATACTAATCAGATTAATATTTGTATTGTGATATTTATTTTACAATGTTTTCGCCAAATTTTTTATTTTTATAAATAATCAAAAATGCTGAAAAAGGGGTTGTTTTTCAGTTTTTGAAAACAAATTTTATTTTTTAAAAATTAGCTAAGATTGAATATTATAATGAAGTAGGACTTCTTTTGTTGTATCTTGTTTATAAATAAACTTATCTAAAATAATTCAAAATAATTGAAAAACAACACCCTTGTCATAATTCAACCCTATTTCAGCACGGGAAGGGGATAAGTCCATATTTTCATATCATTTAAAAAAATGGGGAGGTGGTACTCATTTTTAATTTCTCAAGAAAATTTCAAGACCACCTTAATATATATATATACAAATTAAATTAATAGACAATATTTGAAATTAAGAATATAAAACAATTATTTTAAACTGTATAAAGACCTTTAAAAGGGATAGTTCTTTTTTTAAAAGTACTAAAAATGAGTTAATTTTTTGTAGTAGGGCAGACGACCAGGAACAAATTCATTTTTAAAAACAACTTTTCCAATATTGCATTTGCCTAGCACTCTAGTTTATTGTCAGTTAAAATTGTTAAATGTCCTCCAAGTAATATTAAAGTTAGTATAAACCAGTAATATGAGTTGTATCGAATAAAAATAATAATCCAAGATTTAAATACACTATAGGTTTTAACAGTTGACTAATAGTATCATCATTTCAAGGAAATACATTGGTTTTTAATAATATGGTAATAATACAAATTACTTAATAATTTGATCATAATTTAAAACTTTGCATATAATTTATTTATTAAAATTAAATTAAATATAAATTATAGCAGTTACAAAAGAAATTAATTAAATATTATTTAGTGATTTGATTTAAAGTATAATAAAAAGGCTATTCTAATATAATTAAATATTTAAGAAAAAAATTGAATTTTATTTTAATTAATTAATGATGATAAAAAAAATTAAAATTAAAATTAAATATTATTATAGTTATAGATATTGTGCTTTATGAAATATATAGAAGTAAGTTTTTAGTTTTCAAATGTTCTTGTTTAAAGGATTTGGTCTTGTAATTTTCGTTTTTTTGATTTAGTTTCATCCTTTTTAATATCTTGCATATTTAGCAAATCAATTTCATAAATAGTCCAATCAGTTGGATTTGTCATTTTTGTAGGATCTAATTTCTCATCATAATTTTCAATTTCAACACCAAGAATACCCATTAAAGATTTCATCATATCGTCCACATAAGTATGAATTACAAGATCTGCTTTACGATCCTAAAAAAAAAAAAAAAAAAAAATGTATACTAATTATATTCAAATAAAAATGTAGTGTAAATACTTATATCAGTATGTAAAATGTATCTTTTTTTCTTCGCCTTCATCTCAACTATTTGGGGTTGGCCATTTTTGTCTTATACTTCTATTTAACCCTATATATCACCTTCATACACCAGCTGTCATATCATTATCAATCACATTCAACCATCTCTTTTTTCGGTTTTCCTTTCAACCTTTTTTCCCTACATTTACGCTCATTACAATTCATACAGATTCTTCTCTCTTCATGACATGCCCAAACCATCTTGGTCTACTTTTTTATACTATTGAAGCCATGTCTAAGCTACCTCCTATGTACTCATTCTTTATCTTATCTTTTCTCAAAACTCCACTCATTCACTTAAGCATTCTCATCTCTGCTACTCATTCTTTATTATATTTTTCTGTATACCACAGCTATAAACTCCAAACCACACAAAATAGTCTCAGCACACTATTGTAGAACTTATCTTTAAGTCTCATTGGAATTGTCTTGTCACATAAAACATTTACTTGTTTGGTTGAATATAGAGAATTTCTCTCACCCTGTGCATACAAGTTACATTGGATGGATAATGAAAATATATAATTAATAACAATTTCAGTTAATGCCTATCTATATTTTAGATTAAACGCATTTGATAAGTTAACTGCATAACTGCTAAGCAATAAACTGATATAAAAGACAGTGATGATCAAAATAATACCCCAGTGAAAGAATCTCTCATCACCTGACCAATGATGGGTTAAAACTCTCAACCTTGCCTATTACATTACCAAGTATTATTCTTCAAATACCATACTTGATTTAATAAGCTGATTGTCTAAATGTCTAAATGAGTAGAGCTGCGCATCACTGAGCAGTTCTCTTTGAAAGTCGGAACCTTTCATTTATTAGACAGAGTATTACATTGGCTGTCAACTTGACAACTCTATTTGCTGCCTCTACTAATCCACAGGGATAATGGTATAGTTAACTATAAAGTGAATATACATACCCTATAGAAATGATACCATGTGCTTATTAGAATCACCCACCTAGGTTTTTCACCAATAGGAACTGGAGGCATCACTAAATCTGTAGCATTATATACACCCTGAAGTTATACTTTGTAAACATATATGTTAAAATATAATTTTATAGAACAATATAGTATCAAAAAAGGAAGAGCTATTACTTTATGATATTATATCTTATATTTTTATTAAGAACAATTGTGTATTAGGACTTTATTAATTTACTTCAACTATTCTGTGTTTAAGAAAAAAATTATTAATTGAAATAAAATTCCCCCAATAATAATGAAAAAATTAATTTTGTTGAACAAACAATTTAAATATACTTCATTGACTCAATATATCAAATAATAGTTATAATACTTACACACATAGTTTTTTGTAAATTGCAAATGACAACTTTTCCTTTATTTTTCTTTGCTTTAAAAGGGACCAAATTAATTGGTTGGATTTGCAATGATGTTCCCAAACAAATACATAAATCTGCATTGCTATAAGTATAATATAATATACACAGAAATTAGAAAGAAACAATTAAAAATTACTTTTATACAAAAAATAATGTATATTTACTTGGAGTGTAGTTCTGCCATCTGTAATTCGTTATATGGTAGTCTGTGCTCCCAATCTAAAATTGTATCATGTAAAATGCCTCGACACAGACTACCTTTTTTGGTTTTTCCTAAACAGCTTATATTTAGATTTTGTTGTCCGACTGTCTTTACAGCTGTTTGACTGGTGAAAGACCTAATGGACAATAAAATATTATAATTAAACATAATTTGTGTATAATTAAGTAGTTGATAATATGTATAGAACAAAGGGAAGAAAGTTATTATACTTTACATATTCTCTAAGCAAAATAATCATTTACCTATTGCATTTATTACATTTCATAGTAAACATGTTTCCATGAACTTCAGACATATGTTCACGGAGTAATCCAGATTTTAAATGCAAACCATCAATATTTTGACTCACAACATACTTGACATAACCTAAAAGTCATAATGTATAAGACAAGATAGTTCTGAATGTTATGATGGTTTGAATAGTATTTAAAAATAAATTATTCAATAAGTAAACCTTTTTTAACCAAAGTTTTGATAGCCATGTGAGTTAAAGTTGGCATCGCATCATTGAAATCTAAGTTAATTTCTGGTTTTTTCCCTTGTTTTTCTAAAGTCCATACTCCGTTTGGACCCCTAAAATAAATGTAAATATTAGTTTTATTCTTAATAAAGTGTTTGCAAAAATGTACAAGTAATAATTAACCTAAAATCTGGTATGCCAGCAGATGTACTTATCCCTGCGCCAGTATGAAAAACGGTATACTTCGAGTTTTTAATCCAATCAGCAAGAAGAGAAATCTTTTCATTTAAATCATTAGGTGCATCAAAAATCTAAATAAACAAAATAAAATAATTAATACAAAAGTAATTATATAGTTAAAAAAGTAACTACTAATTTTGTAAAACATAATAAACATAAACATACTTCGATCATACCGACTTTTCCTTTGTTTTTATAGGGTGTTAAACCCTCAGCGTAATTACAAGACATTTGGATTGAAATTGATATCCTCCAAGATGCTACCTATATAAATTAATAAAAAGATTAATAATTTGTTAAAACCATCATATTGCCATGGGGTTTAAGGTTTTTACCAAAACCAAGGAATGTAACAGGCAAGGGGCTGATGAGTTTTTGTTTACAATTACCAGCATTTTTAAATTGAATATCATTATTTCCCAATAATTTGGAGGAGAGGGAAGTGTTATAATCATATCAGACCCTGCATAAATCATTGCAATTTATTTGTTTTCTCTTTAATGGATTGAAAATTAGATTTTCTAAAAGAAATGTTCACATTCATAAACCAAAAAAAAAAAACCACAATATAAATGCATTTTGGGATAAATGGTCTAAAAATATTTAACACAATGACTAATTTTATAATTTAAGGAGATATAATTTGTAAAATTGAAAATTATTTATTTATTACTATACTAAACTAACTATATAAATTTATCTTCTGATGATATGACCTTATAAACATATGACAATAAACTAAAATATTTATTTTAGTACTGAGAACTATTAGTGATGGAGTAAATTTTCAGAATTTAAAAATAAGAGAATATTCCCAAGAATTGGAATTTGACAATTTGTTATAAATTCTTAAATAATGGTTATTTTTACTACTTACAAATTTTACTTTCTACCAAGTCATAAATATGTTAAATTTAAATATAAATACTACTTTACTTATTATTTAGTGATTCATAAAAAAATATATTTTTCTATATTCAAATTGAAGTCACCTCTTTTAAGTGTCTTCTGTAGAAAATTTACTAGGTACTGAAGATGTATACTTAATGGGTACGTTAAAACATTAAAAAATAAGAATGAGTACGATTACTACAATACGAGTTATAGTTACTTGTACAAAAAAAAAATTAGCTGTTTTAAGGTTAGGTTATGCCGTAATGACACAAGGTTTATGATCAAATAACGTCGGCCGCTATTTTATTTTCATTAATTATTGTTGCCCGCATGCTCTCTCCAAATCTTGGTAATGACAGTTATATTATAACCATAGTGGTAATATATTTTTAATCTAATAAACCTCAAAAATTGTAAACCAATTAGAACAACAAAACAAATAATTTATCAATTCTAAGAAAAAAAAAATAAATATAGTGTGGAATTATTTGCGAAAATTCCAGAATATGGATAATATATTTCATTTTTAATGCTTTTTCAATGCTCATTGTAGAAAATATGGAACAAGTTAAAATAATATATTTCCACATTATATAAGGATTACGAAAAATCTATGGTTTTTATATTGATACGTAAATACAAACGCTATCAATTAACGTTTTGTAATGTGTTTGAAACTTGATAACGTAAGTTCATGATTTTTCTCTCGTATGGTTTTTATTTTCTTGATTTATAAAATGTGTTTTGAGTGAAAAATACTATTTTAAATCATCAGGGATGAAATTTGAAATTATGATAAGATATACTAATATATTTAGTTATTCATAACACACAAATAATTAATAATACGGTAGTTATACTTAAGTTTATATTAGTACTTTAGTATACAAATACAATTTTCTAATACAAGCTCAAACATAGAATTTTTTAAAATTATTTTTCCCAAATTCAGTACATCAAAATTAGTTTGGGATATTTTTGGCGTTAAAAAAATATGGCCATTGAGGGTTAATAATAAATAATATTCCCAGGGCACATGTACCATTGTGTATATTACAATATATTATATAATAGCACACTGTAATGATAAATATGTTAAACGATAAAAACACTATACAATTTTCCATTGATTCACAAAATGGTAAAATCACATATTATTATAGTTAATGGTAGCCAGCGGTTCCCAACCTTTTTACTTATGCGGACGACCAATTTTGTAATAAAATCTTTCGAGGCATACTAAACTAATATATAGGTAAAAATAAAAAAAATAGACAATATTATTATGTATGGCCAATATAAAATATGTAATTCATTATAATAAAGATTACCCATGCACATTAAAATGTCTTAGGGAGAGCAAGCCCTCCTAAGCCTATCTCCTTATTTACATCCATGTGTCCATTACTTTTCTTTCAGGAGGCGGGAAAATTTTAGAAAAAATTAATTAATTTCTCCAACTCAGGTAACTCGTTCCCAAGGATAAAATTACATACATTTAGTTGTAACAACCAGTTAAAGCCGATAAAGTACAATAAATAAAAAAAGTAATATAGTAAAATTGTATTTATTATTTTTGGACACTATTAATAGACTTAAAAGATGTTAAAATTTTTTTTATCTATCCTGAACAATTTTAAAAAGTTGATTTATCTGGTTTTTATTCCATGTCCTTCAATTATACTTGTGTACACACTTGAACAGAAATATAATTACTAACTTCTTCTTCGCATCCTCCTCGTGTCAGTGTTTTTTTTTTTTTTTTAAAATTACAATCCTTTCTTTTCCTAGTATTCAATTATTCCTGTCATTTCGCCTGTGACTTATGTCCGATTACTAATTAAAAAAATAATTTGATCAGTGCCACACTGGTTAGGACGCCATTAGACACCGCGACATGTCGCGCCTTACAGACAGTACCTTAACAATATTTACACTAGATAACTGAATAATGCTTTGCTATTGCTAGATGATAAAGTAAATAATAGTAATAATTATAATAATAATAACAGTTTTCTTGTTTTTGACAACCAAATTGTCATCCATGTTACCAAGGCAACCCATAAATAAACAAAAATAAATAAATAAACAATTAGATATTTATACCAAAAATAGCTAAAAACCCCTATTGTACTCTCTTAGGGGTTGTGTTATTAAAATTATCTTCTTAGAGGATGTCTACATTATAACAGCTATTTGTATGCTAAGTTTCAGTCTGATCCGTCCAATGGTTTGGGCTAGGTCAGGGGTCGGCAACCTTTTTTGACGGAAGAGCCAAAAGTTACAATGTACAAAATTTTCCAGATTTTAAAGAGCCACTAAAAATTTTCTTAAGTATTTAAATATAATTTTATTTTTAAATTTTAATAGACATAATAATAATGAAATTAATTATAATAATATAATAAATTTATGATAAAAAAAAATAGTTTTTAATAATAGGGGAATACATCAATGGGAGCATTGGCTTTGCATGTCCAATTAGTTGTAGATAGCGTCGCGATTATATTAGACTCTATAATAAACATTTTACAACTATAGACTGTACTCCATGCGAGCACTGTCAAATTATTTTTGTGATGTATTATTTCATATTTCCAAAAGCAACAAAAATAATATACTTTTTTTTTTTACATTATAAAATATTGTTTTTGAACTAAAATATTAATTTTTGTGTGTGCAGCTGGAGAGCCGCAACTTTAGACCGAAAGAGTCGCATGTGGCTCGCGAGCTGCAGGTTGCCGACCCCTGGGCTAGGTGATGATGAATCAGTCATTCAATCGGGACATGTTAGTTTATATTTATATAATATATAGATCTCCATGAATATTTTGATTATTTATAAATTATAAATATAATCTATAAAACTTACTACTTAATGCTTTAAAAATAATTATACATATTTGAAATTATTATTTTTTTAGTAATATAACTTGGTCAACCCGGTAATTGTTTTAAATTTTTGTATCCTATGTAGGTATATTCCATTTGGTTCTGGGATTCTTTTCTTATTTTGCATACTTGTGGGCATGAAGGCAAAACCACTTGATTTCCAAGCAATTTAAGAATTGACCCAAGATGTATAATATATTGTTATTAACAAATAAATCTCCATGTTTAATGTTCTGGATAATGTTTATCTAATATTAGTTTGAAACTGATTGATGTAAAATAATACATTTCCCATATTTTTATCATTTTTTTTTTTTTAAATTTAGTAACTCATTGCACCATGATCACTCAATATCATTAAGCATGTCTTTACAGTATCTACAAGAACATCAGTTTAAATTATTTTTTCTATCTTCAAAATTAACAGCTAAAAAATTGCCATCACATTTTTGAAAATAACATCTCATCTTTAGCATCCAAATTGAATGGTATTAGGGACATAATATTATGTATAAATAATGTATACATATGAGTGATCAAATAGGAATGTTTTTAGGAGTATGCTTAATAGGAATATTTTTTTTTTTTTGGAAATTTAGTTAAATCAACATTTTAAAAATGAATGCACAAACAAAAATTTTAGCTGATCTTTCGTTTTGAAGTTAGTCAGTTTTATATGTGTGTTATATTAAATACTCATTATTGAGTATCTTTGATGTTAGTTGTCCTAGTCTAGTGGTGATGAACACCTCTTATAATTTCAGAATTCCCGATTACAAATCCCCTATCTCGATTAGTATTTTTTGCATTTTTTTCAATGATTTAATTTGGTACCTTATATAATAATAACACTTTAAAATTATTTTAACAAGTTTATTACTATTTTAATCCAGAAAAAAAACCCTCAATTGGTTGTGCAAAACCACTAGGAAAGTAACAGGAAAAAGTTAAAAAGCATTATAAGTTACAACATTTATTAACAGATTGAACATTTAATATAACACATAATATCCATAAAAACGATATACTTCAAATGGTCATAACTTAAAAACTAATGATCAGTCCTAATTTTTAATTGGGTCATCATTTTTGAAACGTTTAACAAGTTTCAAAAAAAAAAAACAAAAATGGCTTGAATAATAAACTGAAATTTTATTATACTGTTATAATATTAGAATGTATTTAGACTAGTATATTAATACTATGTTTAGCTATGGAAAAAAAAAATACTGATAAATCATAGTGTTCTGGTGTACATGAAATATATATTTATATTTGGCTTTTTTCGATAAATTTTTGTATAAAAGGCCAGACTTCATTTAAATAATTTGCATATTCCTACACTATGTTTAATTTTTAACTAGTACAATAAATATAATTCAAAACATATTGCTATAACTTAGTATATTTTCATCAAAGGAACACGAACACACACAGAGGAACATTAAACAAGTAATAATATTATGTGCAAGATATTATAGGAGAGGCTCTATATTTTATAAGCCCAATTTAACTATATACAATAAAAGATTATGACGTACATTTTGGTATATCTACATATGGTAAAAGTTTATAAGTATTTGGTATTTTTCTATGTACGAAAACTTACGTTTAAACGGTTTACTGTGTATTTTGCAGAAAAACTGGTTCTGGACTTTTTGTGATGGCACAACTGCACAAATTTCACTTTTCTAAAGATTTCACTTTTAATAAAAAAAAAAATAACAAACAAAAATTGTTTGGACCGTCGTAGTGTCGTTCATCGAAAAATGTTAGCGTTTTATCAGTGTATCATGCGTTATCATGTAAATTATTATTGGTTCTATGTTCATATTGTCACCTTAATTAAATGCCATCTATAAACAAGGTTTAAAGATTATAATCTAAAAACCTTGATGTATAAATTGATATGATATCACTACTCATAAATTAGATAAAACGAATCATTCCAAATATTGGTTTTAAGAATTTGGAAACAATTAAGTTTTCAATTTTATTTTATTCCACCAAATATTTTTGTTATTATTTATTGTCTCTTTCAAACTGAATTGTATTCGCTAATCAATATTATTATACAAGTATGTACCGTTCTTTCTGTTCGTTATGTTTGAATTTGTTTCACCATTTAAATATTTGTTTGCAGAGTTTTTGAAGTTGGGTAAAAGAAAATGATTACAAAAAGATCTATGTATTTATAATTCATCATTGGTATTTGAATTGTACGGTTGAACTACTGAACATAATTTTCAAAGTTTTAAGTAAGTTCATTTGTACTTAACATTGTAATAATTCATTGTATTAATAATAATAATTTTTAACACAGTGTTGCTGGTGATGACTTATTAAGTGCCAATAGATAAGAGTTTGATTATTAAATCATAATAAGTTTTTTTTTTTTTATTATTCACCTAACTAAGGGCATAAGGAAATGAAAAGTATTTTAAATGTATACCTTAATATGAAATTAGTCTTGATATACTGAGTGATTCATTTTTATAGAGCAGCGGACATATACAATTATGTTAATTTTGTTCATTATTATGTATAGTATTTGATAATACGAACGTATTGTTTCTGCTGTTTCTACAAATATTCAGATAGTTATAAAAGAAGCTGCAAATATATATAAATTCATAAGTTAAAAATAAATAATATCTATAAATCTATATACATATAAAAACGAATCCCTTTTTTCCTTGGTCATTGCATCATGTGAGAACGGCTTTGTCGAATACAATTTTTTGTAAAATTGTCCTCATTGTTCGGAAAAGGTTAATTGAAGCTATTGAAGTTCACCCTATATTGAATGCCATCCCCTAAATTCAGGTTATAAATAATTTTAGTTCAGAAATTAATTTTTTTTTTTTTTGAATTAGAGAAATTACGTGTCTGGTAACATGAATAACAAAAATATGAAATCCATGTATTGGTGTGGGGGTATCTATGAAAAAATATATTTATTCATTTCTTAGTATATGGTATATTCTATCTGAACATTTATCCAGTTTTTGTTTTGTTGAGTGAGTTTTTTGAGAAGTGTTTGTTCATTGCAATTTGGTTGAACAAAATGCCACCAATTAGACATACCAACCAGAATTTTCAGAGGTTGCATTTGAGAGGAATGTGTGGTGGTGATGAAATAAATGTTAAATGATAATATATTTTTTTTTTGTATGGTTGCTATTGGTTTCAGATTAATATAATAGTATATTGGTTACTATTTGTTAATCGACCATGTTTTTTGATTTGTATTATTTGTTTTCAATAATATATTTAGTAAAAATTGTAATGATGACTTAGATTTGAACTTGATACCATTGCATTAATATTATAAACATTGTCTTTATATACTCTATAGACAAAAATGTAAAAGGTTGATCAAAACGTATTTATGGTAATTAATAATGCACAAGATTGCAAATAAAATCTATAAAATACTGTCTGCTTGAATGTATGGTTCTTACTAGCTGGGGAGCTGGAGAAATGGTCTTACCAATGATATCAACTAATCTACCATTCCAGTTTAAATAGCTCAAATTTCCCATGAAACTATGTTTTTCAATGACCATAAATAAGGCACAAGGTCAAACATTAAATGTTGCTGGTTTAGAGTTTAGACCTAACTGTTCAATTGTTTTCCTATGATCAATTGTACATAGCTCTATCACATGTCACATGTAAAAAAAAATTGTTGGCCCCAGAAGTTGAGACACTTAATGTGGTGCAACCAGAAATATTTAATGCTTAAGACAAACAGTAATTTAAAATTTAAAAATATATCCCATAACAGAATACTTTTAGTCTGCCAAAGGTGGACTACCCACTTTACACTTAATTGTTTTTATTCATAACTGATACTGTTAAAACCAAAACGGAATATGGGTAAAAAGATAATAAAATTTGGCATGGGCAAGGCTGAGCAAAACAGCTGGTTTAATTTAAAAATTGGGTACTTAATTAAAGTTATAACAACATTCACAAGTTGTATGAAGTGTGATATTAATATTGGTTCAAATAATATAAAAATTATCTATTTGTGTTATTTAATTTAGGACTAATTTATTTATTTTATTTATTTAGATTATTTTTTTAGATTATTTATTTATATTTATATTAATCCGTTATCACTTTTTTTTCTTTTTTTTTTTTATTACATTCCTTTATTACTTTTTTGTTGTACACCAATATGCCACATGCAATAAAAAACAAAAATAATAACAGATCTAGGACTTAGATAATTTCAAAATTTTAAACTGGTAATTTAAATACATTTTATATATTGTTAATTGTTGATTTAGTCAATGTTTTCATAGTAACCAATCATCATATGTTTTGGATTCTGAGTGAAGCGAGGGATCTATTGGTCTTACTATGATATGGTACTCTTTGATTTTTTTATCAGTAAACAAATTTTCTCCTAGAAATCTTGCTTTAAACAAAACATGATTAGAGACTGCTCAGTGCAGTCAAATAATGAATCATGTGGAACAGTTTTCAATTATTTACTCTTTGATAACAATTTAGGTACCTTTCAAGTTTTTATAGTTAATTATAATGCTATTCAAAATATGTAATAATAATAGTAATGTAGAATTTTATTAATTTGAATTATAAAAACTCATAAGGCTCACTATCTTACAATTATCACTGCACTTGGAGCAAGAAACTGGTAGGTGTGCCTGTGAAACATAAAAACTTTTCTTGAAATGTGCTCCAATATTCCATATTATGGAACATAAAAAATGTGTACCCAGTGTATCCCGTGCAGTCATGTGGAAAACGCTATTAGTTTTTTCTATATTCATTGCAGAAGGAACACTTTTCTATAATAATAGCTGTATCACCTACAACTTCACCCAAGTGCAGTTCACATGTCTGTACAGTCTATTTAATGTACCCCATATATTTTGGTCCAAATGAGTACCTACCAGGAACCACCTGTTGTGAAACATTTTTGACATTCTAGGGAATTTCCCATTTTGGTCGATAAATCACCAACCTTTAAACTCCTAATTAACCTTTTCTTTCTCCCCTCCTTCACCATTAGAATATATTTCAACCTTGCTTAAGAATTTCATTTTATGCTTAAAATCACCTTCCTTATCAATCATCCCCCCTTCAAGGTGCCAGTGTACTATTTTTATCTTAGAGAGATTAAGCTTGATATCTCTTTTAACATTTTACAAATTGAGAATGGAGTGAGTTTTATCCCTCCAATACTATTTATGCGTTTACTTCATGTAGAATCCTTACTTGTAGGCCGAGCTATAATAATAGTTGATTAGTTTTTTGGGATAGAATTATGATAAAGATAGTAGTTCTCATTGAGTTTTATTTATATGTGCAAGATTTGTCTGTGTAAGTTAAAATCCCTAAAGTTATATATGTTTGTATAGATTGTGGTAGAATTTTATCCCCTATTTCATAAGTTGGATATTTTTAAAAGTCTTTATACTCATGTTTCTTAATTTTTAACCAAAATGTTAAATACTATTTTTTATGAATTTTACTTCAAAATGTGAAATACATGAAGATTTATTAATTTTAATCTAATATCAATATATTGGTTATTGACTAAAGGTTATAATAGATAAAGTTTTATCAATATACATAAGGCTATTGGACTAAATTTTTAGGAGATGTTTTAAATTAAGTAAATCATTTATTATTTTTATTAAAAATATTATTTAAAATTTAGGGAAGGAGGTGAATCTTTTAAAACCTCCTCAGTTATGGTCTTGAATCTTCATACTAATATTATTATAATTTATGAAGATTTTTGTACTATTAATAAAATTTTCTACATAAAAGAATTTTAAATTTTATTTTACTTATTTTATTTATTACAGTTTGTTTATTTTAGATTTTGACTTGTTATAATGGATATCAATCAGCTGGGCAATGATGCCAAATCTACTGCAACTAAATATTTTACAAATATGCTTAAAAAACCTGGCCAGTTGGAAAAAGTAGAACAACTGAAAAATCGTATATCACGTAAAAAAACTTCAACTGAGGCTATGTTAAAAACAGCGATGCAAAGTCAATTAGATGGGGTTACAACAGGAATGGAACAACTCAGAGATGCACTGGATGACATAAATATGGTAAAAACAAGCTTAAAGCAAACAAAACAAGCATTTGTAAATTTACCAAATCTTGGACACAAATTGCAAGATGTTCGCACCAAGCACATACAACATTCTCAGTATTTGACAGCTAATGAAAATATGAAACATTTATTCACAGTTCCAGAAAGCATTGAAAAAACTAAACAGTGGATAAATGATGGGAGGTTTTTGCATGCTCACCAGTGTTTAATAGATCTGGAAAATTCTAGAGACGATATTTTGTTTGAAATACACAAATTGCCAAATCAACCTCCGAGTGATAAAATACTACTCAAGGCATATTTTGAAGATGTTGAAGTTATGTCTAATATGTTAGAAAAACAAATCAAATTAGTTTTGAGCAGAACATTAAATACAGTCAGAAAAGAACCTATGGTTATTGTTACTGTATTACGTATTATTGAACGTGAAGAGCATGCTGACCTATTTGCATTGCAGAGACACAAACATTCTGGATTTATGCCACCTAGTCGTCCGAAAAAGTGGAAAGAAATGGCTTTTGATGTTCTTCAAAAATCTGTGGATCAACGAATAGAAGGAACACAGGTCAATGAACGATCTGACAATAAAATGTGGCTTGTAACATATCTGGAACTATGTCGCCAATTGATTCTTGAAGACTTACGAGTTGTTAAAACATTATGCGTACCCTGTTTTCCACCTTCATATGAGATATTCAATAAATTTGTGTATATGTACCATTCAAGTCTTTCAGCAAATTTAGAAGATATTATATCTAACGGACTTGAAGGCAATGAATATGTTACAATAATTTCATGGGTAACAAACACATATCCAGGGATAGAATTAATGAAAAATCCTGAATTAAATATAGACATAAACAAAGTTGGTTCTTTATTAAAACCAACTATTATTAATGATTTACAGTCGAAATACTTGGAATACATTAAAGGCAATTATAAAGAATGGATGTTAAAAACATTGTTTACTGAAAAAAATGATTGGTATGATTCCCCAGAAATTGGACCCGATGGTTGTTTTCATTCAGCTGCTCCAGTAATAATATTTCAAATGATAGATCAAAATTTGCAAGTTACCAAAACAATTAATCAAAATTTAACACATAAAGCATTATTATTAAGTGTAGACAGTGTTACTCTTTATGGATTGTCATATAAAGAGGCAGTTATTGAGTTTAAAAAAAAACACTTTGAAGATAGGAGCAAAGTGCCATTCTTTACACATTGTATAATTACTGTTCTTAATAACTGTTTGCAGTTTATTGAGTTGGCATTAGAAATGAAACAACATTATTGGAGCAGTGAATTTAAAGATCAGTCAAATACTGCATATGAAAAATTAATAAAAACTTATCAAAATCTCAGAGATGAAGCAGCACAATTTCTATTAGAAGAAGCGTTTTTAGATTTAGACTCTCATTTTCAAGACTTGATAACTTCTAAATGGTTAACCAGTTTCATATCAATTGAAACAATTTGTGTTACTTTAGAGGATTATTTTCAAGATTATACTCATTTGAAACCTAAGAATTTGGAATACATAATTTTGGAAGCAGAGGATATTATTGTGAGAAATTATATCACAGCTATTTTACAGAAAAAACTTAATTTTAAGACATATGAAGAACGTCGATTGGCAGCTGATAAGATAATTAATGAAGTTCACCAACTAAAATCGTTCTTTTTGCGTGTAGCTCCCTTAGTTGCACGTGATAAAGATTCACCATTTAATGCTATTGTTAAGTTGGCTGAAGTATTGAAAAGTGAAGATTCTGAAATATTGTCATTAGATCTACACACACTCCTAAATATGTACCCAGACATAACTGAAGACCAAATGACTAGGCTATTGAGTTTAAGGGGAGATTTGAGTAAGTCAGAAATACGAGAGAAGGTTGCTTATGCCATTCAAAGCAATAAGAATGTTACAAATTTAACATTGACTAAAAGCATATTCCAACAAATACACCTGTAATATAACAACATTAAAACCGATCAACTAATTTATAGCTCAGATAGCTTAATTATAATTAAAGCTTTTCATTGTTATTATAGTATTATTTAATATTTATCATACTTAAGTATATTTTACAACCAATGTTTATTTTTTTACTAATGTGATCTTTTATAATATATATTTAATTATATTATATTAAGTTGTATTCCCTTTTCCAGTAGCTGTTTTAACATTTTAGTAGTTACCGACTATGCTTGGTTATTATATTTGGTTTATCAGCTAAATCATTTTTGTTAGCAAATCATAGTTTCCAATTTACTAAAAATGATAAAGATAGTCAATTAATCTATGGCACAATTAAGGGAGTTGTTTGTAGTATTTTAAAGCTCCTCTTGAATGTCTTAAATTCTTTAATATTTGACAATTACAAGCATTTTGTAAGATTTATAATATCTAAAATATGTGTTTTTCAGTCAGGAAAGAAATTCTTATTGCATCACTGCTAATAAAAAAACAATTTTCTTCTGATATTTTGACTTGGATATGCATTAAACATATTTTTACATTTTACATTTATCTATATAGTTTAACTTCTAAATTCCACTAAAAGTATAATAGCTATTTAATTTATTATAACTAAGAAAGACTAAGCTATGTATGCTTAAAATAAGCTAAACAAATTGATTTACTACCAATTCATAGTTCTAATTATTATAACATTTTAAATATTTTTTAGTTTGGGCAATAAAGTTAATAATATTAAATATTGATTTTAAGCTATTTTACTGTGTTATTAAACCATTAATTTTAAGCTTATCTTGGCAGACTAAATTTGATATTTGAATTTTTGCTCTATTTCTGGTTTTTTTTTTTTTTTTTTTGAAAGAAAAATTTAGGAGTAGGTCCTGATTTGTGGTGATTGTTAGTTTTATTTCCAAGTCACCACGGGTTTTTAAAAATGTTTACCTTATATAGCATATTTTTACATTATATTATAATTTATAATATTGTATGACATGATAAGTATCTTCTGATAATCGTGGAACATTTTGTCAGAGCTTATAACAATATAAATATATATATATATATGTATTATGAATTCAAAACATTTGTATATTGCAATAGAACTTAGATTATCTGAATATTAAATCTTGTTGAAGAACTCATACACCTCATACGCTGGCCACGGATTTTATAATTTTTGCAATTTATTATTAGTACATACATATATACATATAAATTGTAAGTATATATATATATGTATGTACGTGTGTAAATTGTTTGTAGATAATCGAGACACAATGTGTTTATTTAAATTAATCAATAAATAATATCATAAACATAATATGTAGGTACCTACTTAGTGATTATATATTTCTAAATACATAATGCAATTCTAATATAATAATAATAAATATGTAATAGATAATAATATACATTATTATATAATTGTATGTTTTAAAAATTAAAATTATCTGTTTAAACAAGTGTCTGGTACTTGAACTTTAGCGTATCCGATTTATGTGGGGTCCCAATTAGTTCGGATAATCGAGGTTCTACTGTGCATCGATACTTACATGATATTATTATAATAATAAACAAATGATTATCAAGCTATTTTAAATGTATAGTAATAATAATAATAAAAAAAAAAAAAAGTAGTTAATAAAATCTCTTACAAGTTAAAAGTAGCTATAGGCATAATTAAATATTTTTAGCCATGGGTCATATGCCTAGGTACAAAGTTTTATCAAATAAGTTATTTTTGTCGTGCGCGCTAGGGAGACTCTGTCTTCAAACAATATATTATAAATTTTCTGAAACATATGTATTATTATAAAACGTAGTAATCAAAAACTCAAGTTTGTGCTACTATGTAGGTATGCAGGTATGTACTCACTTTATTGTGTTTCCAATGGTCTTATCGCGGACAATAAGCTGATGCCCTAACCCGTACTCGGAAGGGTATAAAACGATGTCAGTCAGTGTATTCTTTCGAAATTTTGTGATGTAACTGCACAACTAAACATTATACGTACATAGACGAAAAACAGAAATATTATTACCTAGATTTGTATACAAATTTTTTATTGTTATGCAATTTTTTTTTTTTTTTTGTAGGTATCTACTATAATATAGCATACTCAAACAAATTAATTAAAAGTAGGTAGATAACGAGTTAAAAATGTTAAAAAAAAAAAAAAAATTGCAATCGTATTTCATAATTGTATAGGATTTTTTTTTTTTTTTTGGGGGGGGGATAGGGAATTACAGGTTTTTGGCAAGTATTCTAGTAAGTAGGTAGATTCTAGTTACCATACGTCCATACTTTAAAACAGACTAAGAAAAAGTAAATTTATATTGTGATTAATAATGTGCTTTTGGGTAGCATAAACTTAGTTTATTTTTTTTTTTTAACATTCATTTTGAAATTAGTAAATATTTGTTTACATATAGGTATACTTAGGTACCTAATAAATTATATTAGGTACTTATCTATATTATATTGCACTTATTTAACTTTTATGTTTAGTTTACCTTTTCACTTTGGTGATACGGTATTATTAGATCATCTTGAGCGTGTAATATCAACACGGGCATTTTTGCATCCTTTAAGTTTTCTTCTGTGTCAAAAATATTGCCGTTTTCAATAACTGGGTCGATGATGAAAAAATCAAACCAAGGCAAATTACGAAAAGCCTATTTAAAAGTTAGTTACATTATAATATTTTAAATTTTAATTATAAAGCTTCGTTATTATAATATTATAACTGTACAAATCAGATTAGGTTTATATATGGTAGTATCCCACGAAGGTATCCCATTGCGATGTCTCGGGAAGTATATTAACTTTTTCCAGATTTTTTTTGTGTATTTTAAGAAACAAGTACCTTGCTTTAAAATGTTATATTACTATCATTAGCAGAAATTGTCCATAATTTTAAGGGGGGACAGATATTTTGAAACATTTCTTGCTTCAAACCGGGTTTCTGCGTTTGCAAAAGTCATCTTACCTTAAACACCATGAAAAACCTAAGTGGGATTTATTTTAGACATCCTATGCCGACTATACCATACACATACTAATAAGTTATTATAATGGTAATTATTATTCATAATTATAAGGTATTATAATGTCATATTTTAATTATTACTTTCAAGATTTAAGAAAGGTAGGTAAATGAAAACTTGATTAATATTCAAAATAATAATTTAAGCATCATAAATTTATTTAATTTTAATAACGAGATTTAAACTTGAACATTTTATTTGATAATGTTATACTAACTATAAAGAAAAAAAATAATACAAATTCTCTTCAGTAGCGGATCCAGGAATTAATTTTGAGAGTGGGAGGGGTCATAGTCCAAAATTCAGTAATAATAACAATATTCCATACAAAATTACCTATGATTGTTGAATTAATAAAACTTAATTTAGGCCAATGGGGGATGGGGGTGGGTGGAAGCAAGGCCCTTCGGATCCCTCCCTTAAATTCCGCCACTGTATCTCTACAGTAATAATCTATTTCATTAAAATTTAAAAACAATTTTAAAATTGTGTTATGTTTATTCGTAGATCTATTTTTTTGTTCAATTTTAATATTTTATTCGTGCTCCAATATTTTAATTGAAAGTTAACATTACTATATAATATGTAATATACACATATAAAGGGTACAGGGAAAAAAACCAGAAGTCACTTTTTGTTTGAACTGAGAAAAACGTGTTTTTAATTTAAAAACTTAACAATTCTTTTTTTTACAAAGTAAAAAGTTCGAATTAAGTTTAATGTTAAACATTGAAATGTAGTAACTTCAATTCAATAATGTCGTATTACATTATTAACCATGGCTTTAGTGTATTAACACTGGTTATAAATTAACTATCTGTTTTTTTTTTCCAGTTGGCCTAAACTTCTGGCATTCATTACTTTCGACTAGTCTGATTTTTTCGCCATTTCGATCGCATAAAAGATATGGCACGTCATACAAATTATTTGATACCGATTTCGCCATTGGAAAATAAGTGACTCAAAATAATTGAGTGGACTCAGCCCCCGCTCAAGACCTCTAATTTTCACCTATGATAATTATTATATTTTGTCACGCTTATTTTCCAGGTATTTTACCTTGATTACCTAGGTACTTTTGATTTTTCAAATGACATCTTATTGAACTTGTGTAGTTTAAATAAATTTTAGTGTTGATATTTTTGATTTCCGTTAATGTGTAAACGAAATATTCCACTTCTTTGTATAGTAGAGCAGTGTGTTTAAGCCCAAAATGTACTTAAAGTAAACATCTATTTACGGCATTTGTATACACGATTATAAGTTGCCATTTGAAAATCAAAAGTTAGTAATCGTTTTAGCAAAAAATAATAGTAATATAAAATTTTAGAGCCGCTTGTTTCTTAAATTGTCAGTAATAAAAATAAATTCCTAAAGTAGTTAATAATTTACGAGATATTATAATGGGTATATGGTTGTATGTTATACCTTCGTGAGATACCTTTTGTTTGCAGTGGGTACATAGTTACTTTAGCAGTTGAATACTGTCGAATTGCTTCGCTCATTTTATTAAACGGAGCTTCTAATATAAGTCCATTGGAATAGATATTTTCTTTTTCCAGTAACGAAAAAGCATGTGCTCCAATTCTAAAAAGTAAGCACAGCCGTTTTAGCAATTTATTTTATTCACATAAAATATTATTAGATATGTTATGCTGTGTTTATTAAATTTACAGATGTACCTAAATATTGGTTGTAATTAGGGACGGATTCAGGTGGGCCCAGATTTTAGGGGACCAGGCTCTCCCAGACATATTATTTGTCCGTTTTTTTTTTTTATAATTCTACACATTTTGATATTACTATATTCCAATCACTGATGTGTACGAGAAAATAGTATACATAATGTATTACATTATTGTATTTTAATTGTATTTGTGTTGTCAAAAAATTGGCGGGCCCTTCAGATCTTTACTCTGGATCCGTGTCTGGTTGCAACTCGTTAAAACACAATATTATGTTTAGGTACCTACCGATATTTCAAAATTTCAAGTTCAAATACATATAATGTGTACAACTATAATATATATTTATTTTCAGATGCCAGTATACCCAACTCCGGAGGCCAAATTTTCTTCAAACAAATAATCGATTACGTAGTGTGTACCTATGTAAGTAGTTGGGTTAATATGCGGGATACGCTTTACTATGTTTGGTGTTTAGTTTAGAATTAGGATCTAATAAAGTCAATATTATATGAAAACAAAAATAGATACACATTACTACTATGTATTATAATTGTTACAAGAACAAAACGATGGATATTTATCGAGAAACAAAAACTCGTTTGAAAAAAGACGAACATACCAGGTGATTCATTTAAGTGGGTACACTCATTATCCCGGAAATTATTGATTTTTTCTGAAATTTGTTTTCTAGAACATTTTAGAAACAAGCTGCTTCACAGTTTTATATTTGCGATGGGAATAAAAAATTTCAATACTAAAATTTATTTAAACTAATACACAATTTATTTATGACTTTTTAATATTGGTTCCCATTTGAAAATCAAAAGTAGGTAGTGGTTTTGCCCCAAAAAATATGGATGAAAAAAAATAACGCAAGTATAAAATTGTGGAGCAGCTTGTTTCTTAAATATTCTAGAAAACAAATTCCGGAAAAAGTTAATACTTTCCGAGATAATGAGTGTACCCAATTAAATGAATCACCTGGTACTTCGCACGTGGGTGCAGTCACTGTTGTAGATGAGAAGTTGGAAAGGTAGTAGAGGGGAAATGTAATTTAGGTATCTATAACTGTAAGCAACGATAAACCATTGCTAACGAAAAAATTATTCTGAGCGGAGAACAGTTGACAGTGTAGTAACTAAACTTTAGTTGTTTTGTCAACAACATATATGCCATATTATGGTAAAATAATTATATACACTTATGTAATGCCTATAGGCATTAAATATTTTCTTTAATAATATTTGATTAATATTGTATCTATTTTTGCGTTTTTCCAACGGTTTTCCCATGTTTTACCCCGAGTTTTCCAATTTATTGGGAAAACTTATGGGAAAATCAAAAAATGACCGTTTTAAAGTACCTCTCCAGTCAGATTTATTTTTAGGAAAATTGCTATAATTATAAATCGGAGCAAAATTGCAAAATTGCAAAAAAAAAAAAATAAACATCTTTGTAATACCATAAGCTACTTCGCCTCACTCAGAATCTAAAAAAAAAAAAAAAAAATGTATATACTTTATAGCTAGTACCTACCTACTATCTATTTATGTAGGTACACAATAATACATACATATAGGTTTGCGTAGTGTGGATTGTGTCGGATTGTAACAATAAATTATTGTACAATACTAATAAATTAATAACGCTACCCACTCATTTCTCAGTCACGTATAGAAGCCGCGTGCAAAATGTGTCAACACAAATACGTTTGTGCGCGGAATTAGTAAAATTTATTATTAGCAGTCTCGGCAACTAAAATATGATAAATGGATATATCGAAAATGATGATGTTTGGTGCATGACCAAACAAATAATATAAATACGATTGTCTCGCCGCGGGCCGGTAGGTGTGTGCACGATTGGACTATATTCGTGCATATATTTTAGTGCCCAACGATAGTTAAAAGTATGCACGTCGGTGTTCATCGTTAGTCGCAATTAGGCGGGTGCGTATTCATAAATATTTCATAATTATTTGAAAATCATAGTATTACAAATGTCAAACGAAAAGTTTTAACTGTTAGGATTCCGTTGATTTCCACCGTGTTGACTTTTTATTCCAAAATGATGTAAGAAAACACATTTGTTTAACTGTTTCGGTACCAGCGTAATAGACAGAAAAATAGTCTACAGGTCTATGTGCAAGGTTGTATAATATAATACATATAATTAAATCGAATCTATATAATAAATAATAATAAATATTATTACGACACAAATATCTCATAAAAAATCTTAGGTAATTTGGACAAATTTATTATTTCTTTTCATTTCGGCACATTGTAAATGGACGAAAACATTAGGCCTATTGAACGGAATTGTATTTTGTTGACTGAACGAACATGTTTTCGGACAAAATCTATATGTACGCACAGGTGCGTACGGGCACATCCATCTCTGGTTCGTGACTTTCGAGACCGGCGAAATTAAGTTTTCAGAAAGGTACGACAAAACAACAAAAATACTACCTATGAACCTGCTACCAGCTAACAGGGATGTGATGTAAATCCGGATTATCCGAAAATCTGAATTTCGAAAATCAAAATCCGAAAATTGTCCAGCTGGTACTTTAAGGAAGTCATTTTTTGATTTTCCAGGCAGGTTTTCATAATTATTTACGGCGTGAAGATTTCATGATTTTACATTATCGTAAATACAAATATTACCTATTAAAATTAGAATTATTACAAACAATAATCATCGATTGTTCACGTTTCATATAATAATGTTGATATTTTTGGATTTCGGAATCTGAACATCCGGATTTTTGAACTTTGTCAAATCCGGATTTTTCGCACCACTACCAGCTATCACTCTAGTACTCACCTCATCTAGCTCCATGACGGTATGAAGAACAAACCAATACGGCATAATGTGTGTACTGTGTATTACATGCGTGACTGTGTAAGTGTCCTTGTGATAAATTAGATGCTATTTATTACCCGGTCCCCAGAGAATGACCCCATCCGAAAATTGGTGTTCCGTTTGCGCGTTCGTAGACCCATTTAAACGTTTGCATTACGTCCGACACTAAGCCGGTTTCGTCGATGATGTCCACGTCCGTCGAATCGCCGTAACCTTATAGAGGAGAAACCGTTGTTGAAAAAATATAATTTTTAACATAGGCAATTTTAACGATCCGTAGGTAACGAACAGGCCATAATATAATATACTGTAACTACCTCTGTAGTCCAGGGCTATTACGTGATAATCCATGTCCTGAAGTTTGCGATACAATTCTACTCGCTGTTCGTTCGTGCGGGCGTCCGAATTGCCGTGCATGTATATGATAATCGGTTCTCCGTGACTTAAAAATTGTTCGTAATTTAATTCGTTTTCCGCAGTGTAATTTGTTAATAAATTACGCGGTAATACGTGCCTGAAAGTTTATTTTAATGAAATAATAAATAATAATTATCCACACAGTCATTATAAAAAAAATAAATGAATACAAATAAAATAGGATATTTATATATTCATATTAACCTATACACTACTCGTATACTACAATACCTAATACGCAGACAAATTTATATTTTAATTTTTTATTGTTCTTGTTATTTCCCGTTTCACATTTTTTTTTTTGAAAACAACAATGCATTTTACGTACATGCGCCTAATAAAAGATTAATTTTCATTTTGGAGTTTAAATCGGCCGAATGGGCAGTGTTCATTGATTTTAATAATTAAAAGTAATTCGTACTTATACCTATTCCTACTGTCCGTATACAAAGTTTTGCGTTTAATAATTCACCGCAAATTTTGTTTTGCACCTACCTAAAACTTAAATAGTATTATATTATAGTAAAATGATGATTAGAAAATTAGAAAAAAAAAAAATCAATCTTCAACAATTCTTTTCACGACCGGAAGCAGTTTTCAAACAAATGTAAACTTACAACTTATCCATCTTAGCTAATAAAATACTCAAATAATATTTATTTTAATACGCTATTTTTTATGTTTATCCTCCTGATTCATTGAAATTTTTATCGTCATTTGTTTTATCCGTGTATCACCTATTCGACGGCTAATTTAATACAAAGCGTTCGTTTAATATTTTGCAATTAAATTTAATTATAAGATAACATGTACCTAATATTATAGTTTCCCAATAAAATAAATCAACGTACGTTGTCTATTTAAAAAAAAAAAAAAAACAATTATGATATGAAAGTTTATAATATATGATATTAATATTATATTATGATTTCGCTCACCATACTCCTAGCGTTACATTGTCGTTTGTGTGTATATAGAAATTTCTCGTTCCATTCAATCCGTATACTTCTGGATGACTGTAATTCTGCACTTCCGATAAAAAATCTAAAACAATATTGAAAAACACATTACTTGTTTTGTAAAATACAAATTTACATTTTACAGTGAAACAAGTAAAAGATACAAAATTAATATAAAATAATTTTAAACCGCACGACGTTTGATTATTCGAATTAATCTTAAAGATCAGTTCTTATAAATATTATCAAAGTTTATACGCACAAAAAAAAAAAATACGTGTCGTCTCCTGCAGTAACACTCACAACGTACGTTGTCTATTTAAAAAAAAAAAAAAAAATAAATACAAGTTACAACGTAACTCGTTCCCGTAATTTTGTATATCTATGTAGGCATTTGTTGTCGAGCGTCGATTAGGTACGTATGGGTTAGATTATATAGGTAGGTTATGTCGGTTATTATAAATATAAATATTATCTTTAGGTATCTACGTGGTTACGCAATAATATTGTAATATTATGTTAATTTAATTATGCGTATAATAATAATTGTATAATTACCACGATTAAGGAACAGCATACTCCTTTGCAACGAAGGGGAATATCGCCAAACGGCCGGAAAAACTATGAATATGACGAACAATGTGACTCCGATGACACCCAACGCCGTTGTACACGCTCTTAAGTACAAGTAAAATCGACAATATTTATTTTATTATTTTACTGTTCTCGCTGGCCATGACATTGTTTCAAATAAAATTGTTTTGTGTAACTTACATAGGTTAATACTAATTATTTTTGGAATGTATACGGAGAGATTCATTTATCACAAAACACCGATTTTCCCGGAAGATTGTAAGTAAATTTTATTTCTGTTTCGTTCAACCATCATCGTTACACCGTTTAAGCTTTATTTTAACATTATTCGCAATTTTTTACTCCAACCCCTTATACTTTAAACGAGTAGGAATGGACTTTTAATTTTCTATCGAAAAAAATAATATTTTCTTATGTGTTTTAAGGGGGGGGGGGGTCGCTAATCCAAAATGTATACTCATTTAATGTAAAGGACGTCACCTTGTTTTATTAAAATATTTTTAGGTAAGTAAAAAGATGCCTATACGTACTACTATACCATAGGAAACGAATTTATATTATACTATAGTTAATATTTACCAATTATTATAGCAATTCTATTATGGTGTTTATAACATCATGTTTAAAGTGGAAAAAATATATATTTTTTTTTATATTATATATACATTTCAACTAGCGTCATAAAATATAAACATAAAAACCGATGGATGGCGTATAATAATATAATAGTCTGCAATGAAATCATTTATCATTGATCATTTGTAACAATATACTCCGAACCACTTTTTTCGTGTGGTTATAAAATTATACATGTATTATTATAATAGTTTATGAAATACATTTTTATACTTAACTAAACCCCGTCAATTAATACGGTTTGCAGTTGTGAGGAAATAACAGTTTGATTTTTTTTAATGTTAAATGAAAACCATAATAATATTACAGTGAAAATCAATATTTGCACTTTATTTTGACTATTATACGCGTAGGTACATAGATATCCAATAGTTATGCCATATCCGATTAAAATAATTACCCCACATTATGGTATTTTTGCTTTTTAATATTGAGTACAATATGTTATAAACGGTGCAATGATTTTTAATTTTTAGACCTCCCGTGAGCGTAAAAGTCATATTCTGCAAGTAGGTACAGAATCTATATTATAGATGATACAATACCTAATATGTTTTATGAATATATAGTATAATAATAATAATAATTGTATTATTGCACTCACTTTCTCTTGTTGCAGTTACACATATTCAACACTTTGTCTAACGATAAAAAAAAAAAAAAAAATAACAATTAATATCTATTTGAAAATAAATTACCGAATGCATATTCTTACGTATGGGATGATAATAATAAATAATTGTATTCTTATATAATATATTACAGATTAGAATGTAAAATATCAATACATAACAAATATTTATAATTATATAATACGAAATACTCATTGTGGTTACTATTCTAAAATGTATTAGCGCGGGAAAAATATAAGAAAATACCTACATATATGGGATTGATTTTTTTTTTTTTTTTAACTGTTTCATTGTAGCCTCACAATTAGTATAAAAATATGATAGCCTAATGGTAGTAAACGTATATATTTAGGTTTTTTTTTTTTTTTAATATCACTGATATACCTGGATTTTGAAAAATAGGTCGACACTTTATACAATATATCAATATATGTATACCCAACGCGAACGATGAGTTTTCTTTTTCGACGATTCAACCCAAACAATATTATATTAGGATTGAACGATGAAAAAATTTGATAAATACTAAACATATTTATTAAACATTATTGTTAAACAACGGCGTTGACAATGATTGTACACGACGATTAGACTGCGAACGATAGAAACGCACTAGCATTTGGTATTATTATATTATTGTACTTTGAATTTAAAATAATAGGTACAGTACAATGTTAATGAAAATGTACATATAAGGGATATAGACGTGTTATCCAATTATCTTAATAATAATCCTAATATCGCTGACGTCAAATTTAACGTAATTTTCAATTACGTTTTTTTTTTGTATCTTTTGACCTATTCGTGCGAATTAGCAATTTAAATTTGACGAAATGACCAATATTAGTTATGCTATTTAAATATTATCTAATACTATAATATTGTTTGAGACATAATGAGGTATTACTATATATTAATATTTGAAATATTTATTTTATATATATTTATATCAGTGCGGGGATTTTTTAGGTAATAATGATTGTTTCAACGTTAACAACATATATTGCGCAATGATTGAGTTGAAAAAATATTAGAAGGGGTATTATGAAGTTTAAACAAAAATAGCGTCCCTTGAAATGATTGAATTCAATCTAGTTAAGACCATTAGGAAGAAAACTAGAAGTGGTGGGCTAGAATATTTTAAGAAAAAAATCGGTACTCCGTCATCCTGTGACCTCTCCTTCAAATTCAAGCACTGGTAAACGGTGAAATAAAACTTTGGTTAAACGTTTGGTCTTGTTAAAAATCTTACGAAGAAAATGAAATTGAAAAAAAATAATTACAGCAAAGAAATAATGAATTAACTCCAGAAAAACGCGACGTACGATTTGTGTGGTGTGTAATTAGCTTTAGGTATAAGGTAGATTTATAAATTACGCAATACCGAGTGTAAGAATTCAATCACTCTACGATAAGGAAAATGTAAAGTACCCACATTCATGAAGCCAAATGCACTTTTGATATTTTCTACTGCCCAATTCGGGTCCTAGACCACTAGCCATTTGAAACATTTCAATGGCCGTTATAACCTGTTGTGTATGACGGGCATACGATTACTAGTTTAAAAAAAAAAAAAAACTTCATCTATATTTATAGAATTATTAATATTGGTTGCTATTTGAAAATCGAGCGGGGTTACCATCAAAAATATAGGTGAAGGAATATAAACGGAAATGCAAAATTTAAGGTGGTTTGTTTCTTAAATTTTCTAAAAATCGAATTCCGAAAAAAATGAACATTTTCCGAGATAAATTTCCGTTTTGTTAATCATCCTGTATATTATGCAATCTTATTTATAGACGTTGTCGTTTAAAATTGAATAACAAATTTAAAATATAATTGTATATATTGTATTGTATTTTACTTGTGTGCGAATAGGCTTTTTTTCACATGGAAAAATTAAAAAACCCATACCGGTCGCGCTTAACAGATGACCATTTCTACCACGTGCTTAAAGCGGTCTCATGCAGATAATTTTGATCTGGAAATCGAAAAAATAGCGAACAATATCCAACAGCAAAAATCACATTAATTAAATTCATTAAGTATTAAAACTGTTGTAATGACATTGTCTTTAATTTGTAATATTTTTAAATATTAATTAAAGGTTTTTAATTTTTTAAATAAAACAAAAAAAAACATACTTCGCACGATGGGTGGGCCACTTTTCTTTGTTGAAAAGTTGGGAATTTAGGATATATAGAGGGAAATTAAATATATATCTCTACGCAACGGTTAATTTTTGCTAATGAAAAACGATTCTGAGCGGAGTTCGGTTTTATTCATGTTTTGAAAGACAATAATATTTACGATTTTTCTCAAAATTTGATATTAGAATTTCTATAAAAAAAATCAATTTTTTTTTTTGACCACAGATTACGACTTATAATGAACCTCCAATTAAAGCATTTCTGATTGGTCTAACAATTTTATCTACGCAGAGTACCCGCAGAATAAAAATTATTTAAAAATCTCGTGAAATTAAAATGTATATAAATAGCTCAACAATTAATCAAATGTTTTGAAATTTACCACGTCTAAAAAAAGCGAATATAAGTTTTCTGCTGAAATTTTTCTGTCTCTACGAATAATTTAAACTGAATTACACCAATAAAACAAAATTTAAAATTATAAAAGAATTATTTTCTTAAAATTGCTCGGCCTTTCCACGGTTTTTTTGGTTTCACTCAAAAAAAAAAAAAAAACTACTTTTTCATTGTGACCATTGTTTTATTGATTATAAACACAGAACTTCGAAAAATTAAAATGAATAGGTTTTGTGCAATAATCAGACAGCTGAACTTTTTGACGAAATGTCTGTTATGATTTTTTCGACAGAGGCAATTATTATCCTTGTAATTTCTGTGAAACAACAAGACGAATTCCGAATAGCCGTAGGGAAGTTATGAAGTGATTAAAAAATTAAACGATTCTGGTCAAAATATAATACTTCTTCATTGTGTTATTAACAAAATTCTGGTCAAAAGATCCGATTATTCCAAACATTTTAGGTTACAATTATTTAGGTATTATTATGCTAGTCTAAGGAAGCCGATTTCATTTTGAGATGAAATTGGAGTGTATACAATATTAAAAAAAAAAGCAATTTTGTATTTTTCTGTTTGCCCTTAAGATTTGAAAAATAACGGAGCTGTATGATTGCAGAAATCATAACGTTTCGTGCATAATTACGAGGTTTTTTTTCTTCCGGTGTGTTTACATAAAAATAAATATTATGTATATAGGTAGGTAGGTCGTACTCACATTAGCGACTTATGCGTATAGTTGTACACCCTTTGCGTATGGAAATAATGTGAAAAACAAAATATGTATTATTGTATATTATAATATTAAACCGATAACAATATTGTTGGTATTATTACATATATCGCGATTTGGACGGAAGTAAAAAAAAAAAAAAAAAAAAAAAA